GGGCGGCATGGGCGGCATGGGTGGCATGGGTGGCATGAGTAGGCTGAGTGGGTTGAGTGGGAAGGGTGGCAGTCAGAGTGCAAGGTTGGCTGACGGAAGGGTGGGGGAGTGGTTGGAGCAGGCTCACCTGGCACTAACGCAGCAGAATGTAACGAGGATAGGTGACAGGAATCAGGCGCAGCAGCACAGGCAGCTCCAACTGTCAGAGTCTCAAGTCCGTTCTCTGCCGGCGTTTCCAGAGAGGAGCTTGGCTCCAAGGCCTGGGGCCAATGCAGCAGTGCCGCCACCTCAGCGGGGCAGTTTTCCAGCGCGGCACAGCAACATGCCAGGTCAGGGGGGCACAGCCGGCATGCTCCCTTTGCTGCGGCACTCCACATACCCTCCCCCGTGCCTGGACAGCGCTCCCCGCTCTCACCCCAGCCAGCAGCACACCCGCGGGCAGGGAGGGGGGCGCCCCATCCCTCAGCCTGGCAGTACTCAGGCTGCAACCCTCCACCGCCGCGTGCTCACCTTCCCACTCCAATCCCCCAATGCCCGTGCTGCCTCTGCCTCTGCTGCCCCCACTGCTCCTCCTGCCCCTGCTGCTTTTAGTAATGCGGCTAGCGGCGCTGCTGGGGCTGGTGCAGGTGCCAGTGCCGGTGCTGCTGATAGGGTACGCGCCAGCATGCACGGGTGTGGCCATGGGCGTGGCGATGGCGCCGCTGGCAGCGCCAGGGCTGCAGCAAGCCGCACCCCAGCGAGGTGGCACTCATGGGGCGGGTCCGTGGCAGGCCAAGTGGGTGCAGCCCCTGTTGGTGGGGCCCCTGGAGGTGGGGCCCCTGGAGGTGGGGCCCCTGGAGGTGGGGTCCCTGTAGGTGGGGCCCTTGGAGGCACTCGTTGTGTGGGCTCCATGCGGGCACAAGCACCCGTTGCTGCTGCCAGCACCAGGGCTCCAGGAAGCCGCGCCCCATCGAGGTGCCATTCTTGGGGGGAGTCCACGGCAAGTCAGGTGGGTGCGGGCCCTGCAGGTGGGGTCCTCACTCATTCCGACGGTTCTGGGCTTATGGTCCAAGCAGCCTCGCTCAACCAGGGTGGCGGGCCCAGGGTGCAAGCAGCACAGCTGGCAGGCGTCGCTGGCAGTCACATGCATGGGGCCATGCCCGCATCAGCACTGCACCGCCCTGCTGCTGCTGCTGCTGCTGCTGCTGCTGCTGCTGCTGCTGCTGCTCCTGCCACTGGCGCCAGCAGCCAGCCCAGGCCAGCACAGCACGTCTCCCAGAGAAGCTCGTCTGCCTCTGCCTCCTCCCACGTGCCGCCACACTCCAAGCCTCAAATGCAGGCTCGGGCCATATCGGCAGCCCAGCTCCGGTCCCGTCCTGGGTCCCAACACCTGTCTGACCCCCACCGTGTGCCCGGGCCTCTGCCCTTGCACCAGCGTCAGTCACAACGCCCGTCGCTCACTCCCTTGCACCTAACTCCCCTTTCCCTGCCTGACGCTTCTTCCTCCTCCTCGCCCCACCCCTCCCCCTCGCAGCCATCCCCTGCCTCCTTACCCGCAGCCCCCTCTCCCCGGTTCCCTCTCTCCCATCACTCGCCTAAATCATCCTCCTCTTTCTCCTCCCCCCGCTCTCTCCCCCCACAACCCTCCCCCCGCTCTCTCCCCCCACAACCCTCCCCCCGCTCTCTCCCCCCACAACCCTCCCCCCGCTCTCTCCCCCCACAACCCTCCCCCCGCTCTCTCCAACCACAACCCTCCCCCCACTCTCTCCCCCCACAACCCTCCCCTCGCTCTCTCCAACCACAACCCTCCCCCCGCTCTCTCCCCCCACAACCCTCCCCTCGCTCTCTCCAACCACAACCCTCCCCCCGCTCCCTCGCCCGCGGCCCCACCTTCCCCTCGCCCCTCCCCTCGTCTACCTCCCGCTTTGTGCCAGACCTTGCCTCCTCCCTGCACCGCCACTCCATCCTCCACGCCGCTGCTGCTGCTGCTCTGGCCGTCCCACCCGCTGCGGCTGCAGCTGTGCCGGCACCTGCTGCTGCCAGCACCGCTGCTAAGACTGCCCCTGCTGCCAGGGCTGCGGCCTGCTCTGCCGGGACGAGCACTTGTGCTGGCGTTAGTGCCATGCCACGCGTCCCCTTGAGGGTGACTGGAGGCGGCATCCCTGCCATGCCTGCTGGTGCCGCCATGGGTGCCTCTCGTTCCGGCTGTGGTGCCGCTGTGCTTCCACTTGCACAGTCACATACCCATGGCCGGATGCCTTTAAGCATGCCGTATGCCACACATGGGAGGCTCACTTTGCCGCCCAACAGGCATGCGCAGACGAATGAACCCGTGCAATCTGCGACCAGTGCCAGTTGTGCTCTCCCCTCCTCCACCGCCCCCCAGCCCACCACCACTCATCATGGGTCCCTCCGTGCCATGCCATGTGGCAGTGTACCATTTGCCCAGAGCCATCCCACGGCGGGCAACGGTAACCCAGTAACAGCAGCGAGAGGGGGAGGAATGATTCGCAACCCTGGTGTGGTAGCAGGGAGAGGTGCAGGGGGGGGAGCAGGGCAGGTAGCACAAGGGGGAGGGGTGGCAAGAGCAAGTGGAGGAGGGAGGGGCGTGGTGCGGATGACTGGCGGGGGGACTGGGGAGAGGGTGAGTGGGGATGCTGTAGTGGGCAGACCTAGGGTGGGGTACAGCGGAGTGCAGGAGGTAGGGACAGGAGGGGCAGAGGGGGCGGAGGAGGAGGAGGAAGAGGAGGAAGAGGAGGAAGAGGAGGTGGCAGTGAGGAGGCTGGTTCACCTGGATAGTGTGTCTCTGTGCAAAAGGAGGATGGGGGGAGAGGCGACGGGCAGGGAGGGGAGCAAAGGGAGGGATGAAGGGGGAACTGAGGAAATGCAGGCGAGTTGTGAGGAAGGAGAAGCGGAAGAAGAGGCAGACGGAGGAGGGAGGGATGAGGCGGCGGCGAGGATTAGCAGGGCTCATGAGCTTGGGGGAAGGAATCTTGGTGGTGGGGCAGCCGCCCGTATTGCAGCCAAGGGCGTGAGGCAGGCCATAGGGATGCACGTAGTGCGAGGGGTGCAAGGCGGGAGAAAGGCGGGCATGGGAGTGGTGAGAGAAGAGGAGGAGCAAGGGGGGGAGGAGGAAGAGGAGGAGGAAGAGGAGGGGGTGGAAGAGGAGGAGGGGAGTGTGGTTCGCGTTTTTCCACACTCTGACAGCATTTCCGTGCAGAAGTGCCGTCATATGCCGGATGAGGAGGAGGAAGAAGAGGAGGAGGAGGCAGAGGAGGAGAGTGAGGTGCGTGTGTTTCCACATGCTAATAGCGTGGCTGTGCACAGGTACAGGCAAATATGGGGGGAGGAGGAGGAGGAAGAGGATGGGGAAGAAGTGGACGAGGAGGAGGGAGAAGCAGAAGAGGAAGAGGCAGAGGAGACAGAGGAAGAAGCAGAGGTGCGTGTGTTTCCCCATGCCAATAGCGTTGCTGTGCACAAATACAGGCAGATATGGGGGAAAGAGGAGGAGGAAGAGGAGGAGGAGGAGGAGGAGGAGGAGGAGGAGGCTAAGGAGGAGGAGGAAGAGGAGGAAGATGTGAAGGTTCGGGCGTTCCCGCATTCCAACAGCCTATCCGTGGCCCGGCATAGGAATGGTCTTGTGAGTCCGGGGAGAGAGGAGGCAGACGAAGAGGAAGAGGAGGCAGACGAAGAGGAAGAGGAGGGAGAGGAGGAGGCGGAGGAGGAGTTCACAGGGGACGAAGAAGAGGAGATAGCGGAAAGGGCAGGGGCTCGTGTTTTTCCACATTCCAACAGTCTAGCTGTGGCGAGGCAGAGGAATGGACTTGTGAGTAAAGGGAGACAGGAAGCAGACGAAGAGGAGGAAGAGGAAGAGGAGGATGAGACAGACGAGGAGGAGGAGGAGGGGATAGAAGAAGGGGCAGGAGCTCGCGTGTTCCCACATTCCAACAGTCTTGCTGTGGCCAGGCATAGGAATGGACTTATGAGTAAAGGGATAGAAGGGGCAGACGAAGAGGAACAGGAGGAGGAGGAGAATGATGATACAGAGGAAGAAGAGGAGGGGCTAAAGGAAGGGGCTGGGGCTCGCGTGTTTCCACATTCCAACAGTCTAGCCGTGGCCAGGCAGAGGAATGGACTTGTGCATAGAGGAGGAGAAGATGAGGACAAGGAAGAAGACAGGGGCGAAGGGGACGAGGAGAACGAGGATGGGGGAGAGGATCCTACAATGCGTGTCTTTCCGCATGCAAACAGTGTAGCTGTACACAAGTACAAGAAAATATGGGGGGTTGCAAGAGAGGATCGAGTGGGAGGGGAGGAGGATTGGTGAAATGAGGGAGGGGTGGAGGAACATGTGCGTTCACATCAATGGCACTGCCCTGCATTGCGCAGTTATGGTTGGGTGAGTCGAGGCAACGGAGAAGGGGAAGGAGGGGGGGGCAGGGGAATCGGATGAGGTGTCTCCAGGTGGAAGACGCTGGAGTGTTTTTCTTGAAATGGAGGGCACATGGTCATTTGTACACTGGCAACTGCACACACACGTAAGGTTGGAGTCCGTAGTAATTAAAATGGCATCCCATCTTTGGGATGTCGTCGTGATTTGTTGTTATGTACAGGCTATTACAATCCATTGTATATCTATTTAGACTGCTCACACAGATCACGTATTTCCTATAGATTTTCTGGCACTTGCTATGACATTTACATTGATTGATAGCCCCTCCACCAACATCGTATTACCATAATGTAAGAGCTGATGTCATATGCTAAACCGATAATATTGAGACTATATCTCTGTAGAAACAGATAATCTCGAGGTATTTCCATCGGAAGTCCCCGTGTTCCGCTGAATCAGCAATACGCCCTCGAGCTCTCCGCCCTCGATACCCCCCTGCCTCATTCCGCCAACCCCACCTCGATTTCACCCCGCCTGACCCCTTCCCCTTTCCGCTCATCCCATCCCCCGCCCGTCTGTCAGCGAGCATAGCCAGCCAGCAGCAAGCACAGCGCGTCATCAGTCAGGCGCTGTCGCCGCGTTGAACGGAAAGTATTTTCCAGTCTTGCTCTTTCCCCGAGCCAGGCATGACGGCTCGTTCTGCTTCCTCCCACGACTCCACCATGCGTGACTCGTAATCATTGCCCTGAGATTCGGTTGTCGTGTGATGATTGGAATCCAAAACCAGCGTTTCCGTTGCCTCGCGATACTGAGAGAAAACGTCGTCTCGGGCCAGACCACCTTATCTTACTGCGACAAGCTCCCTCAAGGCCGCGTTCGTATCAGTTCCTTTCTTCGTCACTCGCGACGTTCTTCCGCCAGCCCGGTTGATCGATTCCAAATCTGTCCCGACCAACCAAACAAAATTTGCCAGACGATTTTATACGGTTTCCCATAAGCTAGGCGAACTTTCCCAAGACCTCTCTCCTCTTGCCATCCAGTCTCCGCCGATCTTTCGTCCGCTCCCGCCATCTCCCCATGGCTGATCGCGCTGTCGCGCTGCCACCCGCAGCAGCGGCGGCGGGGTGCGCGTGCGCGTGTCACGGGGAGTGGTCGGCGGCGGTGGTGGCGCTGCGGCAGCTGGAGGAGTGGCAGGGGCGCGCCGCGCAGTACATCGCCCTCCTGGAAAACGAGAAAGCTGCAGCCGACGCGCAGGTGGCGCAGCTGCAGGAGACGCGCGCCACGGAGGTGCAGGAGGGGGTGGGGGAAGGGTGGGCTGGGGAGGAGGGGGGGGAGAGGGGGGAAGGAGGTGGGATGGGTGGGTGGGGAATACTGGCTTCTGAGAAGGTTGAGCGGAGGTTCCCTCCCAAATTTTCCATCCCTCCCCCCCCCTCTCTCCCCCTTTCCTCCTCCCCCTTCCTGCTCTTCTCTCTTAGGCCCGAGCGTGGGAGGAGCGGGTGAGGGTGGCGGAGGGGGCAGTAGCGCACATGGAGGAGGAGAGGAGGAAGGAGGGGGAGAGAGTGGAGGAGGAGAGGAGGAGGGAGGGGGAGAGAGTGAGGGAGCAGGCAGAGAGGATAGCGAGGCTGAGGGAGGTGCACCTGCAGACGAGGCTGGGCCTTCAGCAGCAGGAGATGATACGGCGCGACAGAGCAGCCATGTGAGATGCAACGACGAGACGAACCTCCTCGTCATTCTCCTAACCAACGTCACACGTCCGAGTCTCGACGTTTTTTGTGTGTGTCACTTCAACCCCTTTCTCCTGTGATTCTGTCGGTGCCTGAACCCTCCGACGCTTTAAACTCGCCCTCCTTTCTTACACGGGGCTCTTCGCCCGTTTTCCGCTCCTGTTTTTCATACCTGCCTGCCTGCCTCTCTCCCTTCTCCCGTGAACGTTTTTTCCTCCTGTTTCTCTTGTTCCCAGGGAGATCCACGCGTTTTGGCAGGAGGCGGTGCGGGAGAGGAACGAGGCGCTGATGGGGACGAAGCAGGCGCAGAGGGAGCTGAGGAGCCGAGACCAGGCGGACAAGGAGAAGGTAGGGGGTAGTACGGGATGAGGATACACGTTTCCATATATTTTTGTGAGGTACTGGTCGTGCTTGCTCGGCTGCATCGTGGCTCTTTCTGCACTTTTTAATCATCCCCCCATCTCTTCCTCTCCTTCCCCCCCTTGCGTCTGCCTGTGGCCTGATTCGTGTGCTCATGCATTCATGGCTGGTCGCACGCATGGTGGTTAACATGGTCGTATGGAACGTATGGTAACACATTCATGCATGGATGCATGGATGGTTGAATGCATGGATGCATGGATGATTGAATGCATGGATGCATGGATGATTGAATGCATGGATGCATGGATGATTGAATGCATGGCAACGCATCACCAGGCGGAGGTGACCAAGGCTCTGATGAGGCAGTGCGAGGAGTGCCGGAAGGAGAAGGACAGCGCGCTGCTGGCTCTGGCTGGCGTCAAGAAGGAGAACGAGGCTCTTGAGGTCAACCTGCAGCGACAGGGCAAGGTACTGATGATGCTAATGATGCTGCTGATGGTGGTTATAATGATGACGATGATGATGACGATGATCATGAGGCAGTACGAGGAGTGCAAGAAGGAGAAGGACAGCGCGCTGCTGGCTCTGGCTGGCGTGGATGGAGAGAAGGAGAGGTGACCCACTGGAAGCACTGGGAGCGCTGGGAGCGCTGGAAGCGCTGGAAGCACTGGAAGCACTGGAAGCACTGGAAGCACGGGAAGCACTGGAAGCTCTGGAAGCACTGGAAGCACTGGAAGCACTGGAAGCTCTGGAAGCACTGGAAGCACTGGAAGCACTGGAAGCACTGGAAGCACTGGAAGCACTGGAAGCGCTGGAGGTCAAGGTGCAGTGCGTAATGAGTCGATTTCTTAGTCGACTCAAAAATCGAGTCATTAGCACTGGAGGCACTGGATGCACTGGAAGCACTGGAAGCACTGGAAGCTCTGGAAGCACTGGAAGCACTGGAAGCACTGGAAGCACTGGAAGCACTGGAAGCACTGGAAGCACTGGAAGCACTGGAAGCACTGGAAGCACTGGAAGCACTGGAAGCACTGGAAGCACTGGAAGCACTGGAAGCACTGGAAGCACTGGAAGCACTGGAAGCACTGGAAGCACTGGAAGCACTGGAAGCACTGGATGCACTGGAAGCACTGGAAGCACTGGATGCACTGGAAGCACTGGTAGCACTGGAAGCACTGGAAGCACTGGAAGCACTGGAAGCACTGGAAGCACTGGAAGCACTGGAAGCACTGGAAGCACTGGATGCACTGGAAGCACTGGAAGCACTGGATGCACTGGAAGCACTGGAAGCACTGGAAGCTCTGGAAGCACTGGAAGCACTGGGAGCACTGGAAGCACTGGAAGCACTGGAAGCACTGGAAGCACTGGAAGCACTGGAAGCACTGGAAGCACTGGAAGCACTGGAAGCACTGGAAGCACTGGAAGCACTGGATGCACTGGAAGCACTGGAAGCACTGGAAGCACTGGAAGCTCTGGAAGCTCTGGAAGCTCTGGAAGCACTGCAAGCACTGCAAGCACTGCAAGCACTGCAAGCACTGGAAGCACTGGAAGCACTGGAAGCACTGGAAGCACTGGAAGCACTGGAAGCACTGGAAGCACTGGAAGCACTGGAAGCACTGGAAGCACTGGAAGCACTGGAAGCACTGGAAGCACTGGAAGCACTGGAAGCACTGGAAGCACTGGAAGCACTGGAAGCACTGGAAGCACTGGAAGCACTGGAAGCACTGGAAGCACTGGAAGCACTGGAAGCACTGGAAGCACTGGAAGCACTGGAAGCACTGGAAGCACTGGAAGCACTGGAAGCACTGGAAGCACTGGAAGCACTGGAAGCACTGGAAGCACTGGAAGCACTGGAAGCGCTGGAAGCGCTGGAGGTCAAGGTGCAGTGCCGCGACAGGGAAAGGTGATTGTGATTGACCTCAACTCAGAGGTGGTCGAAGGCAACGAGACTCTGCAACTGCAGGCAGCACACGCAGCACCACGTTGAAGGGAGGGAGGGGGCACTACTGTGCCTTCTGCCGCTTAACCCCCCTCCCCCTCCTATCTTCTCCCCCCCCCCCTCCTCCCCTTCCCCAGTTGCTCATGTGACAGAGCGGCTGATAGACTTGAACTCAGAGCTGGTGAAGGCAACGACGCCCTCTAGTAAATTATCTTTACCATCCCTCTCTCTCTCCCCCCCCCCCGCCCCCTCACGTTGCTCAGGTGAGTGGCTGATCGACCTCAACGCGGAGCTGGAGGTGGGTAACGAGGCCCTGCAGCAGGCAAAGAAGGAGGTGAATAGGAGATTTTTTAGTCGACTCAAAAATGACTTCCATCTCCATGCCTTCTGCTTCATTACACCCCCCCTCCTCCTCTTCTCCCCCCCCCCCTTCAACCCCACAACCCCCCCTCCACCAACCAGGTGATAGAGCGGCTGATCGACCTCAACTCGGAGCTGGTGGAGGGAGGCGCTCCAGCAGAGACGGCGGGAGGTGGAGAGGAGGGAAGGCCAGCACCATGCCCTCAGCTTCATACCCACCCCTCCCCCCGTTCCGCCCCGTTGCGCAGGTGATGGAGCCGCTGATCAACCTCAACTCGGAGCTGGTGGAGGGCAACGACGCCCTCTAGTGGGTATCTCATACTACCACCCCTTCTCCTCCCCCCCTCCTCTCCCCACCTCATTCAGGTGATAGAGCGGCTGATTGACTTGAACTCGGAGCTGGTGGAGGGCAACGAGGCGCTGCAGCACAGGCAGCGCGAGCTGGAGGGGAGGGCGGCGGAGATGGGTGCTGAGGTGCAGGCCCTGCGAAGACGAGTGGGGGACGTGGCGGGGGGAGGAGAAAGAGGAGACAGCGATGGAGAAGGAGAGAGGCAGCAAGAAGGGCGCGAGCAGCAAGAGGGACGGCAGGTTGAGGGGGTGGACGGAGAGGAAGGAAGGGGGCAGCACTGGCGAAGGGATGAGCAGGGGAGCAGCAGGAGCGTGGTGAGGAGTGAGGGCGCAGGGGGTGGTGGGACGGATGAGAGTTCAGGTGGAGGGGGTCTGGGAGTGACTGAGAGCGGCAGAGGGGAAGCAGGGGAGGAGGATGGGGAGGATGGGCCGGTTCCTGTGTCGTCCTTCCCTACAGAGCAGCCCACCTCGTTACAATCACATGCAGCTGCTTCGCTTGGTGAAAGCCAGCAAACATCACCCTCGTTCTTTGCCTTTTTCTCAAGTAAGCCTGCTGCTGTTGCTGCTGCGGCCCCCATGGCACCACCATCAGAAACCCCCATAGCCCATCATGGTGCTGGCAGTCCCCCGCCCGGCCCTATTAATCCAGCAGCAGCCAGTGCTCGTGTGCTCTCCAGCAGCAGTGGTGAAGCGCCGGTTGCAGTAAGCACAGGATCAGAGTCAGTGGAGCAGCGGGGAGGTGGTGCTGGTGGGGGGGCAAGAGAGGAACGCACAGCAGGGGAGTGTGAAAGGGAGCATGTGGATGGGCGGGAAGGTGGTGATAGGGAAGGAGTGAGAAATGGTGGGGGGGAATGGGCAAGGGAGCAGGCAGCAGCAAGTACTAGTCAGCAGCAGCAGCAGCAGTTAGCTTCAGGCTGTCCGTCCATAGATCGTGGTTCTGGTGAGAGTAGTGACAACTGCACCAGTACTCAAGCTCCCTCGGCTGCTACACCTGCTGTCACTGCAGCCGCCATAGCTCTTCCTCCTCATGCTGCTGCTGCTGCGGGTTCTGGGAATGACAGGGATGAAATGCTTCCAGCTGGGGCCACCATTGGTGAGGATCGAGATGCGGGGTGCGAGCCTCATTCGGACCAAGCAAGAACTGCACTTGAGTCGCCCGCAACCCAAAACGAGCTCGATGTGCAACATGCGAGGGACACTGGTTTCATGGCAGATAAGGATCGGTTGGATAGAGCATCGCAAAGTAACGGCCAAAAACGGCTGGGAGCTGCGTGGAGTGCTGTGAGAGGGAACGCCAAAGGGCTTTTCTCTTACATTGTGGGAGCAGACAAGGTGTCAGTAGGATCATGAATGGAATTTGGATGGTTTAAATTGATTAGACGTTGTAAATTGTACAAAATTCAAATCACTGAAGCGAGCTACAACTGATAGCGAGCCTCGTAATGACGGTACCGAGTGGCCGCGTGGCAGGTGAAGCCTCCTCTTCATTCATTGGCTGTCCTCGTCAGCCAAGGTTCCGAGAAAGATCAACCTCCCTCGTTCTGAGGAACAGTGCGCCTCTTGCTTCGCTGTCAGCCTCGTGTCTTCCTGCCTCCCCGCGTTATCCCGCCCCTATTCTCCCCCTGATGCTCCATTTGCGTGTCATTGAATGCGGGCAACCGCAAAACACCCGCTGGATTTACGTTCGGAGCAGAGAGCTATCGTGATTGGCTGGGTTTCTTGGTTCGGGTGACTGGTGAAGAAGTTTGCCGCGCTGGCCTTACCAACAAGATTCGCGAAACTTTTCGCAAACGAACCGCACCAGAATCACGTGCCCTTTCAAGCCACAACGAGGCAGCCTCTCTTGGCTTGGTGGGAGGGACCCGTCACCCGAACCGAAACACATTCGGTGTGACATTTTTTGTGGCAAGGCACAGAGCGGTGAGTGTACCGTGTACAGTACACTCACCTTGAAAATGCCGAAACAAATCTGCCCGCAATCCCACGGGCGCTCTTTGCCTCGCCTCGAAGTTGTCCTGCTCGCCCTAGCCGCCTTCGCCTCGCCCTTTCGCGTCATGCGTCCTTCCAAGCAGGGCTAATTTTTTTTCGTTTTCCAGGACCCAGCGGTCTCAGGATTCGCGTCACTAAATACCCTGAAAAATCAGCATTCCTTGAGAAATCTCTCTTTATTTCAGGATTACTTTGACCTTTCAATCTGAATTTCAGAGTGTTTTTTGGAACTCCCTACATATAGGCGGAACCTGCGGGAACTTCGAGTACAAGCAGGACGGACATCCATGGAAGAAACAGAGAAGAATACAGAGTACACACTTGCTGCTGTTGCTGTCCCTCAGCACCACACCAAGTTCGACACTTTCCTTGTCAATCGCGACAGAAATGCGTACAACTTAGAGGGACAGTGCGAAGCCTGACTATCACAACCCCTTAAAGCGAGGGTCTCAAGTAGCACGAAACCAAATCCAAAAGGTTTGGTTTTGGGTTGATGATATTAGCGAAGCGGTAACAGAGCCCAACCAGCACCCCTCACCACACCTCACAATTTTCGAGATCCCCCCCAAAACCAAAACCTTTGGATTTGGTTTTCTGCTTCTTGAGACCCTCGCTTTAAGGGGTTGTGATAGTCTGAAAGCCCTGCACTTCTGTAGTTGTGAAAGTTCGACGGGTCACAATTTCAGATTGTGTGGAAAATTGGTCAGGGCTGCAATGGGGGGGAGGGTAGGGTTACAATTCCAGCACGGGTAGGTTTCCATTCCAGTAGTCAGGAGAATTTTTCGCGCAGTCCGGATTTCTCAGAGAGTTCCTGGGAAACGCCCGGAATCAATCAGGAGGTTTTTGATTCCGAAACCCTCAAAATCAAGATTTCAGCGGGAAAGACCCGGAATGTACCTGACATTCCGGATGTTTACCCTTGAACCGAGAGCCCTGCTTCCAAGCCCACCAACCTGCCGCCGCCATGAGTGAAAGGGCTGAATACAAGGGGAGAGTGCGGTGGACTATACTTCAGTTCAGCATTACCTTACTCGCTCAACCAAGAAGTCCGCTTTATGTATGTTTGTAGTGTCGTAGAACATCGACCTCCCATTGTGCTAAGTCTCAGTCGTGGCTCGTTACGGAATAAGCTCTATCAGCGTAAATTATTCTCCTAACTTTGGTCACACAACTGAATCGAAGTACCAACAAGCTACTACTTTCCTGGGCCAGGTTTTGGACATAGTTCCTAATATCCTCGCGTTTCAGTCACCCTCTAACAGCATTAATCTTATTCACTGCTCATATGCCACCCATGGACGACAATCTAGGGTTCGACTTCCCCATTCCTCTGAGACCGGAGGACGACAACCTTGAAACCGGGCCCTCGTCAGGCAGCTACCCAGTCGCCGACGGTGAAGCGGGGAGCGACCGCGGTGGGGGAGGGGGAGGGGGAGGGGGCGGCGGAGGGGGAGTGGGCGAGGGAGGGGGAGGGGGAGGCGGAGGTGGGGGCGGAGGAGGGGGATGGCAAGGGGAAGACGTGGAGTGGCAAGGCGGCCCAATGTCAGACTTCCAGGGCCTTCCGACCCGCGTGGAGCCCGAGCCTGCTGACGTGGAAGGCATGAATGTGCCAATGCCGGATGTGACTCTACGAGACGAGCTCTCCGAGTCGCTGATGCCGCTCAAATGGGTGCTGTTCCCAGAAGCCGACCCGGTACAGCAGTTTCGCGATAAGACGTGGAAGGAGAAGATTTGGATTTTCCTGGTGGGCGTGTTTCCGATCCTGTCATGGCTGCCCAAGTACGACCTGCGCTTCTATCTGCTCGGCGACATCATCGGAGGGCTCTCCATCGCCATCATGTCCGTGCCGCAGGTGAGACGCTGACGCGATACGAGCCGCAGGTGACATGCTGATGCCATGTCCGTGCCGCAGGTGAGACGGTGACTATCATGATAGCCGCAGGTGAGATGCTGATGTCACGGTAGCCTACAATGAGATGCTGACGTCATGCCAGCCGCACATCCCTTGGACCGAGTATGTCTCTGTTGAGGTTTCTCAAGAAGTCACGCCATGCTAGCGGCTTTCACATTGTAATAATAAAAAATAATGCACGTTCGGAAACCACCCTATTTATTCACTCTCCTCTTCGTTCCCCTCCCAATTCCCTCCCCTGTGCATCGAATTCAACCATTTCCCTTGAACGCGAATCGCCAGGACGTGTCGTACGCCAAGAACGCCAACGCGCCCAAGGAGTTGGCTGTCCAACTTGCCCCCTATTCCCCTCTGCGTCCCCCTGACCCCTCTCTTCCCCCTCCTCCAATCGCCAGGACGTGTCGTACGCCAAGTACGCCAACGCGCCCAAGGAGTTCGCTCTCTGTAAGCCGCCCTCCCCTCGTTCCTGTAAACCCTTACGTGCCTCGTATTGTGCGCTCGGCTAGGCGAGCCAACCTTCCTGCTCCCGTATCACACTGCACCGCATCACACTGCACCCCACTACATTGCTACTTTACCTAACTACGGTCCTGGGCCCTGCGGCCCTGCAGCCCCTGCAATTGCACCCTTTCCCAGGTCAACGCCAGTCAACTCAACTAGTCAACCCTTCCTCCCCCTCCCACTCGTCCCTCCTCCGCCCTCTCCACCCAACCCCCCATCCCTCCGCACCCCCCAGACACGAGTTTCCTGCCGCCGCTGCTGTACGCGATACTCGGGTCGTCGAAGCACATGGTGATCGGGCCAGTGTCGGTGGTGTCGCAGCTGCTGGGCGAGCAGCTCAAGGGGCAGGTGGACCCCACCGAGGACCCGGCGCTCTACAACAGCATGCTCATCACCACCACCTTCTTGTGCGGGCTCTTCCAGCTCGCCATGGGGCTGCTCAGGTCAGTAGCGAGGCATGGGGCTGCTTGGGTCACAAGTGAGGGTGCTGGCCGAGCACCTCAGCGCCCAGGTGGACCCCGCGCTCTACAACAGCCTGCTCGTCACCACCACCTTCTTCTGTGGCCTCTTCCAGCGCGCCATGGGGCTGCTCAGGTAGGAAATGGGGCTGCTCAGGCCAGCAGTGAGCCATGGGGCCGCTCAACTCACACACAGAGCCCGAAACCCCCTTTCCATGTCCCTACCTCCAGTCATACCCACCCGGCATCCCTCGATAGCCTGCAGAATGGGTGTCCTGGTAGGTGGGTCTGCTGAGCCAGCCCACCTTCACGGGATCCTCGCCGGGTGCTCTCAGGCCATTTCCCTGCAGGAGGCTAAGCCCATCCATGCTCGCTCCCTGTTGTCTCCGTACGCCCCGCCCTCTCCTCCTGCCCTGACTCGCCTTCCTCACAGAATGGGTTTCCTGGTGGATCTGCTGAGCCAGCCCACCATCGCTGGCTTCCTGGCGAGGTGCTCGTTCACCATCGTGCTGCAGCGGCTGAAGTCCGTCCATGCCCACTTCCCCTTGTCTCCATGTCTCTTATCTTCTCCTTGTGCCCCGCCTTGCCTTGCCTGCAGAATGGGCTTTCTCGTCGACCTGCTGAGCCAGCCCACCATCGCGGGCTTCCTGGCGGGCTGCTCGCTGACCATCGCGCTGCAGCAGCTGAAGCCCATCCTGGGGTACACGGACTTCACGCTCAGCACCAGCATCGTCAGCATCTTCCAGGCCGTCAGAGATTACTCCCACGAGGTGCGTCCCATGGTTTGTGTGCGGTGCTGTGCGGTGCTGCTCTGTGCCTGTGCTCTAGTCTACTAGTAGCTGCAGCAGCTGAAGCCCATCCCGGGGCACACGGATCTCAGCACCAGCCACGCTACTCCTGTGTCGTGCTGTGCTGCTCTGTGCTGCTTTGTGCTTCCCTGTGCTGCCCTGTGCTGCTTTGTGCTTCAAAGCGCTGCCCTGTGCAGCTCTGTGCTGGCCTGTGCGATCTGCTCTGCTCTAGCGTATGGGCAAACAGCCGACAAACGTTGACAGAGTGGATAGTGCTTTGCCGCTGCTTGGTCGCCCATGTCTTCATGCTTTTTGTGTCTCTGGTTGTGTGCATGCATGCGCATGGCCTGTGTTGTGTGCATGTGCATGTCTATGTGCTGCATGGCTTGGCTAAGTGCATGGCCTCCATGCGATTGCTCCCATATGCATGTTCCCATGTGCATGCTCCCATATGCATGTCCCATGTGCATGCTCCCATATGCATGTCCCATGTGCATGCTCCCATATGCATGTCCCATGTGCATGCTCCCATATGCATGTTCCCATGTGCATGCTCCCATGTGCCTATCTCCATGTGCTTGCTCCCATATGTCTATCCCTGTGTGCTTGCTCCCATGCGCCTATCCCTGTGTGCTTGCTCCCATGCGCCTATCCCTGTGCACTTGCTCCCATGTGCCTATCCTCGTGTGCATGCTCCAGTTCCAATGGCGTTCCTTTGCCCTTGGCTTCAGCTTCTTTGTCTTCCTCACCATCCTCCGCATCCTGGTGAGCTGCCATGTAACCATCCTCTGCATCCTGGTGAGCTGCCATGTAACCATCCTCCGCATCCTGGTGAGCTGCCATGTAACCATCCTCCGCATCCTGGTGAGCTGCCATGTAACCATCCTCCGCATCCTGGTGAGTCACCGTGTCACCATCCTCCGCATGGCAAATGATGGCTACATCCACATGCGGGTGTTACCATGTAAGATAATATAGCCTTGTGCTCTGGTGAGTTACCATGGCGCCCATCATCTTTGTGTTCGTGGGTCACCATGCATTAGCATGCATGTCGGGGGTTGACACAATGCCAACTCATGCATGTCCTATACAAGCCACTGTTTTGTGCCATACCTCCTATGCACTTCTCATGCAACATCAAGCCGTCACATGATCACTGGTCCATATATGCCATGCCATCCCTTACACACGCCAGCATCACCCCTAACACACGCCAGCATCACCGCCAGCATCACCCCTTCACGTGACTCCATTTGTTGACTTCTCCCATCCCTTTCCATCTCATCCCATCCCATCCCATCCCATCCCATCCCATCCCATCCCATCCCATCCCATCCCATCCCATCCCATCCCATCCCATCCCATCCCATCCCATCCCATCCCCTCCCATCCCATCCCATCCCATCCCCTCCCCTCCCCTCCCCTCCCCCTCCCCTCCCCTCCCCTCCCCTCCCCTCCCCTCCTACTCCCTGCCCTTCCCTTTCCTTCCCATGCGCCATCAGTGGCAGACCACATTGTACCCCATCAGCTAGCTGCTCTTATGCTAATGCTTCTTCCGTTCTCATGCCATTCCATGCCACTCCATGCCATGCCATGCCATGCCCTGCCATGCCCTGCCCTGCCCCCCTGCAGACCAAGATGTACCCCAAGAGCAAGGCCCTCCTCTATGCCAATGCGCTCGGCTCATCTCTCATTACCATGCCATGCCATGCCCTGTCTGCCATGCCATGCCATGCCATGCCCTGGCATGCACCATCCATGGCAGACCAAAATGTACCCCAAGAGCAAGGCCCTCTTCTACTCCAATGCGCTCGGCCCCATCTTCTCTATAGTGCTCTCCACTATCATCGTGGGCACCACTGGCATCTACAACAAGGGCGTCACCACTGTAAGTCCGGGCTTTAACGTCCTGGACCCCATCCCCTATATAACGCTCTCCACTGTAATCTTGGGCACCACAGGGGTGTACAACAAGGGCGTGGCCACTGTAAGCCTGGGTGGCTTCAATACGGTGGGATGGGAGCCACGTGGCACTTGATTCGATGGTCCTGCTGTGTGTTGTTGAGTTCAGCGCAGCACACACCAACATGAGCACGCGCTCCTCGCACCAACGTTCTAGTTGTGAATGGAGGTGGGAGTGCAGGTGCAGGTAGACATGGGCAGGAAATTTCGAATCGCACCGCATTATGTTTAATCGCGTTTTTGCGATTGTGATTCTTTTTTTAATTCATTGCCCGATGCGATGAATTGTTTATCGCGCTATTTAAATTAAATCGCAAATAAATCGCGCTGGAAAACGCGATTAAACTGCGGGATGCGATTTTTTATGAATCGCACGCGATGTCGAAATACATCGCGCCGCGGAATCGCGCCAGCAAAGGGGGGGGAAACGCAAAGCCGAAAAACGCATTTCTGAAATTTCATGATGGAGAGACGGCCGTCGATGCGTGGGAGCTGGGCCCAGGGTTGTGAGGGCATTCTGAGGGGTTTCTGTTGGCTAGGAGATTGACTTGTAGTGACATTGTGCTACACCGTTAACTATGCTGCAGCACTGTTGCTTGCTTCCTCCACCTCCACTTCCCCCCCCCCCCCACCACCTTCCTACTCCCCACACGCCCCCCCCCCCCCCCCCCCCCCCCCCCCCCTCTTTCTAACACTTGCCCATACTTTGTGCTACGAAAGTCGGGCCCCTATACCACGGGGGCTCTCGCACCTGCGTGAAACCCACTCCGAAGCAGAATTATTTATCTAAACTGCCGCGTACGACTGCCCGTGATCCGCATTCCCGTCGGCTTTTTTTTTTTTTCCGGTTTTTCTGGGGTTTTTTTATTTTAAATAATTGCTATGCGATTTAAAATCGCATCGTGCGATTGAATTCAATACCGCATGCGATTTTAACATTCATCGCGCGCAGAATGCGATGTATGTGTATGTGCGATTTGTTTTTTCACAAAAAAAAAAAAAAAAAAAAAAAAACCAAACAAACAAACAAACAAACGCGATGCGATTTAAATCGCAATCGCATTTTCTCCATGTCTAAATGCAGATGGGAATGCAGGTGGGAATGCAGGTGGGAACGCAGGTAGGCAGCATCAAGAGGGGCCTGGGCGGCAGGTCGTCCATGTGGGCGATACACTCGCATCCCCCTCCACTCCCCGTTCCCCCGTCCCCTTCCCTTCCCTCCCCGCCATCCCGCTCTCCATGCATGCGCGCAGGTGGGCACCATAAAGAGAGGCATGGGCAACATGTCGTCCGTGTGGGCGATTGACTTGCACCACGAGTACACCGACGAGGTCGCCCTCATAGCTCTCTACGCCGCCCTCGTCTCCCTTGCCGTAAGCCCTACTCTACCCAATCTCCCTTGCGCTTGAACCCTCCGCCCCACCATGTGTGGGTGTGTGCAAGCATACATGGGTAAGCAGTAAACCAATGAAGTTGCCTTCATCTCTCTCTATGTCACCCTCGACCCCCGCGACCCCCTCGACCCCCTCGACCCCCTCGACCCCCTCGACCCCCTCGACCCCCTCAACCCCCTTGACCCCCTCGACCCCCTCGACCCCTTCGACCCCCTCGACCCCCGCGACCCCCTCGACCCCCTCAACCCCCTCGACCCCCTCGACCCCCTCGACCCCCTAGACCCCCTTGATCCCCTCGACCCCCGCGACCCCCTCGACCCCCTCGACCCCCGCGACCCCCGCGACCCCCTCGACCCCCTCGACCCCCTCGACCCCGTCAACCCCAGCGACCCCCGCGACCCCCTCGACCCCCTCGACCCCCTCGACCCCCTCGACCCCCTCGACCCCCTAGACCCCCTCGACCCCCTCGACCCCCGCGACCCCTCGACCCCCGCGACCCCCACGACACCCTCGACCCCCTCGACCCCGCAACCCCCTCGACCCCCTCGACCCCCTCGACCCCCTCGACCCCCTCGACCCCCTAGACCCCCTTGACCCCCTCGACCCCCGCGACCCCCTCGACCCCCTCGACCCCCGCGACCCCCGCGACCCCCTCGACCCCCTCGACCCCCTCGACCCCTTCAACCCCAGCGACCCCCGCGACCCCCTCGACCCCCTCGACCCCCTCGACCCCCTCGACCCCTAGACCCCCTCGACCCCCGCGACCCCCTCGACCCCCTCGACCCCCTCGACCCCCTCGACCCCCTCGACCCCTCGACCCCCTCGACCCCCTCGACCCCCTCGACCCCCTCGACCCCCTCGACCCCCTCGACCCCCTCGACCCCTGCAACCCCCTCGACCCCCTCGACCCCCTCGACCCCCTCGACCCCCTTGACCCCCTCGACCCTCTCGACCCCCTCGACCCCCTCGACCCCCTCGACCCCCTCGACCCCCTTGACCCCCTCGACCCCCTTGACCCCCTCGACCCCCTCGACCCCCTCGACCCCCTCGACCCCCTCGACCCCCTCGACCCCCTCGACCCCCTCGACCCCCTCGACCCCCTCGACCCCCTCGACCCCCTCGACCCCCTCGACCCCCTCGACCCCCTCGACCCCCTCGACCCCCTCGACCCCCTCGAACCCCTCGACCCCCTCGACCCCCTCGACCCCCTCGACCCCCTCGACCCCCTCGACCCCCTCGACCCCCGCGACCCCCTCGACCCCCTTGACCCCCCCATCCCCTGGAACCCTCAACCCTAAACGCATGAACTTGGCCTCTTCGCTATCCATGTGGCCTCATCTCCCTTCCACTCCCCTCCTCCCCCTTCAAGTCCGCCTTCCTCTCCTTCCTTCTTGTGCTTCTCCTTCCTGCGTGCAGGAATCTATCGGCATAGGCCGCACTTTTGCCGGCATGTATGGTTACCACATCGATGGTAACAAGGAGGTGGGTGGTTACCACATATCTTACCACATACATGGTAACAATGGGTGGGTTGGGCTCCCTCTCACGTCGCTATTCCGTGCACTAGGATAGCAGAAAATATGCAACAGGGGCATATTTATGTGAATACTCAGTGTGCCCTCTATTGCCCTTCAGGTGCCTCTACCATCATCACCACCACCATCCACTCTTACTGCTACTCACTCACTTCGCACTCTCACACTCCTCTGCACTTTTGCTTCGCCCTTTCTTTCCCGCCCTCTCTCCTCCCCGTCCCCCACCCAGCTCATAGCGTATGGCGCCATGAACCTCTCCGGATCCTTCACCTCCTGCTACGTCGCCACAGGTGCGTTCGAAGCGGTTCAATGCGGTGATATGCGGTAAGGGTACCCTATTCAGGGCATGGCGAAGGAACGCTCGCCTGGGGCCCCTAAAGCGCTGATGGCAGCACACCTGGGCTCCACGAACGCTACACCTCTTGCTCTCTCCCCAGCAATGGCACCCACTTGGAAAAATACCCCTATACCTTCCGTTCTTCTCCCTGCTGCATCCTCCCTGCTGCATCCTCCCTGCTGCATCCTCCCTGCTGCATCCTCCCTGCTGCATCCTCACTGCTGCATCCTCCCTGCTGCATCTCCCTGCTGCATCCTCCCTGCCGCCTTCAGGCTCCTCCTTGAGCCACTTTTTGCTGCCACCTCGTGATAGGAGTCTAGTTTTGAGGCTCCTTGAACCACTTTTTGCTGCCACCTCGTGATAGGAGTCTAGTTTTGAGGCTCCTTGAGCCACTTTTTGCTGCCACCTCGTGATAGGAGTCTAGTTTTGAGACGCCTCAAAACTATCCTCCCTGCCGCCTTCAGGCTCCTCTCCTTGAGCCACTTGTTGCTGCCACCTCAAAGTGCCTCCACTGCCCCTCTCGTCTTCACTTCCCCTCTCTCGTCTTCTCCCTGTGCGCCCCGGTCCTGTTTGCCATCTCCCTTGCCCCTGCCTCGTCTCTGCCCCCCGCAGGCTCCTTCTCGCGCACGGCGGTCAACATCCTGGCGGGCGCGCACACCGCGCTCACGCAGATCATCCTCTCCATCACCATGCTCGTCGTGCTCCTCGCCGCCGCCCCCGCCTTCCAATACGTGCCCAGTGTATGCCCCCCTTCCCTCCGCCCCTTGCCTTCCAGTGTGCTTGTGCTCCATCCTCTCCGCCTCCTCCCCTTGATGCATCGGTTATGCCACCCAGATAGTGTGTCCTCCCATACCCTCTGTGCACTGCCTTTTACTTCACACACCCTCCTTTTCACTCACATGGTTGCATCCTGCCCCCTTCACTCGCTGCCCCCTTCTCTCTCTGCCCCCTTCTCTCGCTGCCCCCTTCCCGCCTTCATCCCCCCCCCACCCCCCTGCAGTGTGTGTTTGGTGCAGTCACTGCCAACTCCATGCGTCTCTCTCATTCTCCTTTCCTCCTCGCTTGCCCTGTCCCCGTCCCTCCCTCCCCTCCCCTGCAGTGTGTGGTGGGTGCAATCATCGCCAACTCCGTGCTCAACCTGGTAACCCACCCTCCTCCCTGACTCCCTTCTCTTCCTCCTACCTCCTTTTATCTTCTGTCTTCCTCCCTCTCCGCTCCTCCCTGTCGCTAGTCCAGCTACCACGTAGTCTACTCTACTTTTCGTAGTCTCACACGAAGAAGCCCGTTTTGAGGCGCCTCAGAAGTGGTCGTCTCACACACTTCTCATCAAAGTGTATGTAGCTGCCTGTAGAAAGGTCTCCATGAATGTAGGAAACTTCTCAGCAATCCCCTTTAGCCGCTGCATGCCCCCGTGACCCGTCTGCCTTCACCTCATCCCCCTCCCAGCTCGACTTCAAGGCGGCCTTCCAGATCTGGCGGGTGGACAAGCTTGACTTCGTAGTCATGCTCGGGTGCTTCCTCGGGATCATCTTCGGGTCCCCCGAGATCGGCCTGCTGGTGGCCTCCATCTTCTCCTTCCTCAAGCTGCTGCTGCGTATCGTTCGCCCCCACATCCGCCTGCTCGGCCTGCTCCCGGGCGGCGCCGCTACAGCAGTGAGCGTGCTACAGTTCCCCAACAGCACGCTGTGCGAGGGCATCGTGATGCTGAGGATCGAGAGCCCACTCTACTTCCCTGCGGCTAACTTCTGCCGGCAGCGCATCAAGAAGCTGTGTGATGCTTATGCGAGGGGATACCAGCAACCAGTGCGGGTGAGTGAGTGTAATGGTAGTGCTGCTACGGAGGGGACAGGGTTTTGGATACTGAGGATTGGGGGTGGGGGTTGGGGATCCAGAGCCCGCTGTACTTCCCTGCTGCAAATTTCTGCCGGCAGCGAATCTAGAGGCTGTGACATGTATGTATGCGAGGGGTTACCAGCAGCCAGTGAGGGTGAGAGCTCGTGTCTGATTGTTCTGTTTGGTGGGCTGGTTGTTCTTCCCCCCCGTCCCCCCCGTTCATAGCGCTGCATCCTTGACGTATCAGTCACGCACAACTTTGCCATGTTGCCCATCGCACCACCCTCCTGCTGTCCTTCCCCCCACCCCGCTCCACCCCACCGCCCTACCCCCCTCTCGCCGTCACACGCTCTGGACCTGTCAGTGATGCACGACATCGACGAATGCCCCATCCCCCCTTATACCCCGGCCCCCCACCCCCACTCCCCTTTTCCTCTCCTTCCCCCGAGCAGCACTGCATCTTGGACCTTTCAGTGATGCACGACATCGATGTGTCGGGCATAGACGGGCTCAAGGAGCTCCACCGAGATTTATCCGAGAAGAGCATTCAGGTGGGTCATGGCTGTGGGGTGCGCTGTGAGGGGGGGTATGGGCGAGGGGCCGCATCGATATGTCGGGCATCGACGGCTTCAGAGACCTGCGCCAGGATCTCTCCGAGAAGAGCATTCAGGTGTGATGGGATACGGGCCATGCTTTGTGTGGGCTGTGTGGGCTATTCTCTCTAAGCCGTCCTGTCGGGCATTGACGGCCTCAAAGGCTGCACTGGAATCTGTCTTAGAAGAGCATTCAGATGAGTAATGGCTGTGGGATATGCACTGTGAGGGGGGATATGGGCGATGGGCTTAACAGACATGACTTCGCAGCCGTCCTGTGAGGCATTGACGGCTGCAAAGAGAAGAGCAAGCCTCTCATCCGTTTCACTTCTGCTGCTGTGCCTGTCGAGCGCCTCAAGGAACATTCTTTGCAGCCTGAGGAACGCCATGTTTCCCACCGAGGTGCGCAGGCACTGGATCTCACCATTCCCCTCTCTCCCCTCTCTCCCCTCTCTCCCCTTTCCCCTCAACAGCTCTGCCTGGTCAGCGCATCGAGGGATGTCCTGCGCAAGCTGTGGGATGCCAATTTCCTAGCAGAGATAGGCAAGCAGTGGCTCTTGCCTTTCCCCTCACTCCCCTCTCTCCCCTCTATTCCGTTTCTCCCTGTCTGTTGCCCTACAGCTGTGTCTGGCCAGCGCATCGAGGGATGTCCTGCGCAAGCTGTGGGACGCCAATTTCCTTGCAGAGATGGGCGAGCAGTGGCTCTTTGTCACGCCGGCCGATGCCGTCAAGCTCTGCCGCTCCGTGGCTGTCGCTGCGCCGGCCATCAAAGAGCAGGATGAGCTGCTGGCGTCTGTTCAGGTCTACGACATTTAGGCTGACTGGTACAGAGCAGCTGTGTGGTATATGTGACGCCAGCCGACCCCGTCAAGCTCTGCCGCTCGGTGGCTGTTGTTGCGCCTGCCTGTTAAAAGCAAGATGAGCTGCTGGTCTGTGCTAGTGGACACCAGCCGAAGCACAAGCTCTGTGCTCCGTGACCGTGTCAGAGCTGGTAATCTCAAGAGCATGATCAACTGCTGGAGTGCGTTCAGGTGTATGATATCTAGGCTGTACAGCAGGCCCTGTTTCCCTCCAGAAGCGTGCTATTTGGGGCACCGACCGAAACGCTGGGCGGCTGTGCTGCTCTGCGGCTGTGGCAGAGGCGGCAATCCAGGAGGGGGAGGACAGAAAGCTGGCACCCGTGTGGTGATCCTACGCCTGCCTGCGGTGCAGAGCAGCCCTGGTTGTTTATTAGCCTTGGGAAAGGCTGGCTGGTTGGTTGGCACCTGCTATAGATTTTAATTTAATAAAGCTCCGAATTGTGGATTGGTTATTGCTGAGTGTTTCATAGCAATGGTACATTCCAGCACCAGAGGAGCTTACAGATTGGCTCTTATTTACATTGCTATGACTGATTTGTACACTACTCGTGCCACCTACAGCCATTCGTCAACCCACCCTGCTGGAAGCCCTCTTGGCAGGGGAAACACAACACGGAGGATGGAGAGATGATGGATGATGAAACCAAGGTTTGGGAGGATGGAGAGATGATGGATGATGAAAGTGAGGTTTGGGAGGGAGACGACGAGAGCAGTGTCTCTACCGTCATCACCCCTGACGGCGCCGTGCTGCTGCTTGCCACTGCATCGGTATCGGCCCCGTTCTCTCCCCTCTCCCTGTTGCCTCGTTGCACCATTGCACTCGGGCGCGGGGCCAGCTAGGACGGGCGCGAGGGCCGTGAGGACGGGCGCGCGGGCGCAGCTAGGACGGGCGCGCGGGCGCGGCTAGGACGGGTGCGGGGTCGACTAGGACAGACGCGGGGGCGGCTAGGGCCTAGGGCGGAAGCATGGGCGGGCGGCGGGACCTACCTACTTCTGATACCATCTTAGAACTGAGTAATAGGTTTGATAGTGAGAGAGTACAAGTGAAAATACCTAAGTGTTGTACCCTCTAAGAGGTGACCCTATACAGTCTATACAAACATAACAGATACACATGTTTGACAACCGGCACCAAAGGAGCTTAGGTTGGCTCTTATTTACATTGCTACAACTGATTTGTACACTATTCGTGCCACCTACAGCTATTTCTCAACCCACCCTGCTGGAGGCCCTCTTGGCAGGGGAAACACAACACTGAGGATGGAGAGATGATGGATGATGAAACCGAGGTTTGGGAGGATGGGGAGATGATGGATGATGAAACCGAGGTTTGGGAGGGAGACGACGAGAGCAGTGTCTCTACCGTCATGACCCCTGACATCGCCGTGCTGCTGCTTGCCACTGCATCAGTATCGGCCCCGTTCTCTCCCCTCTCCCTGTTGCCACGTTGCACCATTGCACTCCTATTGCTGGCCCTTTCGACCCCAGGAGATCGCCTTCTCCTTCTAGAAACGGATTGTAGCAGCATAGGGGCCACCCTATAACGCACAATCTCTGCCCCCTTACCCCTCAGCCAGGGATCTTTCAAAATCTCCTCAGCCTTCGGCCGCATCTCAGGATCCACCGACAGCATCCGACGGACCAGATCCTTCGCCTGCCGCGACACAAACCACCAGCAAGAATTTGCCCAGTCCCTCCCCTCGTCCAACCTCCTCTCTCCGCCCTCAAACGCGGGCCAGCACCCTGACAGCATGGCATACAGCGTCACGCCAAGGCTCCAGATGTCGGCGCTGTGGTCGTACGCTTCCCCTGAGATCATCTCCGGTGCTTCGTAAGGGAAGCTCCCCCCATACCCCAGTGCCTCCTGCTCGGTGAGCAGCCGGATGGAGATGCCAAAATCCCCCAGCTTGGCGGTGTAGAGCCGCAGATCGTCTGTGGCCGGCGATTCAGAGCTCTCCGCGTGTACCGTTGCTGAGAAACCGGCATGGCTGCTACCAGCATCAGCAGACGAGTCGTCTTCGCATGGCGCCGCCACAGCAGCGCCAGTAGCACCATGGTTGTGCCGCATTTCGCGCAATGGCTTGGGGCAGAGGAGGACATTTTCGAGTTTGATATCGCGATGCACCACGCTTCGCTCGTGGCATTGGCGCACCGCCATGGCCATGTCCCTAAACACGCTCCGCGCCTCGCGCTCTGAGACCCGTCCCTTCTCTTCCACGCGCCGCAGCAGATCGCCACCGGTGCACAGCTCCATGACCAGATACAGCGAATCGGACTCCACGTCACGGTAGACGTCTTTAATCGCCGCCACGTGGCTGCAGCCTTCCAGGAGCATCAGGTTCCGGATCTCCCGTCGAGCCGCGTTCATGGCTGCTGCGGGATTTTTCAGGTTGAGCGAGCCGCTGACGTGCTTGCACGCGAGCTGCTCTCCCGTGGCGCGGTGGACGCAGCGGTGCACCACGCCGTACTGCCCGCGACCCAGCTCCTCTCGCATCTCGTACTGGCGATGAAAATCGCTGGGACTTGTTGGAAACACAGCCATGCAATGGTGTCGATCTTATGTGTGGTATCGCGTGTGTGTGAGCTGTCAGAATCGGCCTGCTTGTAGAGGTAGTGATAGCAAGGAAGTAGAAAGAAAGCATGTGCTGGAGAGTGAAAGGTGCAGTCGGGGAAGTGGGGGAGCTGAAATGCTGCTATTTGAAGGTGGCATTTGGTTTGGGTCTCCCACTTTCGTACTCTTTGACTCGGCAACACGGGTCGTGGATATCGCGAACCAGCGGATTGGCTCACGATTGTGCCGGCTGAGGCTGCGAGGTTTGCACGATAAGTTACCAAGGCTTGCGAACATCGTCAGGTCACGCACCCATTGTTGCGCGCGATGAGCGGGGTTTATTAGGACGCTTGGGGCACTCAAGTTTGTTCGTGAGGGGAAATGATGACCTCAGCAATGCTCTCGAACCCCATTCGTCAAGGAAAGAAACGCGAATCAAGCCCGGCGTGCGAAGCCGGCCGTTCCACGGAGATGAAACCGCGTTTCAGGAGAGCTAGTCAACGGGCTGTCAAAGGCGTCAACTCCGGAACCGCATTCTTTACAGAACCGCACCATTGTAATTACCGTACATATGATACTGCATGTTACACTAAACCAAAGAATTGGCTTGAGGTGAACAAACGAAGGCCAAAAAGCATGAGTCCAATTGAAGTGAGACATTGAATATAGAATATAGAACCAGCATTTTGGTGGCTGTGAGATGCGCGTGACCCAACACATCTGACAAAGTGGTCATGTTCACCCCCTCGTGCAAATTTACATTCAACTTTGGTTTCAATAATTCCGCACCACAATGTATTTGTCCCAAGTTCTACTCTAGCATCTCTTGGCCTTCCCTTAGCTAGCTTACCTTTGCCTTAGTATGTTTCTCAACTCTTCCCTGCATAAATCTCTTGACATTGCTCGCTCTCAAACACTTGCTGTGACATAAGGCGCCTTCCCACTGCGTGTGTGCACCTTCTTTCCCGAACCCAGTTTTTTGACTGTTGAAACGAAGTAGGGCATGAAAGAACATCAGCATTGATTCAAGGGCAGGGGCCAACGTGGGTATGAGAAAGCCTGCACGATATCGTATGTCAAGACTATAAACATTCCATTTTAGTAATCATACAAACAAAAAACAAAACTAGACCTAACGCGGCATGCCGACGCGCTGACGAGCGTGTTAGATAAAACTTAGATCATGGACGAAGCTTAAGCGCTTTCCTCCTCGCCCTTTCCGGTGGACTTCTTCGGCAACAAGACGGACTGGATATTGGGAAGAACACCGCCAGCCGCGATGGTAACAGCTCCAAGAAGCTTGCTTAGCTCTTCGTCGTTCCTTACGGCGAGTTGGATGTGGCGCGGAACGATTCTCGTCTTCTTGTTGTCACGAGCGGCGTTCCCGGCAAGCTCAAGAACCTCAGCAGCCAAGTACTCGAGCACGGCGGCCAAGTAGACGGGAGCACCGGCTCCTACACGAGTGGCATACTTCCCAGCCTTCAGGAACCTTGCGATTCTTCCGACGGGAAATTGAAGCCCTGCCTTTGCAGAACGGCTGACGGCCTTCTTGCCTGAGGACTTTCCACGGCCCGACATGGTTGTGAGGAAACGGGTAAGCGACTAAAGATTGAAGAAGATCACGCTGAAGAGATTAGGAGGCTTGGTGGTTGCGAGAAAGAGCACTGAAATGCGTCGTTTGAAAACTAAGCGCAAGCTGAACGCTTTTTGTAGGGCGAGAGAAGGAAGTTTGCCAATTTGAAGTGTTGAACAGCCAATGAAAAACGCACATAGGGATCGAAGAAGCAGAAACGTCTGCCTTATGCAGGACCGTCGGATAGAAACTGCGCGAAGCACGCGATTGATCTCAACAAAATACGAGGATGGATTGTAATTGGTCACGCTAACGCAGAAGCAAGCGAGCGTCGATACAACACTAGTCGATATTACATAGTAACGATATGAGCACTATTTCAGAAAAATCATATAAGTTGCATGCAAGCGAACAGTAAAGATCACCCATATCAAATTATACATCCATACTAGTGTGTTTGTTTCAATAAAATAATGCCTGTATACTAGAATTATACATTAATTACTATCGAATATCATACGGTTGGGTAAATTCAACATTACCAAATTCATCGTCTATATCAAAAAAACTTTAATCATGCAGCATTTTGTTGAAAGCTCTACTTTGCATTGCTGTTGGATTTGATAGTATACAACTACCATGCAATCTGTTTTTTCTCTTTAATAACCCTATGTTTCTTTCAAAAACTGCATTATTCTTCAATGCACGCATGTGACGACTATGAGGTCCTAACAATTTGATAATCATTATTTGATAAAGCATACTAGCAATCCCAAATGTTTTGTGGCTCTGTATATCAAAATAGCGAAGTGTGTAATAGCAAGGCATTGATGTGGCATATATGGGTTGCGTATTGTACTCTCTAAGAGCACTAACTCATATAACCTATAACTATACATACTGAACATATGTATAAGTTGGCACACACCGTAGACTAGATAAGGGACAGTGCCTAACAAGAGACACGCTCAAGGCTCTAAGAATAACGCAATGAACTAGAATGAGTGATGCAGGGTGGTTTTGTCATAAGGAGTTGTAATCTTTAGAAGCATGCACCTATCTAGCATATAACATATACAAATATATGTTAACACGCCCCCTACGCTAGACAAGGGGCAATGATTAGCGAGACACGCAGCTCAGGGTGGCACTACTAGTCCAACCTCTAATGCAAGGGTCTGAAGACCAGTCAGCAAGACTACAAAGGAAACAAGAGTAATCCAGAGCGGCACTACTAGTTCAGCCACTGGAACAGGAGCCACAATGCCACTCAAGGTAATATAAGATATAGTACACAATCAAGGTCCTAGCAAGTGAGAAGCTACATGAACTAGACCAAGCTGTACACAGTGCCGCTGATGATCTTTAGGCGCAAGCGCCTTAGTAAAGATATCAACTGTGTTGGCACCGGCAGCCAAGTGAACAACGCGGGCCCAGCAGCGCTGCTGTAGCTCGCGTATGAGGAAGTACCACAGTTGGATCTGTTTCGCTCAGCCCTCCAGTCGAGGCTCCTGACACAGGAGGACCATGGCCATGTTGTCAGCGTACAGGACCGGGGCAAAGCTAGGCCGCTCATCTAAGTCAGCCAGCGGAGCTCCTGTGCCCCTATGGCACCAACGTAGATCTCAGCCTCACAGCTAGACTCAGCCACAGACAACGAGCGAGTGGACCTCTACGGGATGGCGCCTGCACCGAGGCTAAAGGAGTAGCCCTGGAAGAACCTGAGCGTCTCAGCGCCGTCCGCCCACAAAGCATCTGTGTGCCCTTAAGGAGCACTGGCCTGCGTCCTCCTAGCTCTAGCCCCATGCCCGATGTACTTGCTAGATAACGCAAAACCCTCTTAGCGGCCGACCAGTGTTGTGGTCGGTGTCTGCCTGTGGCCACAAAGCGAGCCAGGATGCTGAGAGGGAATGCGAGATCTGGACGAGTGCAAGTCATCAGGTACATAAGGCAACCCACCAGCTATGCGTAAGGACCACTAGGCTCTACAAACTCCTCAGAGACTGGAGCCGAGAGCATGTGATCTACTTGCAGAGATGTGGGCTGTGCAGAGGAGAACTGAAGGTCGAACCTCTGAAGGACCTGGCGCACCAAGTGCGACAGTGTAAGAGTAATGGTGCGCTCTGCTCTGTCCCTGGAGATCTGCAGGCCAAGGTAGTAGCGCAGGTCTCCTATGTCAGTACAGGTGTGTCTCCTCAGCAGCTCAGCCTTCACGGAGGCCAGTGCGTCTCTGTCTGCAGTAATGAAGGCCAAGTCGTCTATATAGATTAGGATGTAGAATCGGGTCTGGCCAGAACGAACGAAGAGCGAGGGGTCTGCAGACGACGAGGAGAACTACAGCTCAGCTAACGTAGCATGCACCGTGTCGTCCCACTCACGGGGTGCCTGCCGCAGGCCGTAAACCAGGCACCGGAGGAGCCACTCGGTACCAGGGGCGAAGGTGCTGGTGAAACGGGCAGGTAGACCTGCTCATGCAGACTATCCTGGAGAAACACTGTGGAGAAGTCGAGGGAGTGCAGCACGTAGTCACGCTGTACTGCTACGTGTAGCAGCACCCGAAGATTGGTCATCTTCGGGGTCGAGGCGAAGGTCTGAAAAAAGTCAACACCCTCTCGCTGACTAAAGCCTCGAGCAACGTAGCGCGCCTTGAACACCGACGGCTCTCCAGGAGGGCGCTTCACCGTGAAGAGCGACCGGCCATCGACTACGTTCATCCCGGTGGGAGAACTGCGTCGACATAGGTGCAGGTGGATTACCAAGATGCCATCTCCGCGTCCATGGCAGCAATCCACTGAGAGACCTAGGGTCCCGAGGTCGCCTCAGTGTACGTGCAAGGGGTCGGGATGTCAAGGGCGTCTGGGTCACCCTCAGGGACTAGCAGCATGGAGCAGAGATGGGGAGCGGCCTCGGAAAGGAAAGCGAGCTCGTATTGTCTGTCCTCTAGAACGTCATTGCCAATGGCTACTTGAACCAGACCAAACTGTAGACACTGCTGCTGATTATCTTTAGGCGCAAGTGCCTTAATAAAGATATCAGCCGTGTTGGCACCGGAGGCTAAGTGTACTACGCAGGCCTGGCTGCGTTGCTGTAGCTCATGCAGGAGGAATCTTAGCGTTGTTCCTCCTAGCTGCGTTCCTCCTGAGAGGAAAGAGCCAGGCTGCAGATCTCCAGGGACAGAGCATTGTGCACCATCACTTTCACACAGTCACATTTGATGTGCCAGGTCCTTCAGATGTTCGGCCTTCAGTTCTCCTCCACACAGCTCACCCCCCTGTTTGTCGAGCACAGGCTCTCGACTCCATTCCTTAACAAACCAGTCGAGCCCAATGGTCAGTATGCAGAGCTTATGTATTGCCTCATGTACATGATGACTTGCATTCGTCAAGATTTTGCATACCCTCTTAGTATCCTCGCACGCTTTGTTGCGACTGGCAGACATCGACCCCAGCACTGGTTGGTTGCTAAGAGGGTGTTGCGATATCTGGCGAGTACATCAGGCTTGGGGTTAGTGCTGGGAGGAAGTAGACCAATGATTATCACCGGACACATAGACGCTTCGTGGCCGAACAACGCTAAGATTCTCCGGTCCTCTCAGGGCTACTGCTTTAGCCTTGGTGCTGGAGCCATCTTGTAGAAGTCCACCCACTTTTCGTCTATTGTACATGAGTATCTTAGCTATTGTATGAGCTAGTATCTTAGCTATTGTATGACCCCCTCGCGCCGATTGAAGCCTCTAGCAACTTAGCGCGCTTTGAATACCAGCGGCTCTGCAGGCAGGTGCTTCACCTTGAAGAGCCACCGGCTATCGACTACGTTCGCCCCAGGAAGGGGAACTACGTCGACGTACGTGCCGGTGGATCTCCAAGATGCCATCTCTGCATCCATGGCAGCTATCCCTTGAGGGGTGGGGATTTCAAGAGTGCCTACGTCCTCTCTGGGGCTAGCAGCATGGAGCAAAGATGAGGAACATCCTTGGCAAGAGAGCTAGCTCGTATTGCCTGTCCTCTAGGACATCACTTCCAAGGGCATGTGCACCCCCGGCGGACTGAGGACGAGCAGGGGCGGAGACCAGAGCAGTGGCTTAGTCAAGGCGGCGGATAGAGACAAAGTCTGTGACAGCAACGACAAGAGCTGAGAGTCTAGAGATAGGAAAAGAGGGGTCGGTAACGAGTGAGGCTAGGACACGAGGAACAAGAGGGCTAGCAGTATGGAGGAAGTCAGGGAGTGGAGGCGAGGAGACAGCGAGGGATGACTGAGGAGGCGAGGGGAGAACAGGAGCAGGAGGAGCATTAGACGCGTGAGACCGGAGGAACATAAACTAAATACTCGGAGCAGGAGAGACGAGGTGAGCACGAGAGGGACAGCGAGACCAGAAGTGGGAGGGAGGCGTCGGGTGAAGAGATAGAGGAGGAGACAAAGGAGGAGAACGAGGGGGGAAACGAGCCGGAGACGAGTCCCGCGGAGGGAACACGGGGCCGTAGACAGGAGGAGGAGACGCAGGCGGTCGGTCGGGGGAGGAGGAGGGAAGAGCAAGGAGACGAAGGGAGGACACCGGTTGCGGCTGCTGTAGCTGCTCCGGGCCGACACCAAGACCTCCAGGCCCATTGCTGCTACCGCCGATACTAGTCGAGATATCACCTCTAGGACCCGCACCCCCAGGATTAGCACCCCAAGAGCTAGTACCCCCCCCCAGAACCAGCACCCGTAGCGCCAACACCCCAAGAGCCCATCGACCCAAGCTGTTGCGGCGGCTGCTGCCACCGCTGTGGCGGCTGCAGTTGTTGCTGCTACGGTGAGAGAGGCACCAAAGCCGGGGGTGCAGGTGCCGCAGAGACAAACGGCGCTCCCGGAGCCTCGGGACCCCCAAAGTTATCAGACTTCTCCGCCAGGCAAACCGAGGGAAGGGGAGTGATATGAGACACCAGACGGGGCACGACGGGGGGGGGGAGGGGAGAGGGAGCTACCGGGGGAGTGGGGACAAGGGGTAGGGGCAGGGCAATGGGGAGACCTCGCTGTGGAAAACCAAGGAAGACACAAGGGACAATGCGGGTTGTGAGCTTGTCCGCGCGAGAGTTGCGAACGTGAGCGAGGCAGCCCCAGACGTGAAACGCTGACGCGTCACCAGGGGACCCAGTCCAGAGGAGGGTCGGCGAAGCCTGCGGGCATGAAGCGCCTAGCCACAGGTTAAGCTAGTGAGCAGTGTAGCGGATTGCAAACGGCCACAGAAAATGGGGTGCACCAGCATAGATCATGGAGGTACGAGCCATCTCAATGACTAACGCGATGCGTCGCTCAGCGATCCCATTCTGTTGTGGGGGTTCCGGGAGTGTGTACGACTGGGTGATGCCCTCTGCACGACAGAAATGGCCAAGCCGGCCGGAGGTGAACTCGCCTCCACTGTCGAAGTGTAGACGGAGCACAGGCTAGGCGCGGTGGACTCGAGCAGCTACAAGCCACGGGATAAGAACGACAGGCACGTCGGCTTTCTGCTCCACGGAAAACACTGTGGTGTAACGCAAGTAGTTGTCCATGAGAACCAGGAAGTAGCTCTCTCGGCACGGCCCCGGGACCAGGGCTGGGCCCTAGACGTCCAGGGGCATGGTATGAAGAGGCGCAGTGGTGGGGGAAGCGAGGAGGAGTGAGGAGCATGGCACTGCCGCCCCTCTACGCAAGGGGTGCACGGAGGCGCGGGCGAGGGAGGGAGGGCAGGAAGCAACGCAGGGAGACCTAAGACAAGACCATCTTGTGACATGTGACGGAGACGCGGAAGAGGGGGGTGACCTAGATGGTGGTGTCGTAGTAGCAACGGGTGAGTGAGCAACCGACACGAGCAGGCCGCAACGACCTACGTAGACGCAGCCACCTAGGGGGACGTGGTGTGCAGCGTGAACAGGCTAGACACAGGTTCAGGGAGAAACGTGATGAGGGAAGCACCAGTGGCGACCTCTGTACAGACTGCGTACTGCTCGTGTACAAGTAACGTTGTGGTGACGCTGAGGTCGTGAAGACAGCCGACACCAACCAGGTTCCTGGAAAACGAGGGGATGTGCAGACCTGTAAGAGAGCTAGGGGGAACCACCTGGAAAGCGGCGTGAGGGTGGTGTGGTCGCAAAAGAAGCATGCCGACGCACCGGAGTCCAACGTGAAGAAGAGCGCAGCAACGGCGTTAGCCGATGGGGGCGCAAGTGCGGAACCAAGGCTACACAAATCAGGAGGTCCCACGCCCGATGCAGCAGGGGAGCCTAGACTACACACAGCAGAAACACCTAGGCTAGGCAACACAGAGCAATAAGGTCCAGTAACACTAGAGTTGTCAGCCGACATGGCATACAAAGTAGAGCGGATCTGATCCAGATCAATCTCAACGATCGGCACATGGCAACGTTCTAGGCTCTATCAGCCGGGAGGGCCTGCGCGGGCCCGACGCGGAGACGAAAGAGGTCGTCGAGGCGGCAGTAGCAGCGAGCGGCGGTGTGACCGGAGCGGTCAAGCACGGTGCCACGAAGGGGACCAGACTGAATCTGGTATTGGCAACGCATCGAACTGGAGTCGCCGTCCGACTTCGAGCTGAGAGGGCCGCCTCCGGGGCCACCACCACCAAAGCCGCTTGGCCACCACGACGGCGGGGGCCCCCTCTCCTGCTGCTGCTGCTCTGGGGCTGCAGCCCCCACCCCCTCGTCTGCACCCCCAGCGCTCCCACCACTCCCAGCACCCCCACCACCCCTACCACCCATCCCTCCCCCACGCCCCCCTCTAGGGTGACAGGGGCCTCTACCCTAATGAGGTTGCGCTGAGGCCGCTGACAGTGGCTGTCTCAGCGATAGCGGCGGAAACGTCAGAGTAAGTGCACTGGGAGGGAGCACAACCTTGGAAGATAGGGACCGCCGCAAAACTTCTAGACTGAGCGATAGTGCACTGACGGGTCTCTATCGTCAACAGGGTTGCAACAAAGACGTCAAGGGTGAGGTCAGCGGGGTGGAAACTAAGGAACGTGTCGCGGGCAGTGGCTAGGCAGTCAGGGAGGCTCATGGCTAGGAAATAAAGTGTGGCGCCAATGGGATGGGGGAGTACAGTTACCTAAGCCTCTGTGCTAGCAGTGCGGTAACTAGACTCGAGAGCACGCAGGTGGTTTGCCAGATCAGCGATGGTGGGGAAGGAAGCTATGTAAGGGAAGAGCAAGGGCAGGAGGAGACGGCAAGCAGAGGCGGAGGAGGGGGTGGCATAGCATGCGATAACAGCGTCTAGATATTCCTTCGTAGTCGCTATGGCCTAAAAGCAGGGACGCTCGGATAGCGGGAGGGCATGACTGATAGCTAGCTGCGCAATAGTGTCGCGCGACTCCTAGACAGAGCGAGCAAGCTCAGCAGGTGCGAAAGCCTCGCGCGCAACAGGCAAGGCCGTAGCGAGGGCAGGACAGCTTACCGTCAACATGGGCGACCAGAGACTGGCCGTCCTGGCGCTGACCTTTCAGCTGGTGGCGCAAGTCGGCGAGCCAAGCCTCAAAGTCCACCACACGTCCCTCGGCGTCCAGGCGGAGAACAGCGTCCGCCATGGCGCACGCACGTCAGCAGAGGCGGTCGCAGCTCACCAGGGGCAGCCGCACGACAGTAGGCTGCAGCAGCTGAGGACACAGGAGGAGGAGGAGCCGGGGGCACGCGGGTGCGGTGGGGAGCGGTGGAGTGTGGTGGAGAGCGGTGGAGTGCGGTAAAGCTGGGGTCGGCGATGAAAGGAGCAGTGGCCGGCTCGGAGAGAAGGGGTCAGCGGCGAGCAGGGGCCGGCGGGGCAAGCTGGGGCCGGTGCGGCGATGTGGGGTGCGCGGCGAGGTGGGGTGCGTGGCGAGGTGGGGTGCGCGGCGAGCTGGGATGCGCGATGAGCTGGGGCCAGCGGCGAGATGGGGTGCGCGATGAGCTGGGGCCAGCAGCGAGATGGGGCCGGCGGCGAGCTGGGGCCGGCAGCGAGCTGGGGTCGGCGCGGCGAGCTGGGGCAGGCAGCGAGCTAGGGGCCGGCGCGGCGAGCTGGGGCAGGCGGCGAGCTAGGGGCCGGCGCGGCGAGCTAGGGGCCAGAGCGGCGAGCTAGGGGCGACGCGGCGGGCTAGGGCCGGGGCAGCGAGCGCGCTAGGGGCGCGGTACGCTAGGGGCGGGGCGCTCTACACTAGGCCGCGGCGGAAGCGTTGATGGGCGGGACCTACCTAGCGTGATACCATGTCAAAGTAGCGAAGTGTGTAATAGCAAGGCATACAGGTGGCATATATGGGCTAGGTGTTAAACTCTCTAAGAGCACTTACCCATCTAGCCTATAACTGTACGTACAAAACATATGTATAAGTTGAGAGTGTAGTCATCTGTTCAAGTGGAGGATTCCCGACCCCAATTTCCTACGTTCACTGGATCTGTGAGATGTTCATGCCTCATCCAACGCCTTCATCGAACCTCCAGCACTCTTCGGGACCTGCAGCAGTGCTTCTGCCTGCTAGTCCGTCCAGGATTCTCCTCTGCTTCGCCTCTTAGCGGCAATGGCGGCGGCTTCGAGCCGCGGTGGTCCATGGGGAGGGTTGCTGTGCGGGCTGGCGCTCATCCTGATCTGCGTCATGGCGTTCTCCATCCGCCTCTTCTCGGTGAGATTCGGATCCTGCTCGCTGCTGGATCTCGAGGTACTCAACGACGGGGATGGCGTAAGCTAGTTGTTTCGCTGGCCAGGAATGGAGATGCACGGAGACTGGATTTATGGCGCGCATTTAGGTGGCTTTTCTCGAGAAATCCCTCGAATCTCAGTCAGTCACCAGCACGAATCGGCGAGAACACGAGCTGCACGGGTCGAACTCAGGGCTACGGATATCCTGTCTCTATTCACAATAGTTCAAAGTAACGTCTTGCCGCATACGACATGCTCCGGCGACGCTATCGAGCCGCTGAGACTTGCAATGTCGACAGAAAGTACCGTCAGATCCGGATTGCAATCTCAAGACCTTGGTTTCAAAACCCGAACTTTTGCCATGGTCAAGTACGCGACTCCGTGTTTCCTGGCCTGGATTCCTGACTACACTGCTAGGCGGACGACGTTTGACAACTGAAAATATGCTTTGCGCGCTCGATCTAGGACAGAAACGGTTCTTCCAGTCGCGCATCACGGCACAGCTCCTTCGTGTGCGCTAATCTCGCACGCACCTCTGTCTATTGATGCGAATCTCGCACTCACCAGTGCTCGTCAACACCAATGGCATCCCTCACATGTCCCTCGTCTTTCCACGCCGTTGCACGTTCGTTTGAGCACCTCCCTGGTCATCTCCACGTGATCAAGTACGAGCGCGCCATCCACGGATTCGAGGGTTGATAATCTCGTTTTGAGACGTCTCAAAACGACATTATCAACCCCAGGCGATCAAGTGCGAGAGCGCCGTCCACGGATTCGACGCGAATTCGGCTCCCACTGCAACCGCCGCGTCAGCTCATGCATGTCTCTCGTCTCTCTCCATACTATCGCACCCCATTGTGCCGTCTTACCGGCAGGTGATCAAGTACGAGAGCGTCATCCACGAGTTCGACCCCTACTTCAACTACCGCGTCACTCAGGTGCCTCCCTCCCGCCTCGCCTTTCCCATCTCCTCTTTCCCGCCTCGCCTTTCCCCGTTCTTCCTCATCTTGTCGCGTTCTCGCTGCGCTTGACTAATCCTGCGGTTCTGAGGTTGCCACCTGGCATTCCCTTCTGGTTCTGCTCGCAATCCTCCTCTTTCTGTGTCGCCCTGTTGCGTCGCTGCAGTTTCTCTCGAAGGAGGGGTTCTACAACTTCTGGAACTGGTTTGATGACCGCACGTGGTGAGTGCTGGGGAGATGGTATGTGACACTAACGCCATGCGACACTAATGGCATGCGACACTAACGCCATGCGACACGAATGGCATGCGACGCTGCTGTCATATCGTCGTCCCACGGCTCTCCCTGGCATAGGATTTCGGGTTTCGCCGCCCTGCGCAAGTCCTCGCCCCCCGCTTCTGGCTGCCCCCTGATCTTGGCAGGTACCCTCTGGGCCGAGTCATTGGCGGAACGGTCTATCCGGGCCTCACCCTCACTGCCGGCACCATGTGGTGGTGAGTCGACGCGTGGGATGCATGGTCAGTCGGGGGCGTGGGATGCATGGTGGGTCGGGGGCTTGGGATGCATGGTGGGTTCGAGGACCTTTGATGCATGGTGAATGAAGGACGTTTTGATTCATGGCGAGTTAAGGCGGGACGGTCTACCGCCTACCCTGGTCTCTCTCACTGTTGGCACCATAAGGTGGTGAGTGGAGGGCGTTTTGGCGTATTGGTGGTGAGTCGAGGGGCGTAGAGTGTATGGCAAGTTTAAGGACATGATACCTTAACGCCCTCAGTAGTGCGCTTAACCTTCTCGGAGTTGTTAGCTCCAGTCTCCCTCCATTTCTTCCTATTTGCTTTTGAGTCGACTCAAAAGCTGTTAGCTCCAGTCTCGCTCCATTTCTTCCAATTTTCAGTAGCCGCTGCTTCCTCTCCGCCCTTCCTCCTCTCCCTCCACCATCCCTACAAGGCACGACGCCGCCCTCAATTTCCGTTCTCCATGGAAACCGTGTGTGTGTGTTCACGGCGCCAGTGCTCCTCCTTCCCTTGCCCTCTCCGCATCTGCTGCATCCCCACGCGCCACCATACAGGCTGGCCAACGCGCTCAACTTCCCCTTCTCTGTGGAGACGGTGTGTGTCTTCACGGCGCCGGTGTTCTCGGCCCATGCAGCGTGGGCCACCTTCCTCTTTGCCAAGGAGGTCCGCGGCACAGGAGCAGGCCTGACGGCCGCCGCTCTCATTGCTATGGTGAGTGTGCCTTTGAGTGGCACCGCCTGGCCCTCTCTCATCCTCTGCATGCCACTGCCATCCGCCGCTTTTTTTGCCAGTGTCTAGAACTGTGCGATGAGGCACTGCCAATGTTGCCTTCCTCTTCACCACTCTGCACCTCTGTGCACCGTTCCTTATCTGTGCGTTTCAGGTGCCGTCGTACATCTCTCGCTCTGTGGCTGGGAGCTACGACAACGAGGGGGTGGCCATATTCGCCCTCGTCTTCACCTTCTACCTCTACCTCAAGGTGCAGCACCTCGCCTCACCTCACCTCACCTCGCGTCACCTCATCTCACCTCACCTCACCTCACCTCATCTCATATCACCTCACCTCACCTGACCTCACCTCACCTCACCTGACCTCACCTGACCTCACCTCACCTCACTTTATCTCATCTCATCTCACCTCATCACCTTCATCACCAATCTGACCCGAGTCATCACCTTTATCTCATCTCATCTCACCTCTCCTTTCACTCTCCCTTCCACCAGACACTCAACACGGGCTCTCTCTTCTACGCTACAGCCAACGCAGCAGCGTATTTCTACATGGTCATGTCGTGGGGCGGCTACACCTTCATCATCAACCTCATCCCCATCCACGTGCTCCTCTGCATCGTCACCGGCCGCTTCTCCTCGCGCCTCTACGTCGCATTTGCTCCTCTGGTAATTGGCACGCTGGTGTGTGCCCATGGTAAACGACCAGTGATCATGCACTAGTCCCACCCACGTGATCCTCTGCGTCGTCACCAACCACTTCTCCTTGCATCTCTGTGCCACATTCGTCCCGTTCGTAAGCAAGCCGTTCCGGTGGTGTACTGTGTTTTTGTTGTTCCTTGCTCATTCCCTGCACTAGTCTCATCCACGTGCTCCTCTGCATCCTCGCCGGCTGCCTCTCTTAACGCCTCTACCTTGACTTTGCACCTCTCACTCTGCCACGCTACCTGATCCTTGCACCTCGTGACCTCCCCTAGCAGATCATTCTTGGCACACTGCTGGCGGGTGCCTGTGGTGGGCTTTAACGCCGTCATGGCGTCCCAGCAGAGCCTCTTAACTGAACATGCCTCAATGGCGCCGTTTCCGCTCTCCTTGCGCCTCCCACGCTACCTGCCCCTTGCGCCTCCCCTTGCAGATCATTCTCGGCACGCTGTTGGCGGCGCTGGTGCCAGTGGTGGGCTTCAACGCTGTGATGACGTCTGAGCACTTTGGAGGATTCCTGGTACGTGCCATGGCCCTTGTGTGTAGCACTACTGACCTTTGTATGTGGTAGTGACCCTCGCATGTGGTGACGACTCTCACATGTGGTGCTGACCCCCCAATGCAGTCCTAACCTACTGTTGCCCCACCTCCCTCACTCTGTCAGGTGTTTGTGTCGGGTGTTTGTGTCGGGTGTTTGTGTCGGGTGTTTGTGTCAGGTGTTTGTGTCAGGTGTTTGTGTCAGGTGTTTGTGTCAGGTGTTTGTGTCAGGTGTTTGTGTCGGGTGTTTGTTGTGTGAACACACACACACCGTGTTTTGAGTCGACTCAAAAGGCACATCGCCACAGCCAGTTACTACATCAAGGCCCTTCTGCTATCTCTCCTTCCTATCTGCTCACCATCCTCTCCCCACACCACCCTTGTGTCAATCCCCTCACTATCGCAGGTGTTTGTGGTGCTGCACATCGCTGCAGCCAGTTACTACATCAAGTCGCTGCTGCCCGCTAAGGCCTTCCGCGTTGCTCTCACTCTCATCGTCTCTGTCGGCACGTATGTCCCTCTCTCACTCTCTCTCTCCCTCACTCACTCTCTCACTCACTCACTCACTCACTCCTGCTCCCTAATTCAATCACGTGTGTTTCGTTCGCCACGATTAGAGCCTCCCTGCAACGCTGCGATGCCATCAAGGTGGTGGCGCTCTCTCATCTCTCTTCCCACACATCAGCTGATCCCCTCTTCCGTCTCATCTCTTGCATCCCCTCTCCCCTCTTCTCAGCTTCCTCCTTCTTCTCTCTTTTCTTGTTCTCTCGTCAAGGCTTCACCCTCCCTTTCTCGGCCTCCCCTCCCTCTGGCCCTCCCATCCACCTCACACCAGAGTGGCAGCAGTGGCGCTGCTCTCCGCCCTCGTTGCCATGGTGCTCGCCAGCCCCACGCTCGGCTGGACGGGTCGCTCGCTCAGTCTTCTTGATCCGTGAGTGCTTTCGGTTTGCTGCATGCTGGATTCCCGTGTGGCTCCTGGACCCCTGTGGTCTTGTGTGCTTCCACCACACGTCCTTGCCAGGCCCACGAACGCCTGGGCTGGCCGCTCTCTCAGCCTTCTCGTTGCCTCCTATCTCCACCTCCCTCCCTCTCTTCGTTACCTCTCTCTCTCCCCCACCCAGCACGCACGCGTCCAAAGTACGACCCATCATTGCCAGTGTGAGAAAGCAGCAGCCTGGTGCCACGCTCCTTGCCCTGCTGTGAACACCCCTCTCATCTCCACTCCTTACCCCCCCCCGCCCCCCCCCCCGCCCCAATTCCCCCCCAGCACGTATGCATCCAAGTACATCCCCATCATCGCCAGTGTGAGCGAGCACCAGCCGCCCATGTGGACGTCCTACTTCATGGACCTGCAGCTGCTCGCCTTCCTCGCCCCTGCGGGCCTCATTGTGAGCACAACTACCACCGCCCATCACTAGTGCAGCTTAGCACCAGCCTTAACACTGCGAGCACCAGCATTTACACTGCGAGCACCAGCTTTTACACACTGCGAGCACCAGCCTTAACACTGCGAGCCCCAGCCTTAACACTGCGAGCACCAGCCTTTACACTGCGAGCACCAGCCTTAACACTGCGAGCCCCAGCCTTAACACTGCGAGCACCAGCCTTTACACTGCGAGCCCCAGCCTTTACACTGCGAGCACCAGCCTTTACACTGCGAGCACCAGCCTTTACACTGCGAGCCCCAGCCTTTACACTGCGAGCCCCAGCCTTTACACTGCGAGCCCCAGCCTTTACACTGCGAGCCCCAGCCTTTACACTGCGAGCACCAGCCTTTACACTGCGAGCCCCAGCCTTTACACTTCGAGCACCATCCCTTCACTGCGAGCACGAGCACCAGCCGCCCATGTGGACGTCCTACTTCATGGACCTGCAGCTGCTCGCCTTCCTTGCTCCCGCTGGCCTCATTGTAAGCGCAGCGACTACCCAACACTAGCGCACCTCTAACCAGCCCTCCACTGCGAGCACCAGCCACCCATATGGACGTCCTTGATTATAACAACCCTCCGTTGTAAGCACAACAGCCTCCCCCGTTCTCGTCTCCCCCCAGCAATCCTGCAGCAGCTGTGCCGTGGTTCCCATACCAACCCCCAATCCCAAACCTTTCTGCCCCTGTTTGACCATCCCTTGCCGCACGCGTGCTTCCTGCCCCTCACCTCACAGATGCAAGCTCCTTCGTGGGGCTCTACGTCGCCCCATGCAAACCTTGAACCTGAGAACCTGAACTCTGAAGCTATTTTTGAGGCGCCTCAAAAATGGACTACCTCGCCTTATGCAAACCTTGATGCCCTACCTCTATGGGAACCTGAACTCTGAAGCTCTATTCCCATACCCTGGACCCCTGACCACTCCCTGCTGCAGGCATGCTTCCTGCCGCTCACGGACGCGAGCTCCTTCGTGGCTCTCTACCTCGTCGTCTCGGTGTACTTCTCCGGAGTCATGGTGGGTCATCGGGGCCAATGGGGTCAATGAAGTCAATGGGGTCAATGAGTTCAATGGGGTCAATGAAGTCAATGGGGTCAATGGGTTCAATGGGTTCAATGGGGTCAATGAAGTCAATGGGGTCAATGAGTTCAATGGGGTCAATGAAGTCGATGGGATCAATGGGGTGAATGAAATCAAGGGGGTCGCTGGGGTCCTGGTGAATTAATTGGTCAATGGGAGTGTAGGGGGTCAAGGTGAGTTAGTGGTGAGTCAATGGAGCGTGCATCACAGCAAGGATCGCAGTCAGTGCTCGTTTCAATTCAATTCTCCTCACTCTCTCCGTCTGTCCACCTCTCACTCCCCTGTTTCTCATCTCCCTCCCCCTCTCCCCCCTTTTCAGGTGCGTCTGATGCTGGTGCTCGCCCCAGCGGCGTGCATCACAGCAGGCATCGCAGTCAGCGCTCTCTTCGACGTCCTCACCCGCTCCGTCAAGGCCTCCATTGCCGACATCGTCGACCTTGCCTATGCTGCTGCGAAGCAGGACAAGGCGGCGAAGGAGGAGACTGCTGCTGAGGTAAGGGACAGTACAACAGGCATTGCTGTCAGTGCTAGCTTTGACGTCCTCACTCACTCCGTCAAGGCCTCTATCACTCGTACTACTGATTTGGCGTATGCCGCTGAAAAGCACGACTAGGGGGAGAAGGAGGAGACTGCAGCTGAAGTAAGCGTTGGAGCCACAGCTTGAGGGGGTGCTACAGCTTGAGGGTGTGCCACAGCTTGAGTGAGGGGGTGCTACAGCTTGAGGGTGTGCCACAGCTTGAGGGTATGCTACAGCTTGAGGGGGTGCTACAGCTTGAGGGTGTGCCACAGCTTGAGGGTATGCCACAGCTTGAGGGTGTGCCACAGCTTGAGGGTGTGCTACAGCTTGAGGGTGTGCTACAGCTTGAGTGTGTGCCACAGCTTGAGGGTGTGCCACAGCTTGAGGGTGTGCTACAGCTTGAGGGTGTGCTACAGCTTGAAGGTTTGTTACAGCTTGAGGGTGTGCCACAGCTTGCGGGTGTGCCAGAGCTTGAGGGTGTCCCACAGCTTGAGGGTGTGCTACAGCCTACTGTACTGTGTGCTCCGTCAAGGCCTCGCCCACACTGCTGCCAAGCAGGACTAGCAGGACAAGCAGGAGAAGGAGGAGACGCCAGCGCATTTGAGAAACGCTGGCTGACGTGAGTGTGGCTGGCTGAGGTGAGGTTTGGCCTAGAGTGAGCTCTGTCAAGGCTGTTTCCGCACCCATCTTGAATTCCTCTCCCCATAACCCTCCCCATTCACCCCAGCTTCCTCTCCCATAACCCTCCCCACCCGTCCCAAGTTCCCCTCCCATTTCCCACCCCACTCCTCCCACATCCTTTCCCATCGCCCTCCCCTCCTTGGTTCCCACCTTCATTCCTCCCCAACCGCCCCACTTCTCTCCCTCGTGTGCTTCACCTGGACTCCTAGCAAGCTTGGCGAGGCGAGTCAGAGGAAGGAGCGCAAGTGGAGGAAGAAGAGCAAGGAGGGCGAGGGGGAGGGAGCGGACTCTTCTTATCAGGAGCCCACAGCTCCCAGCGTCTCGCTCTCTTTTCACCCCTTCCGCTTGCTCTGTATCGCCCCCCAATCCCACCGCCATGGCCCTCCCTCCTGTCCGCTTCCTTGTGTCTGCCACAGGCTGCCAGCAATGCTGGTGAGGCGAGTCAGGCGAAGGAACGCAAGGCGGCCGGGGGGAGGAAGAAGAAGAGCAAGGAGGGCGAGGGGGAGGGGGCGGATGAAGATGAGGAGCCCTCTGCTGCTGCTGGTGCTGGTGCTGCTGGGGGGAAGAAGGGGGCGAAGGGGAAGGGGAAGGGGAAGGTGGGGAAGGAGAAGGCGAAGGAGAAGTTTCCACTGGTGGTGGCGGGCGATGCTGCAGCGGTGGGCATCATCCTCATGCTCGTTGGGCTGGCTTTCTACACGGTGAGACGGGGTGCTTAGAGTGTGTAGAGGTGCCTCACAACTTTGCTTACCGGCGGCCCAAGCCTCGCCTTGTTCGCAGTGGCCTTTGCTTGACTGATAAGTCAGCGATGGGCGGCATTCCCGTGCTCGTTGGGCTTGCTTTCCACACGGTGGGTCGTGAACTGAGTCCAAGGGGAGGAGAGGAAGGGGAGGAGAGGAAGGGGAGGAGAGGAAGGGGAGGAGAGGAAGGGGAGGAGAGGAAGGGGAGGAGAGGAAGGGGAGGAGAGGAAGGGGAGGAGAGGAAGGGGAGGAAGGGGAGGAGAGGAAGGGGAGGAGAGGAAGGGGAGGAGAGGAAGGGGAGGAGAGGAAGGGGAGGAGAGGAAGGGGAGGAGAGGAAGGGGAGGAGAGGAAGGGGAGGAGAGGAAGGGGAGGAGAGGAAGGGGAGGAGAGGAAGGGGAGGAGAGGAAGGGGAGGAGAGGAAGGGGAGGAGAGGAAGGGGAGGAGAGGAAGGGGAGGAGAGGAAGGGGAGGAGAGGAAGGGGAGGAGAGGAAGGGGAGGAGAGGAAGGGGAGGAGAGGAAGCGTTAAGGAGAGGAAGCGTTAAGGAGGGAAAGCGTTAAGGAGAAGTTTCTCAATGAGGCCGGCAGAAGACGCCTGCGACCTACTTAGTGCTCTCGTCTCTTAGTGAATCATGATGTCGGTCTCTACTTGTTTGAGCAACCCTGCCGTTTCTCTCTTTCTCCCTCCCTTGCACGCGATGACCCACCTCTTATCAGATGCACTGTGTGTGGGCGGCAGCAGACGCCTACTCGGCCCCCTCCATTGTGCTCTCGTCCCCCACCAACGACGGCGGGCAGTACATCTTTGACGACTTCCGTGAGGCGTACGGCTGGCTGCGCCACAACACCGATGAGAATGACAAGGTGCGAACAACACTGTCAGGATGGGCTATCACCATAAAATGCGGGCAGGTCGGGCGCACTGACGAGGTAGCACCAACGCCAATGGCGGCGGGCAGTACATCTTTGACGACTCCCGTGAGGCCTGTGGCTGGCTGCGCCACAAAACCGATGGGAACAACAAGGTAGGGAACAGTGGCAGTGTGACCTGTAGCTTGACATGAAATACACAATGGCGAGCTATGCCTGATAGCGCACTTGTTTGAGTTGCGTGTCATGCTTCGTAACATAGTCCATATCCACCACACAACGGGACATGTGCCTTGTATTGTATCGCATCCCCCATACCATATCCCATACATGCCCCATGTCCCTGCATCATTCCCCACCCATGCATGCATGTAACCCATCGCGCGGCATCCTGGTGGACTATGGGTACCAGGCCACGGCCAGGGCGATCCGGACTGTGATCATGCACAACATCACATGGAGCAACACACACATCCCCACATGCCATCCCCTCCCCACATGACCCATCTTTCCCCCATGCCCTCCTCTCCTCACATGCCCCACCCCCCCCCCCCCACACCCCCACCAGGTGGCATTATGGTGGGACTCCGGGTACCAGACGACAGATATGGCGAACTGCACTGTGATCGTGGACAACAACACGTGGAACAACACGCACATCGCCACACGCCCTCCCATCCCCCGATCCCACACCCCCCCACCAGGTGGCGTCATGGTGGGACTATGGATACCAGACCACTGCCATGGCGAACCGCACGGTGATCGTGGACAACAACACGTGGAACAACACGCACATCGCCACGGTGGGCATGGCCATGTCATCGCGGGAGAAGGACGCGTGGGACATCTACCGCTCCATCGACGTCAAATACGTCTTCGTGGTCTTTGGAGGTATGTCATGAGTCGACTCATAACACATGGGCAAGAATCTGAGTTCTATCAACTCATAACTGAACCAACCAATCAGAACTCTTTCAATCTCCTCTCCCCGTTTCTGCCAACTCCTCTCCTCGCCCTTCAACCGGCCTCGTGGGCTACCCCAGCGACTGCATCAACAAGTTCCTCTGTATGGTGCAAATAGGAGGTCGTAATGACATCACTTGCATCATTCTCTCCCCCCAACATTCCCCTCCCAACCTTCCCCCTCCCAACCTTCCCCCACCCACCCATCGCCACGCCTGATGGGCTGCCCCAGCGGCGACATCAACGAGTTCCTCTGGATGGTGCAAGCTAACACCCAGACAACCATTTCCGACGCACACCCCCGTCCCGCCAACCTATCCCTCCCATTCTCTTCTCCCTCCAGGCCTCGTGGGCTACCCCAGCGACGACATCAACAAGTTCCTCTGGATGGTGCGCATTGGGGGCGGCGTCTTTCCGAGAATCAAGGAGCCCGACTACCTGGTGAGCCCGACTACCTGGTGAGGGGCACTTAGCCTCCAGGTTATAAGCACCTTACAGGCGTGTGCAACATTGTGGCTCAAGTTACTAAGGCGGGGTCTTTCCGCAAATCAAGGAGCCCGACTACCTGGTGTGCCCGGCTACCTGGTGAGCGCTACCCTCCTAGTGTCAATCGCCTTTTTTTTTACCTGGGGAGTATGACCTGGTCAGTCAGTTGTCCAGGTTTGCAAGGGGGGGGTTTGATAGCGTCTGTATATCATCCCTCAAGGCGCTGTGACATAATACCCGCGCTCCCCCCAACGCCCTCCCCCCCTCCAGCAAAATGGCAACTACCGCGTTGATGCGGAGGCCACCAGCACCATGCTCAACTGCCTCATGTACAAGCTCTCCTACTACAGGTATGGGCATACTCGATATAGTTTGACTCGCTTGTAGCTCTCATACGGCTGCACCAATTTGGAGGCCACAGCACCATGCTCGACTGCTTCATGTACAAGCTCTCTTACTGCAGGTATGGGGATACTCGATCTAGGCTGACTCGTTTTCAGCTCTCGTATTGCTCCACCAACGCGGAGGCCAGCAGCGCCATGCTCAACTGCTCTCTGGTTTCTTTCTGCTTAGCAGTAAGAGTACCTACGTGATCACTTGGCCGACAGGGTTTGAGGCTGACTCCCAATCTCTTATGTGTGCCCATGTGTGCGCCCATGTGTGTGCCCCTGCTCTCAATCCTGGCAGGTTTGCTGAGGTGGACGGGAGGGGCTTTGACCGAGTGAGGCGCACGGAGATTGGCAAGAAGAACATCAAGCTCACGCACTTTGAGGAGGTGAGAGGCTGTGGGCCCATGCTGTGGACCCATGCTGTGGACCCGTTCTTTGCAGTGAAGTCCATGCGGCCTTGATTTGATGGTGGAAGCGTGTGTTACAAAGCGGGAAGGGGCTGAGCCCGGGGCAGTTTATGCGCTTTTCCTGGCTGCACTTCGTTGTCCTTTCCCTACCCCCAGACTGTTCCTCTGATGCGAGTGAATGTCCACGCCGGCCAGTGTAAGTGTCCGACCGGCATACTTACCTATCTCACCCCTTTCCCCATCGCAGGTGTTCACGTCGCAGCACTGGATGGTGCGCATTTATCGCCTCAAGGAGCCCAGAAATCGGCCTAGGGGGGCTGGCAAGAGGCTCACACGTGTCTCTGTAAGTACCCTCCTAGTTAGCATTGCACGTTGTAAAATTTCCCAAGATACCTACATTTTCTAATGCCATACGTCCCTTTGCATGCGTTCTGTGCTTGCATATGCACCATGTATCCCATGTGTTTCATTTTATCAGGCCAGCAAGGCTAGGGGTCGCTACTAGGTTGATGCAAGCCATGAATTGAGGGTTTATTTTAGTGAAGGCTTTATGGGTATATGTTATGCCGACGTAACGTTATTTCGAATTATAAGGCGGCATGTTGTGATTTTGTGAGAAATGCTGCGAACCTTTTGGGGGGGTTCCTCTTGTTGACCAATCACGTTACGGAGAGCTGCCACTGCTTTGGGAATCCCTGCTGAGCTGTCCTGCATTCTCGAGCTCTATTCACCAATCGCTGCATCGCTTCCCCACGTGATTCCCGAGGGAAACCGCAACTGACTGGGTAATGCCTTCCAGCCTTCCGAGCAATCACCGCATGCCGGGTGGCGTCAGATTTGCTGCAGGTTCGTCGGAAGGGGCCCTCTGGGCAGCGATTTGTTCTACTAACGAGAGCTCAGAAGTCCGATGACCACCTTGCTGCTTCACTAACAAGGCTTTACAAGAATCAGCCAAATCCAGACTGAGGGATTCAGGAGCTTAGCTTAGCTCAGGGACTCAACATTGCTACAGGTCCTGGCTCTTAGCTTCGCAGACTGATTCTTGACGGTTGATCCCCATCCGCAGTAAGCGGAACAGCCTGGTGCAAACCTGAGACTCTCCGTGTATTGTGTTCGCTGGTCGACTTCCGGCTTGGCTGCCACCCATGGCGTTCTCGCGAGGGCTTTTCCGCGCAGCAAGCGCCGCGAAGAGGGTGCGTATCTGCGTTGCCATGGCTAGGTTTCTGGTGTAGGGTAACCAACGTAATCTGTCAGATGTTTTTTTCGTCGTCCCTTCCGTTACCGCGTTCTAATTGGACCTTGCTCTTTCCTGATGCCAGGCGCAGAAGGATGGGAGCTTTTCACGGCTGTTTAATCAGGCGTTTCGGCCGTTGACCACGGTAAGCGGTACGAAATAAAGAATGATACTTCATAGGATCTTGAAGAAAACAGAAAGAGTTAAATGCATCAGAAATGGGTATCGGGTCGCACATTTGCCTGCTCGCTTCCATGCCTGATCGTTAGGTTCCACCTACTCGCTCTCCGGTACACGTAATGCTTACACCATCAGCACGGCTAGAAAGCAGACTCAGTTGTATCTCTTGAAATTTTGCATTTATCCCACCATTTCATTCTTCCGCCGATCCATTCGCCCGCCGTTGCACCTTGTGTTTCACTTGTGTTTCAGGAGCTGCACGCGAAGCTGCAGGAGGTTGTGCCGCAGCAGCAGGAGCGCATCCGCCAGATCAAGTCGCACTATGGCAACCTGTCCATGGGCAAGGTCACTGTCAACATGGTGAGCCGCTCTCTCTGCCTCTCCCTCCCGCCTCCCTCTCCCCCCCCTCCCTCTCCCCCCTCTCTCATCGTCGGAACACCACTTCGAGTCGAGTCAGGAGGCACATTCATACTGCCAGATCAAGTCGCACTATGGCAACCTGTCCATGGGCAAGGTCACCGTCAACATGGTGAGCCGCTCTCTCTACCTCTCTCTCTCCCCCTCGCTCTCTCTATTGCTGTCGAAACATTACTTACTTTGAGTCGAGTCAGGAGGCACATTCATCCGCCAGATCAAGTCGCACCACGGCCACCTATCCATGGACAAGGTCACCGTCAACATGGTGAGGAACTCTTTCCTGCTACATAAGACATGTAGCCACACCCACTCGTCGCCTCATGCTCAACCTAATGAAGGTTCAGCCGTCCCTCGCTATGGCTGCTGAGAGCCATTCGCCTTTCCTTACGCGTTCTTCTTGCGCTCACGAACGCCTGGCCTGTTATCTTCTCCGTGCTTTTCCGCCGGGTGATCTGTATGGGCAGGCGATCGGAGGCATGCGAGGAGTGAAGGGCCTGGTGTGGGAGACATCTCAGCTCGACCCCGAGCAGGTGCGCTACAGCTGCATGAGTAACCGACATCTAACACCTGTATGATTTCGCGAAACCTCAAAGGTCAAGCAGCTGAAACCCCTGTATGAGTAACGGGTGAGGATGAATCAGTCGTTCGAGATGGTATGTGTCACATTAAGCTGCCCGTTCTACTGTCTGGAGCACTCGTAGATTGGACGCACACCCTGCATTCTCCCTCCCTTCCTCCACCCTTTCGGCTCTCCAGTTCAGGGCATTAGTTTCCGCGGGTGCAGCATTCCTGAGCGCCTTCCCCTCGCCCCCCTTTTCCCCCCCCTTCCCCCTTCCCCCTTCCCCGCTCTGACCCCCCCAGGGCATCAAGTTCCGCGGGTACAGCATCCCCGAGTGCCAGCACCTGCTGCCCAAGGCGGTGATCGACGGCGAGCCCATGCCCGAGGGGCTGCTCTGGCTGCTGCTGACAGGAGAGGTAAGCAGAGCGGCCACTGACGGACGGTAAGGAGCTCACACCCACATAGAGGGGCTGCTGTGGCGGTTGCTGACACGAGAGATCAGCGCAGGGACTGCAGATGGGCGGTAAGGAGCTCACACAAACCCACCCACCCCCACACGCATAGAGGGGCTGCTCTGGCTGCTGCTGACAGGAGAGGCAAGCAGAAGGGCTGCTTGATTGCTGTTCACTTTCCATATATCCATCCATCTATCCCTTGCGCGTGCGCATCAACACTCACGCACACACGCAGACAAACTCTGCCTTATCCCCGCGTACCCCAACCAGGTGCCGCAGAGACACAGGAGGTGCGCGAGTGTGCGTTTGAGGCGACTCAAAGACCCACCCGCACACATCATTTCGCGCTCCACTAGCGCTTCATTTGAGTGTCTTAGAGAATTCTCAAAAACACCTTGTTCGACTTCACTCTCTCCCCCTCGCCCCCCGACCAGGTGCCCACCAGGGAGCAGGCGGCCACAGTGACGCATGAGCTGCACGAGCGAGCCAAGATGCCCGGTAGGCCTTGGGGGGGAGAGGAGCAATGGGGGTACAGAGGCACAGGGGCCAGAGGTGCCACGCCTTGAGAGGGCGGGAGTGCCAGAGGCCTCAAAAGGAGCAGGCGGCCACAGTGATGCATGAGCTGCACGAGCGAGCCAAGATGGGGGGTGGGTGGTAAGGCGAGGTGCGCTGGGGGTACACTGCGGTGGTTGGTTGGGGGGGTCGTGTTTGGGGAGTAGAGGGCAAGTGGTGGGGTTGGCAGGTCAAGTGGTAGGAGCTTGAGGTGCCTGCGACAGGTGCCCCGTGTCGTCCATCGAGATTCGTCAGCATCTTCTCCCACAATGGACCCGAATTCCTCCTGTCATTTTCACCAAAGTGCCTGCACACGGTGCACACGGTGCACACAGTGCTCATTGCTCACCCCCCTGCTTCGTGGCATGCACCCCATGGCGCAGCTGTTGGTCGGCCTCATGCCTGTTCATGCAACCTTACCCCTTCTCCCTCCTCTGTATACTCCCATCTCCAAAGTACGTGCACGTGCACACAGTGCTCAACGCCCAGCTGCGCATCATGCACCCCATGGCGCGGCCGGCCAATGGCCATCAGTCGCATATCGTCCTGCCTTCCCTCCCCCGTCCTCCCTCCCGTAACGCCCATCACCAGAGTTCGTGCACACGGTGCTGAACGCCCTGCCGCGGGACATGCACCCCATGATGCCGCTGTCCATTGGCGTCAAGCCTGCTCACTCATCCGCCTTGCTTCATTTCCGCTCCTGAACCCCTTCGTTGCTCTATTCAGAGTACGTGCACACCGTGCTCAACGCCCTGCCGCGCGACATGCACCCCATGACGCAGCTGTCCATCGGCGTCATGGCCCTGCAGAAGGGCAGCCGTTTCGCACGCGCTTACCACGAGGGCATGCCCAAAGCCAAGTACTGGCACCTGGCGTATGAAGACGCGCTCGACTTGATTGCCACTCTGCCTCAGGTTGGTGCTCTGAGTCTGAGAGAGGTTTCAGACGGCCTGACTTCACCCATACCAAGCGTACCATGAGGGCAAACCGAAAGCCAAGTAGCACCTGGCGTACAAGGACGCGCTCGACCTCGTTGCCACCCTGCCCCAGGTCTGCTGCAATGCCCCAGACTAGTCCCACCTACGAACCTCAGATGGCGTGACAACACGCGCGTACCATGAGGGCATGCCCTAAGCAAATCAGAGCAGAGCACTGGCGCCTGGCGTACAAGGACGCACTCGACCCATGCACCTCACTGCTTCTCCTTATACCCCGTGATTCCCTCAGGTGGCTCACATCTACCGGCACACGTTCAAGGACGGCAGGATCATCCCGCCCAACAAGATGCTCGACTACGTTGCCAAATTTACCCCATTCACCTCACTGCCTCTCCCCTAACCCCCCCTCCCCTACCTTAAATCCTAACCCCTGGCGCCTACACCCCCCCAGGTGGCGGCGCACATCTACCGGCACACGTTCAAGGATGGCAAGATCATCCCGCCTAACGACAAGCTCGACTACGCTGCCAACTTCGCCCACATGCTGGGCTTCAACGACCCCCAGTTCTACGACCTCATGCGCCTCTACCTCACCATCCACGCGTGAGTCATTCTACCCTAACTACAAACCCGAAGCCCTAGACCTTAGTAAAGCACATGCTGGGCTTCAACGACCCCCAGTTCTGCGACCTCATGCGCCTCTACCTCACCATCCACGCGTGAGTGAAGGCTCACTGATGTAGACCCTTCACCATAAACTGTTAACACTTGTGGGGATTTAGCGGTTTCCAGTTCTATGACCTCATGTTTGCGTGTGTGTGGTGCATGCGTGTGTGTGTATGTGTGCATTTCTGTGTGCATTATGGAGTGCAGGGATCACGAGGGAGGGAACGTCAGTGCACACGCCACCCATCTGGTACTACGAACCGAATCTCCCCCTCTCACCCATTTGCTATTCGAATACCACAAGTCACAAGATCAAACGAAAGCATGTGCAAACGCTTATGCGTCCTTCCCAACCCCAATCTCTCCTTCATTGCTCACGACGCTCCTCTTCTCCCCACCCCTTCCAACCCCCCCACCCCCCAATTTTTCCACCTACCCCCCAACAGGTGGGCAGTGCTCTGTCCGACCCCTACCTCTCCTTCGCGGCTGGCCTCAACGGCCTCGCGGGTCCTCTCCACGGCCTTGCCAACCAGGCAAGTGCAATGCCTCTCCGTTCTGAGACGCCTCAAGGGTGCAATAGTCCTCAGTTTCCTAACCCTTCCCAACTCACACTCTCACTAGCCCGCTCTCCCTCACCCTCCTGGCCTCAACGGCTTCGCGGGCCAACTTCACAGCCTTGTCAACCAGGCAAGTGCAACAGAACCCTCCTACTTTCTCCTCCATTGTATTGTTTGGGCCGATGATCATTCGTCTCCATCACTTGGCGTCCCTCCCAACCCCAAGGGCCCCGCCCTCCCCTTCTTACCGTGCCACGTTCCTTCACCACACGAGGTGCTGCGGTGGTTGGTTGGAAGGACGAGCGGAGGGACTTGGTGTGGCACACACTGCAGCGACTCACGCGCCCTTCTCTCTCTCCTTCTCCCCTTGCCCTCCCTCACTCCAGGAGATCTTGAGGTGGCTGGAGGAAGTGAAGTCGGACGTGGGCGAGGAGGCGGGCAAGGACGAGCTGAGGGGCTTTGTGTGGCGCACGCTGCAGAGCGACCACCCTCCCACCCTCTTTCCCTGTGCCCCCCTGTCCCGTTGCTTAACCACAGGAAGTGTTGCGCTGGCTGGAGGAAGTGAAGGCGGACGTGGGCGAGGAGGCGGGCAAGGACGAGCTGAGGGACTTCGTGTGGCGCACGCTGCAGAGCGGCAAGGTGGTGCCGGGCTACGGCCATGCGGTGCTGCGAGTCACCGACCCGCGCTACAGCTGCCAGCGCCAGTTCGCCCTAAAGCACCTGCCACACGACCCCACGTTCAAACTGGTGAGCTTCCCATGATTTCCCAACCAGTGACTTCCCAACCAGTGAGTTCCCAACCTGTGAGTTTCCAGTAGCCCTATCTGCATGGTGGTGACGGGCTACGGCCACGCCGTGTTGAGGGTGACTGACCCGCGCTACAGCTGCCAGCAGCAGTTTGCCCTCAAGCACCTGCCGCATGACCCCACCTTCAAGCTGGTGAGCTTCCCATGAGCTCCCAACAGGTGAGCTCCCAGTTGCCCTATCTTTATGGTGGTGCCGGGGCACGGCCCTTCCGTGCTGCGGGTCACCGACCCGCGCTACAGTTGCCAGCGGCAGTTCGCACCGAAGCACCCGCCGCGCAACCCCACCTTCAAGCTGGTAAGCTCTCCAGCAATCCGGTCAGCCGTGAGTACACCAAGCTGCATGCTGCAGAGCGGCAGGGTGTTGGAGCTGCCGGGCTATGGACATGCTGTGCTGTGAGTCACCAACCCTCGCTTCAGCTGGCAGAGGCGTCCTTTGAAACACCTTCTCCTCTACCCCACCTTCAAGCTGGTAGGGGCCCTGGCAGGACCCGAATCTGTATTAAGTATTTGCTACCTCACTCTAGCACCTCACTCTAGTACCTCACTCTAGTACCTCTAGTATCTCACTCGTAGTACCTCACACTAGTACCTCACTCTAGTACCTCACTCTAGTACGTCACTCTAATACCTCACACTAGTACGTCACACTTGTACCTCCCACTAGTACCTCACACTAGTACCTCACACTAGAACCTCACGCTAGAACCTCACACTAGTACCTCACACTAGTACCTCACACTAGTACCTCACTCTAGTACGTCACACTAGTACGTCGCACTAGTATCTCACACTAGTACCTCACACTAGTACCTCACACTAGTACCTCACACTAGTACCTCACACTGGTACCTCACTCTAGTACCTCACACTACTGCCTCACATCACATCCTCCTCTCGAGGCAGGCAAGATGAGGTACCCGTGACACAATGCAGATGCTCACAGCCCTTCGTTTTCTCTGCTTTTTCCTCCCTCCCCCCCCCTTACTCGTCTCTGTGCTGCAGGTGTCCAACCTCTATGAATTGGTGCCCCACATCCTGCTTGAGACCGGCAAGATCAAGAACCCCTGGCCCAACGTGCACGCTCACAGCGCCTTGCCACCCCCTCCTCTCCTCCCTGTCTCCCCCTCCCTTGTCCCACAGGTCTCGAATCTCTATGAGGTTGTTCCTCACATCCTGCTCGAGACGGGCAAGGTGAAGAACCCCTGGCCCAACGTAGACGCTCACAGTGGCGTGCTGCTGCAGCACTACGGGCTCACCGAGGCCAGGTGGGTGGCTCTGTCTGTCTGCTAGTGCGCGTGTGTGTGGCATCATTTGGCTGTTTGTACCTGTTGCTGCTGCATCACTATGGGCTCTCTGAGGCAGATGGATGGCTCCGTTTGTCCCCTAGAGTGTGTGTGTGGCGTCATTTGTCAGTAGTGCATGTTGTTGCTGCACTGCAGACTCACTGAGGCCGGGTGATCGGCCTCGGTTGCACAATCACCACTCGCATCAGTCTTCCTCTCATATTGTACTGGCGCTCTCAGATTCTCCATTCCTCTCCCCCCTCCAGCATTCCGTAAACAGCATTTACTAACATAAGGCTTTCTCCCCACACCCCACCCCACCCACCCACAACCCCCCCGCCCCCGCCCCCGCCCCCGCCCCCGCCCTCACCCCCTCCAGCTACTACACGGTGCTCTTTGGCGTCTCTCGAGCCATGGGAGTGCTCTCTCAGGTGCGTCTGCTGCTCTCAGGTGCTTTTCCAGGTGGGTCCGTTGCCCTCAGATGCTCTCTCTGATGGGTCTGTTGCTCTCAGGTCCTTTTCCTGGTGGGTCCCTCGCCCTTAGGTATTTTCTCTGGTGGGTCTATTGCTCTCATGTACTGTTTCTGGCGGGTGCCGTTTTGCACTGGAACAATACGGCCGGTCTTTGAGCCATTGTCCAATGCCCCCTCCACTCCCTTCGTTCCCTCCCCCTCCACTCCCTTCGTTCCCTCCCCCTCCACTCCCTCCTTTTGCTCCCCCTCCACTCCCTTCGTTCCCTCCCCCTCCACTCCCTCCTTTTGCTCCCCCTCCACTCCCTTCGTTCCCTCCCCCTCCACTCCCTCCTTTCCCTCCCCCTCCACTCCCTGCTAACCCTCCCCCGCTTCCACTGCCCATCCCTGCACTCAGCTCGCGTCGGATCGCGCACTCAGTTTCCCCTTTGAGCGCCCCAACAGCATCACCCTGGACGGGAGCGAGCCCCCTCCAATCCCTTCACCTTCCCAAGCTTTCAATCTCTCCGTTCCTCCCTTTCCTTCTCTCCCTTCTCTCCCTTCCCAGCTGGTGTGGGATCGCGCGCTGGGCTTCCCCATCGAGCGGCCCAAGAGCATCACGCTAGACTGGATCGAGGAGTTTGCGTCGGACAAGGCGCACGAGAAGGAGCAGCAAGAGCTGCACGACCACAAGCACGGGCATGACCACAAGCATGCACACTAGAACGAGACTACGGCATGCGTTATGTTCTTGAGAATTCTCAGAAGCAGCGGCGGCTGCAACGGCAACGGCACAGGCATCGTCGCCATCGCCTTCACCTCCCATCCCCCCTTCACCTCCCATCCCCCCTTCACCTCCCATCCCCCCTTCACCTCCCACAACTCTCCCAACTGCTGGTCGCACCACACCATACCCACCCTCCACTCCACAGTCCTGCCTCCACTCGGCCCACCCCGCCTCGCCTCTACACTCCCTACGAGTTGAGTTGGCTTTTGAGAGTTCTCAAGAACCACCACGCTTCTCCTCCACTCCCGTGCCCTGCCAACCATCCGCCTCTCATCCGCACACTCGCGTACCATGCCATGACATGCCATGCCAGCTGTCGTTGCATTCTGCTCTGCTTTTCCACTGCCTACGCCCCGGACATAGTCACCCGAGAGACCCATTCGCCGTAGTCACGCAGGCCATGGGGTGGGGATGCACTGTTATTGTCACATTCTACATTCTTCTTCCCTGGGTTCATTCCCTGCTTTCCAACTCTAGCTAGCACAGCTCGATCTAGCTTCCAATCCTGCTATTTGTAGGAGCTCTGAGCGAGCAGCATTGCCCTGAACACGTAGTATAAAACTGGCAATAGATGATACTTGATGAACTGCACGCTAGCTCGAACTCGCGCTACTTTTATGTACATAAAGGACAAGCACAAATGGAACGACTGTGGCACCACAAGCCATAACGCGTACAAAACCCAACAGGCACAAGCCATATTTTCATTAACTCAGATGAAACAGCCCAAATCCCTCTGCACCACTCCAAATCCTCCCTCCCCACACCAGCACTCCCGCACACTTCCCTTCCATCCGCCCATCCGGCTTCTCAGCCTCCCCATGCCTGCGCACACCCCTCCCACCCCTCTTTACTCCTCCACACCTTCCCAAACCCCACCATCTGTATCTGCTGCGCTCTTATTCCCCACACATTCCCAGCAGCGCTCAATCCACTCCAACCCCGACATGCCCAACACCCCCCCAAGCCTCCCACTCCCTAATACTTCTCCTCACCTTCCCCAACCCATCCCTCTCTATCTGCTGCACTCGCCGTGCCTGTATCTGCTGCATGCGCCCTGCCGACACCCCCCACCTCTTAGATTTACTCAATCCACTCTCCCCCAGAAATTCCCAGCATTCCCCCAAGACTCCCACCCCCCCATACTCCTCCGCACCTTCCCCAACCCCACTGCCTGTATCTGCTGCACTCGCCCTGCCGACACCCCCACCAGCTCCCCCACATCCTCCAGCCTCTTCCCCAGCCCACTGCCCCCCCCACCCTGCTTCGCACAAGAGACGATGCTTTGCCGCCCCTTCTGCCACCCTGCGCTGCTCCCGTGCCCGCTTCCCCTGCAGTGGCAATCAGCCGAGCAGCAGTCTGACAGGAGGGGATAACCTGGGCGGCAATCTCTGAGGCGAGAATCATCCGGACGGCAATCCCCGAGGAGAGAATAATCTGGGCGGCAATCTGCCAGGAGAGAATCCGGCAGGCCGAACCTGAGTTGAATGACTGCCCTTTCCTGGTCTGTCAGCTCTAGAACGGCGCGCTTCAGAGCGCCCTGCAGCTCCTGCTGCATGTACCGAGTCTCAGGGCACTCTATAGAGGGGTCCGCAATGGTGGACTGTGGGGGAGCATGGGGAGAGTTGGGGGGAGTTGGGGAGAGGTGCGGGGGGAGAGGGAAAGGTGAGACGTCGATGGATGGAGGAAGGGGAGAGCGTAAAGGTGGTCTGCTGGAATGGGGCAGGGGATCAGAGCAGGGATCATGGCACATAGGACGTATGGTACATGGTAAATGGGCAATGGTACATGGTACATGGTACATGGCACATGGCACATGGTACATGGTACATGGTACATGGTACATGGTACATGGGCAATGGTACATGGTACATGGTACATCGCACACTCATGACAATCGTCACACACACTCACCCCCATGTTCTCCCCTCCGTCGTGATCCCCACCCCTCCCTCTCCCCACCCGGTCCTCCAACGGCTGAGGCCAGTAAACGGACGCAGGGGTAAGCTTGCGTCTCTCCTTGAACTTCAATTGCTTCGATGACGTGGACTGCGCTGACGCGGAGGACGATGCTGACGTGGATGGCTGTGCACGATGAGGGCGGAGGTGAGAGTGCTGACGGTGCAAGTTCGTCTGACGGAGCAGGGGATTTTGGGAGGGTGAAGGGTGGAGAGAAGGGGGAGGGAAAAGGTGGAAAGGGTAAGAAGCTCAAGTGTTTTGAGACGTCTGGCTTTTATCCAAAGGGTAAGAAGGAGGGCATGGCCAGTCGAAGGGCAAACGGAGGGAGCCAGATGAATAAACGAATGATGAATAAATGAATGATGAATAAATGAATGATGAATAAATGAATGATGCATACGACACGATGCACATGCCGGCATCTGTGCACTGGCTGATCTGCTCATTCCGTAGCCACAATGGTGCACGCATCCGCGAAGGCTGATAGCTCATGGTACACAACATGTGCTTGTGCCACGTGTATGTGACATGCGTATGTATGTGCCACGTGGCACTTACAGGGAGCCTGATCAGGCATGACTGGTCCATGGCTGACTGCATGACGGCATGTCGGATCCACCAATAGCAGTACGTAGATAATCTAAATCCACGGCCAGGATCGAATCTCTCTATCCCCTTTACAAGCCCCCGGTAGCCTGCCTGCATCACGAGTTAACAGCAGCAAATAGAGCGCATGCAATCTTTAACAACGAGAAGCAAGAAGAACAGAATGTATGAGAGACATGAAGAGAAATAAGGAGATTCCTCAAATGAATCTCCCTTCATTACAGTCACATCTTACCGCGATCAAGTCCCCCATTGTCACTCCCCCCCTCGCATATCTCTGCGCCAGGCTCACCACCATCCCGCCATTCGCAGCCAATATTCTCTCCATCCCCTCCGTCCCCCTCTCCTCTCTCTCGTACTCCTCTCTTCCTCCCCTCCCCCTCCTCTCCCTCCCCTCCCCCCCCATCCTCTCCCTCTCGTCCTCCTCCTCAGGCGCCTCGGCTCTCCCACGCCCTCCTCGCGACCTCCTTAATCGCCGCGCCGCCTGAACGGCCAGCACGTACTTAATCTCCTCGTCCCGACTCAGGAGCCGCGAATATCCACCTCTCCCTGGCAGGGCACATGCGTTCGCGCTTCTGCCTTGGGGGCGTGCTGCATCGTCGAGCCGCGAATATCGACCTCTCTCTGGCAGGGCGCAGCTGGAAGCTGGAGCTGGGGACAACAAGCCCGGATAAATGGCGTGCTCCCAAGGCACCTGCGGGGGCGACGGACAACAGGTCCTCTTATTCCGCCGCGACTTCAGCTCTCTCCGCGCCCCGGCGCGCGCGGCCCTACGAGGAGACCTGACTACGGCGGGGCTGCCAGCGGAGAGCGCGTGCGTTGGGTCCTGGCGCGCAGGAGATGTTTGAGTCGATTCAAAGATCACTAGCACGTGTGTTGGATCATGGCCTTCAATGCTCTTCGCGCCCCGCCTCGTTTCCAACGGTACTCCCCGCCGGTCTTCATTCGTGGAGTCTCCGCTAACCCGGTGTAGCTTGGGCTCAGCCTGCTGCCTTTTCCTCAGCTGCTCACTCGTCTGCTGCTCGCCTGGTTCGAGGCGCCTTGAAACAGCCTGAGGCTTGAAACGAAGCACGGGTGAATCTAAAGCCACCCCGCGCGGCTGATGTGGAGCCCCGCCGCACAGCCGCGCTCTGCGCTGCTCTCCGCGCTGCTCTCCGCGCTTCTCTCCGCGCTGATCTCCGCGCTGCTCTTCGCGCGACTTAGTAGCCACGACGCATCTCGGGGCCAGCCTCGCACCGCCTCTCGCTCTCGGCGAGTCCGCGAGCAAGCCGTTAGCGACCCGCCCGGCCCTACGACTAAAAAAAGGATCCGCACAGCCTCTCGATCTTGTTTCGTCCGCGAGCGAGGCGAAGCGCCCGGCCCGAACCGCCACACGGAAGGATGGCGCTCGCTGGGAAAGGCTTGCGATGGACTCCATCGCCCTGAGGTCGCACAGACTCGCACAGACTCGCACGGACTCGCACAGACTCGCGCCGACACGCACCGAATCGCACCGAATCGCACAGACTCGCACAGACTCGCACAGATTCGCACGGGCTTTGAAGTTAAGGAGCGAACACGTGAGCGCCGCGCGGATCTGCCGTGCCTGCAGCAGCTACTAGTGCTGTCTGGTACCTACCAGCAGCCTAGAGGTTGCTGGCGTCGCCTACTAGTCGAAGCATGACTTTCGTGAGAGAGGCGGCGAACTGCGAAGCTACTAGAACCTAGCGCCTAGATCTAAAAACTCGGGGGCGTGTGATGGGTCTATGAGGTGCGGAGTGCGAGAGCACAGAATAATAACTGAAGTCGGCATTGAATAATCTGCACACGATAAGAGGTTTCCCGATGTAACAGTGTTGTTTGCTGCTTGGCTGGAATTTTTCGGGATTGACGCGCTAAAATGAATAAATTAGGACTCGTAACACCGAGTGCATTTTCTGAAAGTGACGGTGACGTGACATGTCAGCTAAGGTGACTAAAACGGGGACAGAGAGATCTCGATTGCGGTGTGACAGGGCTTGGTGTCACTGGTCGTGACGTGATTCTTTGTTTGGGCTCGCTGTCAGATGTCCACATTAGCAGATCTCGCTACCGTAAAGCAGGGCCCATAATTGCTCGTCCTGGCTGGACCTGACATTTGGGTTCCCTTGCTTTGGTCGTCAGTTTGTACTTCGGCACTTCCTGTAACCGTGTAACATTCTAATGGACTCGCCTGTTTTCTTGGTGGTGCGTGCGAACAAACGAGATTCGCGGCTGACAAGTAGTAGGATAGCCAAAGGGCAAAACGGAAGCAGAAACGGCATGAAATATGTCAAGGACGGGGTTCGAACCCGTGACTCTTTCGAGACCGCAACTTGAGTGCGGCGCCTTAGACCACTCGGCCACCTTGACGTTTATGGTAGATCTGTATTACATAATCGTCCAACTTTTAAAAGGAATAATCGTGCTCTATTCCCTTCGGCACAACCTTCCCCCACCGTTCCGTCATGATGGCCGCATGCTTCCTCCCTTTCCTCCCTTTCCGAATCTGGGTTTCCCCGGGTCCGGTTTAATAATTCGCTGGCAAAATTCTGCTACGATTGTTTGCCCCTGTTCTGGCAAACGAATGGAGAATGGAGACTTGTTGGCAACTAGCAATTAATCACGCGCTGACGGGAGGAGGTATTGCGCCTAGAGGTCACATGTTTCTACATCCCCTTCGAGGGGCGTCCATCTGAAGTCTGGTGTGCACATCTTGTAGTGCTTTTGGGTGATGGGCGATAACGGGCATATGTGAAGTTTTCCTCGGTTTTCCTTGTGTGCCGAGTTGAAACTGTTCCACACACAAGCTGTAGATTCTCATATCTAAATTTTGATTCTGCATTCATTGGTCAGCTGTTCCCGCCTGAAGCCGTGCACTGTCCATGTAGGCAAACATGGAACTACAGTTGTAGACTGTCCTTCAATTCCTACATAACTGGTGCTCGTGGAGGTGACAGATATAAAACCTCGACACACCTATTTTTCTAAGGGCCAAACGAAACCGACCCCCGTTGTTGTTTAGCCTGTGCACTTATTGAAATCGATTTTGGTGCTCAGTTAGGACGACACTCGCTGAGGGTTTACCAGAGAAACGGGTCCGTTTCGTGGGACGGTCAAGGAGTGCTTCTGATTCTAGGTTTCTTCGTTCGGTCTCCTCTCCAGCGAGTTATGTGAGAGCGGGAATATAATTTATTCGCCTGTGTCCATTTCACGTGATGCACCTTGTGTCACTTGAAGTCGATGTAAGAGCAATCATTCTTCAGTGGTGTGTCCAATCGGCTTTGGGAAAGATGGCCGCGCTTGAACATAGCTTGGACGCTAGTGCCACTCAACGGTTTTTGACAGGCTGGCGATTGATTTAACGACAGGCAAACCCACCTTCATAACAGCCTTCGCTCGCAAGTGACGCCAAAGTTTCCGTGCCCTCTATTGGCCGTGGATGGAGCCGTCCGTTCACAGGTGTCACACACAACCCCAACCATGCCTCGGTGCCCTAGGGGTCACCCTGCAGAATCCGAGTTTGCCCAGGATCCAGCTCGTCCAGGCTGGGTAGCTCTAATATTCTGGACTGTTTTTGCAGGCCAAAGTTTCGAACAGCTCGGAACGTGCCACTCTCGACAACTCTCGACACCGACATGGGGAATTTTTTTTGTTTCTGGGGGAAAACGTTTATAAATATTCTACAGGTTGGATCCATCCTACTCGGAACTGGACCGCGGGATTATTATGCTGTCTGTCCGTGGACGGGTACTGATATTCTGAAACCAAACAATCAGGTCTATGTATAGAGTATAACTTTTTTCACTGGCAAATCAGTATACTGTAATTTTCCTGACTTCCAGATGCCTGACCCCAACCCGAGGAGATACAGAACAGAACACCTTGGCCTGCACACACCTCCATCCATCCATACTGTAGTAGACATTTTATATTTGGAGTTACTCATCAAATGTAGGAGTTTGAGGACTTTGTAAAAAGCCTAAATTGCCACGGCTCAACTTTATATTTGTTGTGCCACATCTGCCAGAAAATCTAAACTCATGGCCAATGAGGGGACATAAAACGGCCTGTGTTATGTGGTTCTGTCGGGTGAATAGCCGATAAAATGCAGCGCTCTTTTATTCCAAACCTTCGTGACTGCTCTCCCCCATCGGTTCCTCCCTGCTTGACCCATTTGTCCGCAGCTGCACAGTCTGCTCCTGCGACTAGGCGGGCAAGCGGAAGCCACGAGATTCAGGGCACGCCGTGCCAGCGCCGCACCGCCGAGGCGCATGTGTTCTTCTGGGGAGCCTCGTCCTGTGGTGGTGGCGCATTGGCGCGCGGGAATCGCATGCGCGAAGCAGCGGCAGCCAGCCAGCCACTCTCCGCATCCCCCCCATGCCCCGCACGTTCGACGCCCAACTTTTTGAAAGGCGTCCATGGCGCGCCATGCCCATCGTCCACGCACTGCTCCGCAAGTGAGCTGGCTGGTTGTCTCGAACAAACAGAGTTCGCCTCGCTTCGCACTTCTGGTTGTACAATTCGAGTGAGCTGGCTACGATATCTCAGATTCCAGTTTCCAGCTTTCGGCTCTTTCCAACAGATGAATCCCCTACAGTCGTCTCTCACGAGCACCTCTCTTTCGTGATTGCGCTCTGATAGCTGTCATTGCAGGACCTGCTTCGCTGTTCCTCCACTACAGCGACACGACGCAACGCTTCTTGCGTCTCGCGTCATATTTATGCCAGTTTCACGCCTCGACGAAGAGCTCCTTTGATCGGAATAACCGCGGATTGCGCGGATTGCGCATCGCGTGGCGTCCGGTTTCATCCTTTCATGACGAAGACGTCTTCTTTCGAGGCGCCTCAAAAGTCGTTCTCGAGCCTCTAAGCTGTCGGATTAACTTTCCGTCCCGTCAACTATAAAGTCCCGACCGCGCCGCAAGAATGTCGTGCCAATCTGGGGCACAAGTAGAATCGCCGCCGCCGCCGCCGCAGTTGGCGCCGCGACAGCCGCTACAGCCGCAACAACAGGAGCAACAGCACCAGCACCATCGCAGCCGCCAATCCGAGGAATTCGACTCCGCAGTCGCGGCCGTCATTTCGCGAATCCAACTCGACAGGGCCCCCTCGTCGGTTTTCGAGTCCGCGCAGAAGCCGCCCCTGCCGGCGGCGGTGCGTGAATCGGCGGAATTCCCGCTGGGGGAAACGCAGCCGCCGCGAAACGCGGCGGCTCTCCAGGTCCAACTCGACTCCGGAAGTCCCTGGGAGAACCCGAGCGCGCATTCCACGGCGGATAATATGATCCTGTCTCCGACAACCTCCTTCCGCCAGAGCCCCTTCAGCGCGCCGCTGGCGCGCCCTTCTAGCGCCGGGAGTTCCCGCGGGGGCAGTTCCCGCGCAAGCGGAAGATTCCGCGCGACGGCGCTACTGGCAGAGCCCCGCGGCGGCGATCCGTTCACGGGAGACGCGTCGCCGGTCGTCAGTATCCCTCTCACTCACACGCACACGCAGAAGCAGCGGTGGCCGGATAGTCACGGAGCGCAAACCCTAAGCGCGTGGCTCCAACGAACCAGCAGCTCAGGCTCGGGATCTGGCTCGGAAGGGCACAAGTCAGCACAAGACCACTCGGCGCTGCAGCGCTGCGCTTCCGCGCCGCATGAACGCGGCGCCGGCGGAAATTCCGACGGCGCGCGTGGCGGCGGCGGCGTAGAGGCGGCGGCGGCGGCGCTACAGCCCGGTGGCGGGCTACAGCTGGAGACCGAAGAGGAGCGCTCGTTCAAGCGGCGGCTGCTGAACCGCGAGTACGCGAAGAGGTCGCGGCAGCGGCAGCACGAGCGGTTCGTGGAGCTCGAGGCGCAGGTGAATTCCCTGGCGGCGGACAAACGCGCCTCGGACCAGCGGCTCCAGGAGATGGAGCAGGCGCTGATGATCCTCCAGGCGGAAAACGCGCGGCTGCGGCAGATAGCCGCGGGGCGCTACAGCCGCGACATGGCGGAGATCCTGCGCGCCATACAACAGGCCGGGGGGCTTTCCTCCGCGGGGGGGCTTTCCGCTATAGGGCTTCCGCCGCAAACAGGCGGCGCGCGCATCTTTTCGGAGGCGCCGCGGGGCGCCGCGTCACCCGCATCTGCCGGCGCCGCAGCAGCAGCGCGAGCAGCTCTAGGGCTAAACGCCTCGGCGCGGTTTGACGGGACGAGCGCGGAAGCCCTGGCGGAGATCGAGACGGCTATTGGGGGGAACGGGGGAAGGGGGGGAAACGCGCGCAGCGGTTCCACCTGGCAATCTCGGGGGGACGTGAACATGATGGGGGGATATCATGACGCTCCGCCTGCCACGCGCAGAGAGAGCGGGGCTTTCCCCCCTCCCCCGCCCTCGCAGGCTGCGCCATCCGTTCAAGACTTGTTCGGGCAGATCCCTCTTGCAACAATGGGCGATCGCCCCTCCAGAAATTTCCATGGGGGAGGAGATGAGAGCGAAATGATGATCTTTGCTGCCGCCGCTGCTTCCGCCGCCAATACTGCTGCTCCTGCCACTGCCGCTCCTGCTGCTCCTGCTTCCATGCCTGCTGAAAACCGCAGGAGTTTCGAGAGCTTTGCTATTGGCGGCCAAGCTGGTTCAGGTGCCTTTTCAGGTGCTTTCTCCACTGCTCCCGACCCCAGCTTCGATTCTGCATACAGTGTGGAAAATGGCGCTGGTTTTGCTGGTTTCGCTACTGGCGGCCAAGTCCCCGCAATTTGGGGGGCCAATGCCGCAGACTTCAGCTCTGCTGGGTTCGGCGCTGCAGGCTTTGGTGCTGCTGGCGATGACGACACTGCCGCACTGCTTGCGGTGGCCGGACTTGTGGGAGGCAACGGCGGAGGGAGGGGGGGTGGAGAGATGGGGCAAGCAGGGAGGGGGGTGGAGGAAGTGGGAGGGTCGGGCCGTGGAGGGGTGGGGCAGGGGAGTGGGGGGGAGTGGAGGGAGCATGAGGAGGATACGCTTTTTGCCATGATCCACCACCTGCACAGGCAGCTGTGAGGCGCGAGATTTAAGACAGAATAAAGAAGCAAGTCATGATCCATCGTCGGCATGTGCAGCCAAGGTTCTCATGGCTCAGAGGTTCCAGTCGCAGCCAAGCCTGGCAGCATATCCATCAAACCATCACCAACCTCAGTTTGAGTCCAAGGCTCCAATCACTCTGCCTTGTGGCGGATATCCATCACCCTCGGGCCTTAGCTCGTTTTCAAGGCTCCAAACGCTCAGCCTTGGGGTGCATTTTCATTCTTTTGTTTTTCAGACTGCCATGGCTCTTCCTCGGATTCTCGACGCTTGCAAGCTGCATCCAAGGGATGCGAACAGCCGGTGCAGCCACCAGTATGGGATTAGAAGAGCCTGACGCATTCTTGACCGAACCATCATTCAATTTGTTTATTCTTTCAATTGTTCATTCTTTCACAATTAAATGTTTGCTCCCTCGAGAAAGCCTGCATCTTTACAAGCAATGCCAACGACTTCATTGCTAATGGTCACAACAGATATACAGCAAATCTATGATGGGGTGGGGGGCAGGAAACTGAAAATGATGATGTGGGTAAGGCCAAATAGTAGCCTACATGTAGTTGGAGACTGGCGAGTACAACTTCTATGATGCCTGCCTTCTTGTGCTGCGTACACAACAAGTGAACACTGAAAAATGTAAATATTTATGCAAACAGCTGCTACAGTTAATTGTCAGAATGTATTGCACTCCACAACCCTAGAGTCAACAGCAGCCTGACAACCCAGGTGAACAGCTGTTTCCATGACCATACATGTTACCAGTAACATAATCCACACATTCTACAGATGCAAACCCCTACAACAGTTTCATAGAAGCAGGGAGGAGAAGAGAGAATAGCCATATCACATGGAGGCTTCAAGAGGGACGCATGCCGCATCACATGGATACACTGGGGGAGAAGGGGTGACAATGGCATGGCAGGCATCTATGGCAGGCGTCTATGCGAAGGGGGAGCAGATCCGAACGACTAACGAACTCGCATGACACGCATGGCAGTTCCTGTCACACAACACATTGCCCACCCATGGCCCGCAGTACCACCTCGACTAGAGGGCCACATACACACGAACAGTCAATCTCTATCTAAGCGAAGGGGAAGCCGATGCGGACGACAAACTCGCAGGCGTTGTAGTTGCGGTCGTACTGCACGTCGCCCGCCATGGCGAGGAGGATCTTGCGGCACACCGACAGCCCCAGCCCCTCCTGCGTGCGCGTGGTGGGGTCCGCCTCGTCGTACAGCTGCTGCACCAGCTCCTGAGGCAGACTGCCCGAGTGTTGCACTCTGGTGGGGGGGAGTAGGGAGAGGGAGAGAGGGAGAGGGAGAGAGAGAGAGAGAAAGTAGGTGGGAAAACGGAGAAGGGAACATAAAGCGAGAACGAGATATGAGTGGCTGGCCTCGTTGTGCAACTGCTGCACCAGCTCCTGGGGGAGGCTGCCTGAGTGTTGCACTCTGGTGGGGCGGAGAAAAGGGAGACTTGAGTGAGGAAACAGACAGAGGGGTGCATATAATCATGAAAGACTCTGCCAGGGCCTGCTGCAGGCTGCATGCTGTTAGGGGATGAGCGAGAGGGACGTGGGTGAGCAAACAGACACACACATCGGGGGGCGTTGAAGTTGCAGTCAAATTGAACGAATACTATTACGAGGGCCTCCTCTGCAGGCTGTGTGCTGCAGGCTGTATGTTGCAGGTTGCATGCTGCACACACTCTCGGTTAAAACCGCGCATTCTCCTTCACCCCTTCCCCCCCCACCACATTTCCCCTCAAATGCCCCGCCTACAATCAACCCCCTCCAACCCTCAACCCCCTGCCTCCTGGTGCTGGTGACCAGCCGCACCTTCACCCACCCCCCACTGGGAGTAAAAGTAACCGCACTCGTGAGGGTCCCCTGCGAGCCGCACAGCTCCCTCACAATCCCCTCGCTCTCCCCTTCATGTGAACACCCCCTGGCAGTCCCTTCCCCCCTCACACCGCCTTCCTGTATCTCACCTGAATTCGCACTTCAGAGAGCCCTGGTCGCCGAACAGGCTCCTGGTGCTGGTGACCAGGCGCACCTTCACCCACCCCCCACTGGGCGTGAATGTAACCGCGCTCGTGAGGTACTCCGCCAGAGCCTGCTGCAGGCGCGCGGGGTCCCCTGCCAGCCCGGGGAAGGTCTTGAGCTGCGGCGGCGGGTCGAACGAGAGGGTCACGCTGCGCCGGGCGGCGGCTTGCTTGCCCTGGGCGATCACAGCGTCGATCACGGAATCAATGGTGAAGACCCCGGGGATGATGTTGACATAGCTGGTGAGGGGGACACGGAGGGGGGAAGGGGAGGTGGGGATGGAGGGGAGCAGGGGGGGAGGAGGGTGGGGGAAGTGAGGTATTGTGATAGAGGTTGCTTGCCCTGGGCGATCACTGTGTCGATCACAGTGTCGATCACAGAAACAATGGTGAAGACCCCGGGGATGTTGTTTACATATCTGGTGCAGAGGAAGAGGGGCAGGGAGGTGTTGGGAGGGTGAAGGAGAGGAAGAATGGGGAGAGAGTGGGAGGGAGTGCGTCAATGCGGCCTGGACGATGACAGCATCGATGACTGAACCAATGGCGAAGAGGCTACGCCAGGAATGATGTTGACGTAGCTGGTGAAGGGGGCGTGGAGGGGGGAATGGGGTAGTGAATCGATCGAGAAAAAGCACGGGGGTTGATGATGATGTGGGTGGTAAGGTATCATCTCCCATTTTCCACGACTAACGGCTTTACTACCCTTCACTCACCGCTCCCGATCGGGGCGATGACATCATTCCCCAAGATCTGTTCCACCTGCTCCTTGCACCTCTCACAAGCACCCGCACTCACTAGCACCATTCCCCACTGTTCCCCACCATTCCTCACCACTTGCCCCCCTCAACCCTTCACTCACCCTTCCTCAATGGTGTCAGAGTCGTCATCCCCCAGAATCCTATCTACCTGCTCCTTGCACCTCATACACAATAGCACCATTACTACTAACCCATCCTCCCCGCCGTCATCCTCCACCCACCCTTCCCCTACTGTGGCAATGTCGTCATCCCCAAACTCCTACTCACCTGTTCTTGCACCTCTCCCCCCCCTTACACCACCTACCATCCCCTACCACCCACTCACCCTTCCTCAATCGTGTCGATGTCGCCATCCCCCAACATCCTATTCACCTGTTCCTCGCAACTCATACAGAAAAAAACCACCTCATACTACTAACCCACCCTTCATTCACCCTTCCTCAACGGTGGCACTGTCGTCACCCCCCAAACTCCTACCCACCTGCTCCTGCACCTCTTCCCCCCTTTTACCACCTATCATCCCCCACCACCCGCTCACCCTTCCTCGATGGTGTCAATGTCGTCATCCCCCAGAATCCTATTCTCCTGCTCCTTGCACCTAACACACCTAGCTAATAGCCCATCCTCCCCTCCTCCACCCTTCACTCACCCTTCCTCGATGGTGTCAATGTCGTCATCCCCCAGAATCCTATTCTCCTGCTCCTTGCACCTAACACACCTAGCTAATAGCCCATCCTCCCCTCCTCCACCCTTCACTCACCCTTCCTCGATGGTGTCAATGTCGTCATCCCCCAGAATCCTGTCCACCTGCTCCTTGCACCGCTCCGCAACCCCCACCGCGTTCCGCTCCTCCTCCCCGGCAATCCGCCCCTCCCTCTCCTCCCGCCTCAGCCCCTCCAGGGCGTGCTCTATCCCGTCCAGCGGCCCGCGGATCGCATCCCTGGTGTATGCCACCGCCTTGGCCTTCTCCTTGGCGAAGTCCTGTGTGGCACGTTGCAGGTTGAGCGCCGCCTGCAGCTCTGCCGACACGGTGTGGAGGAAGCAGAACACGCCCGTCACGTGCCCGTCCGCGTCCCGGCGGGTGTTCACCGTGAGTAGAGCCTCCACCAGTTGGCCCTGTGAGTGTGGAGGGGGAGGGGAGTGAGCTGGGGGTGAGGGCTTGCAGCTCGGGAGACGGCAGGGAGGAAGCAGAGCATGCACGCCTGTGACGTGGCCGCCTGGATCTCAGCAGGTGCACTGCGAGTGGAGCCTCCACCACGTGGGCAGCAAACAGACAGTCATCAATCAACTTTGTCATCATGTGTGTCTCTGCCTTCACGCATGTATGCTCTCAGGGTGCACGCACACCACACGCACACCACCAGCACATGCACACGCACACCACAGGCACACACACACCACGGGCCCATTAAGTAAAACAAGTGCACTCACATGAGCATCGAGGAACTCCAGAGGGTAGCGGTCGGTCATCTGGCCGGACATGGCCTTGTTGATCACGATCATGAGCTTCGTCATCGTGTCGGCCTTCATGCGGCAGATGGGGCCGAAGATGCCGCCCAGCAGCAGCCGGTCGATGGCCTGCGACCGCGGCACGCCCGTGATCCTCTCCATAGCGGGGTTCCAGTCCGTGCAGTTGCCAAAGTCTGAAGAGGGAGGCGGGTAGGCGGGTGCGGGGAGATTGAGCACGGGTGTGAGTGAAAGGCACGCCTGTGATCCTCTCCCAGGCAGGGTTCCAGTCCGTGCAGTTGCCAAAGTCTGGAGGGGGGAAGATGGGGGAGGCGGGAAAGAGAGAGGGGGGGAGCACGGGTGTGACTGACAGGTGTGAAGGGAGGTGGGAGGGGGGGGGGAGAGGAGGAGCGGGGGGTTTGACCCTGGAGACGTGAGGCACACGGGGGGCACATGGGGGGCACATGGGGGGCACATGGGGGGCACATGGGGGGCACATGGGGGGCACATGGGGGGCACATGGGGGGCACATGGGGGGCACATGTTGGGCACATGGGGGACACATGGGGGGCACATGGGGGGCACATGGGGGGCACATGGGGGGCACATGGGGGGCACATGGGGGGCACATGGGGGCACATGGGGGGCACATGGGGGGCACATGGGGGGCACATGGGGGGCACATGGGGGAAACACAGGGGGCACACGGGGGGCATAAAACTCGATCGCAAGACTTCTCAAAACAAGGGCCAAGGGAAAGCGTAATAGCCCAAGCCAGCAGCACGGGAACAAAGGGTCCCACCAGGTATTCCATCCCCCTTACAAGCCAGCCACCAGGCTCACCGTCAGTGGAGAAGATGGGCGGAATGAGTGAGCTGTTGCCATGCATAATGGCCTCATAATCCCCTTGCAGGCGCGTGAACTTGCCCTGCACCGCCTTCTGCGCCGCTCAATCCACTCACTCACACCCCAGAACGCCCCATCCCATCCCCCTCTTACAAGCCCGCCAGCAGCACTCACCGTCAGTGGAGAAGATGGGCGGAATGAGCGAGTTGTTGCCGTGCACGATGGCCTCATAATCCCCTTGCAGGCGCGTGAACTTGCCCTGCACCGCCTTCTGCGCGGTCACGTCCTGCCCCACGAAGCACACCCCCACCACGTCCTCCATGTCGTCGCCGCCCATGGCCGTGCCGCGGCTGGCGAACGCGTTCACCACGAGGATGACCGAGTCCTTGGACGACTGCACCACGCCCCACGTGCGCAGATGAATCTCCAGCTCCTTGCTCTCCTGGCCTGCAGTGGCACCGGGGGGGAGTGGAAGGGAGGGGAGGGAGGGAAGGGAGGGGAGGGGAGGGGAAGTGAGGGGAGGGAGGGCAGGGAGAGGGTCGGGGAAGGCAGAGGCGTTGCCCATGAGTGACAACAGAGTCCTTGGATGGCTGCACCACGCCCCACGTGCGCAGATGCATCTCCAGCTCCTTGCTCTCCTGGCCTGCAGTGGCAGAGCGGGGAGGGAAGGGTGAGAGGGGCGAGAGCGAAAGTGCTCACTACACAAGCACAAACCACAGAGCACTAAACAAGTAGCAAGCGAGCAAGCATACATTGCAGTGCAAGGAACAGCGCCCAGCCAACGGCGTCCACGTTGCCTTCCACCACCAGGCCCGTGGTCAGGTGCTCGCCCTTATCCCCAGGCTCTAGCCCTCTCAGCAGGTACACCCATTCACGTCAACCATGCCTAGCAGAAAGCTCGAGCCTACCTTGCAGAGCGAGGAACAGGGCCCTGCCAACAGCGTCCACGTTGCCCTCCACCACCAGGTCCGTGATCAGGTGCTTGCCCAGGGCGTCCCCTGTGGCCAGCCCTGTCAGCGCTGCCAGCCTGGCGTTCCACCCCGTCACACACCCGTCGCGATCAACGGCCAGGATGGGCGCCGTGGCTGTCTCGAGCACGCGCACCATCTCGCTCTCTGTGGCGCTCAGGCGGTCCATTTCCTGTGGGGAAGGGGGAGGGGCGGAAGGAGGGGAAGGGAGAGGGGGAGATGGAGGGGGCATTAGAGCCTGGCGCTCCACCCCGTCACACACCTGTCACGATCAACTGTTGGGCGCAGTTGCTGTCTCGAGCATGCGCACCATCTCGCTCTCTGTGGCGCTCAGACGGTCCATTTCCTGGTAATCGCGAGCGGGGTTGAGTGAGGGGCGGGAAGAGTCTATTTTTGAGGCGCCTCAAAAATAGACTCCATTTCCTGGTAATGACGAGCGTGATGGGGGGCGGGAGGGTGACGGTGGGGGTGGGGGGTGGGGGGTGGGGGATGGGGGGGGGGGGAGTTGGGGTGCAGCATGGCAGTGGAAGGAGGCGGGACACGCGGATGAGCAGTTCGCATCCCTCATGTTTATGTGGTTACCATGTCGCTTGCGTTTGAAGTGGTTACGGTACCGCTTGTGTTGAGGTGGCACCACCATGTGCTTATGGTTGCCATCCCACTTGTTCTTGTGGTTACCATCCAGTGTATGTGTGCATGCAGGTGTGGCCTAGTGTGTGCATGCATGCATGCATGCATGCATGGCGTTGCCTTCTGCCAGAACTGGTTCCGCGCTCCTCTCATGTTTAAGTTTTGAGACGTCTCAAAACGCACTCCTCTCAGCTTACTGATCCCTTCAAACACTCTCACCTGGCCCCTCATGCGGTTTAGCGGCATATCCTTCAAGTCATTGCCACTGGACGACGTCAGGTGCCCCCCGTGTTAGTAATTTCGTTTTGAGGCGTCTCGAAAGGAAATTACGAGGCCTAAACACACAAATGCCCCGTGAGGATGAGCTGCAGCGAGTGCCTCTACGCCAGCCTCATCCCCCTCTCCCTGCAAACCTCACCCCATTCCCTCTGGACTGGACTCACCTGGTCCCGCATCCTGTTGAGCATCATGTCCTTCATATCGTTGTCCGAGAAGGAAGTGAGATGGCCCCTGAGGATGAGCTGCAGCGAGTGGATGGCGTCCATCTCCACGTCCTCCCACGGCATGGATCGCTGCCGCACCACCTCTAGGAACGCCGCGAAGCTCGCCCTGGGCCCCATGGCCATCCGCTCCGGGTGCTCGTCCTCCTTGTCCCTATTGTCGTGCTTCTCCCCGCCCCACCGCACCTCCTTCCGCACGTGCGACCGGAACCACAGCAGCACGTCGCGCGCGTACAGCCGCGCGCACGCCATCCCGCACACCCCTTCCCCCAGCTCCTCCGCGCGCGGGTAACCTGCTTCCGCCAGGCTGTCTGTGCTCAGCCCGGACGAGTCCCCATGCGCCGCGTCCAGCCAGTCGATGATATCTAGGATCTGCATCTCCGTGGGGGTCGTCCCCAGCAGCCAGAACCGCCCCGCGTAGTACAGCGCCGCGCCGTCGCACTTCACCAAGTCCCGGATATTAGGGTTCTGGGAGACGATCCCGAGGGGCGCATCCCCTCGCATGAGGAGATCACAGAGCAGCGTCTGCGTGCGCAGCATGTCCTTCTCCTTGTGCTGGCGGGCCATCTCGATCTCCATGTTCACCTGGAGGGAGAAGACCTGCATGAGGAACTCGCACGCCAGCCGCAGGGGGAACGGCAGGTAGCGCGCGGTTTCGTGGTGGCACACCACCAGCCCCCACAGCTTCTTCCCCCGGTTCCCCTGCGCCGCAGGAGCACCAGCACCAGCCCCAGCACCCTGCTGCGCCTGCTGCGCGACGTCCTCATCGTTGATGATCACGGCCATGGTCATGGACGCCGTGGTCCCCATGTTCCGCATGTACTGAATATGGCACCGCTGCGCCGCGCGCAGCTGCGACCCCGCGAGCGTCACGGGCTGCTTGAGCCTGCCCTCGTCCCGCACCACCTTCACCTCGTCCGAGTACGCATCACAGATACACCGCACTCGGTTCTTCATAAACAGGAACCGAATCGCCTGGGGAATATCCGTAGCCGGGTAGTGCAGACCGAGATATGGCTCCATGGTGTCTTTCTTAGCTTCAGCAAGGACCTCGCCATGCTCGTCCTCGTGGAATTTGTAAGTCATAACTCGGTCGTACCCCGTGAGCTCCTTCACCTCCTCCACCACCGCCTGGCACAGCATGGTCATGTCGCCGGGCGGCATGCGTTGGAGCCTAGCGATGGCCTTGGCAGCGAGCTTGTGCGCCTGGAGGGCCCCCGCGCCCGTGAAGATATTTTCGGCGTCGCGGACGGGCTCCAGGTCGATCACGATGCCCACGTCGATGCGGTGCAGGATGGCGTAGAACGGCCGGTGGTCGCCGCGGTTGGACACAGCGGCTTCGACCAGCACCGGGTTGATCATAGAGAGGTCCGCCGCGCCTGTCGCCTTCTCGAGCGCTGTGACGCTGTCAGGGGTGAAGAGAGAACGCGCGTCCGCGCCGAAATCTGGGGGGAGAGAGGGGGGCGAGATGGGGAGGGGGGGGGGACGGGAGGAAAGCTCGGGCTAAGTGGGACGGGCTCCAGGTCGATGACGATGCCCACGTCAATGCGGTGCAGGATGGCGTAGAACGGCTGGTCGACACGGCTGCTTCCACCAGCACCCGGTTGATCATAGAGAGGTCCGCCGCGCCTGTGGCCTTTTCGAGCGCCGTGACGCTGTCCGAGGTGAAGAGAGAACGCGCGTCCGCGCCGAAATCTGGGGGGAGAGGGCAGGCGCGGGAGCGAGATGGGGAGGATGGCGGAGGATGGGGGAGGATGGTACGGAAGGGAGAGGAACAATTTGAGGGGTACCGGTGTTAGCGGCCCTGGAGGTTGCCCCGTGGACGAGCTCCGCGAGGAAAGAAACTGTGCAGAGGGGGTGAGGGGGGGGGGGAGACGGGTGGGAAAGTGCATGAGTGAGCTCGTCAGTTGGTTTCGCTCGGGCCAGGGCGTAAGACAGAGGGTAAGTCAGGGCAAGTCAGGGCAAGTCAGGGCAAGTCAGGGCGAAGTCCCCTCAGGCCCACCCACTCCCGGAAAGGGAAGATATGGAGGCGGTTTGCTGCACAGCACGGGTGGGGGAGGAGGGGGGGGCTGTGCAGAGCAGGGGAGCGGAGAGTTGCTTACCGAGCACGGGCACCGGAAGAGACCTACCGAGCACGGGGAGGGGCGGGAGCGGGGGTGGAGCAGGCGCCGCCGATTCCGCGTCCCCCGCCTTGCTCAGGTTGGAGTGCGCGCCCTCCCCCTCCTCAATGCGCCGGCTGGCGCGGAACCCGGTGCGCCACGAGCGCGACGGTGACTGCGAGCGCGCGGGGGAGCCCACCCTTCCGCCCGTGCTGTCGGAAGGCGCGAGGCTGCGCCCGCGCTGCTTGGCGTGCTTGGATCCCGCGGCGTTGTGCCCGCGAATGGCAGAAGAAATCTTCTCCTTGAGCGAGCTGAACGCACGACCTGGAAAGGCGTTGCGGGGGATGGGGGGGAGGGCAGGGAGAGGGACGAGGAACCGGGGGGTGCGGGGGGAAAGGGGAGGGGAAGGGCGGGGGGAGTGGGGAAGGAGGCTGTGGCTGTGCAATGGAGCTTCATAACACAGTCCTGCTTGGCGTGCTTGAAACCCGCGGCGTGTTGCCCCAGTAATGCTCGACCACCAACGCCGCACCTCTCCGGTGTTCCGACTCACACCAATGCCCGACTTGCTCGAGAAACTCTCTTGAGTCGAGGTCAACACGTACCATTGCCCCGCCTCCCGGTTGTCCGGCTCATCAATGCCCCACCCACCACTGCCGCACCCACCAATGCCCGACCTCTCACCCCCACAACCGCGCCACCTCTCCGACTCACCAATGCCCGACTTGGCGGGAGCCTTGCTGGGGGACGCCGTCGCCGTCGCCGCCTCCGCCTTCGCCTCCTCTTCCGCCTTCTTCCGCTCCGCCTCCTCTTCCGCCTTCTTTTCCGACTCGATCTCCTCCGGCGTCTTCTCCTTGGGAATCAGCCCCAGCAGGTCCTTGGCGTTCTCGCTAAACGCCAGCACCTGGAACGACCCCTCCTCCACCACCACCAGGCACCCGAACGCCTGAATCAGCCCGCCGCGCTGCATGCGCTGGAGGTACGACGCCACCGGCGCGCCGCCGGGTTTCCCGCCGCCCGCGCCGGCGTCTTTCCCGCCGTCCGTCTGCGTGATGCCCTTGCTGGCCTCCACCGAGTCGTGGTAGTCGAACCCCTCCGACGCGTCCTCGTACGCGCTGTCGAGCCGCGCGTCCGCGACGGCCTGCGCGACGCGGATGGCGCGCTTCGCCAGGGCCTTGGAGCCCGTGACGCTCGAGGAGCTCATGGAGACGGCCGGCCCGGCCGGCGCGGCGGACGGCGCGGCGGAGGTTACGGTGGACATGGTGCGGGTGCTGTTGGTGGGGGAACTAGTGTCCGCGGTAGAGAGTGTTGCGGTACTCATTGCATGGTCCTGGCTCGCCATGGTGGCGCTGGTGCTGATACTATCGAGCTGCTTCGGTGCTGGAAATATCTACGAACTTTAGAAACTATTCTGTGCTAAGGTCACTTTCGTCCTGTTGAGACAGCAGTCGTCTAGAGGATTCTACCAGCCGGGAAGGAGGTGGAGGCGTGGGAAGCAGTGCAACAGAGTCTTAGGAGATAAATATCACTGCTCAGACGAACTGCACAATGGCAAGGAGTTAAAGAAAAAAGAGAGGTCGGGGAGGGGTTGTAACATACGATGAGGCAAGACGAAAAGAAAAGACAATGTCAAGCCACGCAGACAGGGCAATAATGGCGTGAGACATAATGCGGGAATTGCTTTACTGAGGAATGTAAAGATGCGACGGGAAACGGGGGAACCGATGTCACGGTAGAGAGAAAAAAACAAGAGGAAAAAACAAACAAACAAACAAACAAACATCTAGAGCGGGTGCCGATGCCGGATACTGTTGCAGCATCTGGAAAAGCTTGGAATAGAAGAATATAGATTGTCAACCCTTGTTCCTAACGAGCTCGAGAGTCGACGGCAAAAATCGGAATGAGTGGCATTGCGCAAAGTCAAGCCCTGTTTATACCAAGACTGGTCCGTGTTACGCGCTATGTAATACCGCTTACAAATTTTAACTTTTTACAGCCTTGAGTTCTGTCCGTGCAAAATTAGTCGAGTATATTACACGAAGTTGCTTGTTTCTACATGGCATGCTTTGCAAAAATGCAGCAGGAAGAGCTGTGAGTGAAGGGAGAAGACAGGTTAGGAGAAACTGGTAGGTAGGCATACCTTGCCTTGCCACGTCTGGTAGACTTGATGGAACTGGCGCACTAAACGAGAACCGCTTCCTCGTAGAAACTAGGAAGCCTTTCCACTCTCACTGCTTAGTATTCTCAGAGAGGTTTGCCTTCTAGCCTTTCTCCCACTGCGTCTAGCAGTTCAGCAGCACACAGAGCACCAGAAGAGCTTCGTGTCTGGCAAAAAAGGCGCGAAATGTTGGTGACAGGAGTGCTGGTGTGAGGTGTGATGGCGGATGGATAACGCGCGGAATGTCGGGGCATCTGTTCTAGCCCTTCCCCCCCAAAAGAGCCTGCGGCTAGGCAGAAAAGTTCCGCTCGTGCCTCTCGAGGCGGGCTGGGGGATGGAGGCGGGTGGAACAAGCAAGGTGCGCACCGAACCAGATATTAGGTCACCCTACAGAAACCCTTCAAACCGTATCAAGCCCCTTGAAAGCCTTTTTGGGGGAGGTGGGAGGGGTTTGTGGGTGGGGCGGGGGGGGGGGGGGGGGGGTGGGTGGGGGGGGACATTGACATTTCAGCCCCCTGCTTGCGGAACTGTGAGGCAGATCGATGTGGAAACGGGATCTGGCTGACGGGGAATACTGCCACGTTGCTTTCCTTGACCAATGCATGCGGGCGTTGGGGCAGAGGGAAGATCCAGGTTGCACACGTAGGCCGAAGCGGGGGCTTCCACTTGGCCGAGAAGATAAAGGATTTGGTGGAGGGTGGTGGGATTGGTTGGAGGAATCGAGTACACTTAGCTCGTGGTAATTTTACACCCTGAAACTGGGCGGCAGAATGATTTGTTTTCCACCCTGACCATTTCTGAGTGCAAAGAGAGTATCCCCTTGCTCCTACGGCATAAGCTTGGCAGACTCCACGCGGGGAAAAAAACTTAGGGCACTGCCTAAGCTGACGTCGGGTTTCCCGACACGAGAAACACTAAATCGAGCAGTAAACATTTCGTTTAGAAACCCAAGTTCAAATTGTTTTTCAAGCGTATCAGGATCTGGTCTTCAGGAGCTGCTTTCGGGGGGTGGATACCGTCTCGGCGGCACACTCTGTGAAAATACTGAGTGCAAAAAATACCGCAGACTAAGTGTATAAGTGACCCGTCGCCCGTTCCTCCCGCGCGGGTCGAAGTCGAAGCTGAATGGCAGCCCGTAAAGCCCACGACAGACAGCAGAAACCTACACTGAAGGTATGCTTGCTGAGTCAGCAGAATAATTGTGCTGTAACAGAATATCAACTGGCAACCAACAGACGTGGACTCTGAAACGTTTTCCACCGCACATATGCGTCGGCAGCACGTGAAACCACAGCCTTGGCACGGTTTCTAACGACGAGAAAAGGCGGCTGTCAGCCCAGCCGCGAAATCAGCAATGTTGCGTTTGTGAGAGCTGCGTTTTATTGGGAAGCTCTTTTAGAGAGTTTCTGGGAAAGACAATACAGATATTGCAATAAACAACAATAACAACGGGAGCACCTCCTTCGCAGGTGCTACATCTAATAAACAAAGTATCCTGATGAAAATTAATCCTTTTTTAATCTTCCAATTTATTACTTTATTTCAATTTACGTTCTTTCAGGAAAGCATATAGATTTCGACTATACGTCAACTAGACCCGCTTCTCCCAGCACAAAAGTGGGCTGACACAAGCGAGGAATCCTTACAGCCTCTCCCAGCCGGATATTCAATTGAACTCATTCGACCACCACGATTCGTTCGGCGGGGTAAGCACTTGTCGTTGACGGAAGACGGAGGGCACGTGGCGTAAGCACAAGAATCCAGTGGGTCGCTTCTTCTGAGTCGCCTCAGACAACACTAGGTTATCTCCTTACTATACCATTTTCCATTGAGCTCTATGAAATAATACAAAGTTTTCTAATAGCCCATGGCGCCACCCGCGCGGGCCGCCGTCCCCGACGCGGCGGCAGCGCGGCATCTCACGATCGACGGCGACGTCGGCCTGTCGGACGACGCGGCTCGGAGCCTGGCTCGCGGGTTCTTCCTGGGAGGGTTCCTGCTGCTGCCGTGGCTGTGGTTCGTCAACTGCTACTTCTTCTGGCCCGTGCTTCGTTATAACGCCGGCCACGATCCCCTGCTGCGATCCTGTAAGCGGGTTGCACTGAGCGAGGGAGGGGAGGGGGAGGAGGGGGAGGCCCATGTGTCCAGCACACGCGTCTTCATCCGCTGCTGCGACCCTGTAAGAGGCCTCTCGTCTTCTTCTTGAATGGCGACAGGAAAGCTTCACCGTCCTCCCTTCCCCGTCGTTCTGCCTCTTTCGATACCTCGCACAACCGGTTCCGCTCCCTTCTATATCTCTCTCACACCTCCACTCGGCCTTCTCTCTCACGCGCCAGCCATGCTTGGTTCCATCCACTGCCTCCTCTCCACTTCCGACCCACTCTTTTCATTACCCCGATTGCCGTTCACCCCACTGTCTCCCCTTATCCGTCGCCCGCCGCTTCCTCTTTCCTTGTCTTCACTCGGTTTTCCACACTTTCCTCCCCCAACCCCCTTCTCCCCCAACCCCCTTCTTCCCTAACCCCCTTCTTCCCCAACCCCCTTCTCCCCCCACCCTCTCCTCCCCTCACCCTTTGCTCCCCCTACAGACACGGTTGGCTCAACCATTGGCTGCAGTGTGGTCTTCCCCCCTCTTGCTTGCTGTGTGCCCCACTCCCCTTGTCCCCCTCTCCCCTCTCTTCCCACCGTCTGCTTCCCCTACAGACGGCATTGGCTCAGCCATTTGCTCTAGTGCCGCCTCCTCCCTTCGCACTCTTTCCTCCCTTCGACAGCCCCCCTTAGCCACTCCCCTTGTCCCCCTCTCCCCTCTCTTCCCCCCGTCTGCTTCCCCTACAGACGGCATTGGCTCAGCCATTTGCTCTAGTGCCGCCTCCTCCCTTCGCACTCTTTCCTCCCTTCGACAGCCTCCCTTAGCCACTCCCCTTGTCCCCCTCTCCCCTCTCTTCCCGCCCGCCCTCTGCTTCCCCTGCAGATGGTTGGTTCGGCCATGGGCTGCCATGTCGCCTTCTCCCTCCTTGCTTCCCGCGTGCCTCACTCCCCTTGTCCCCCCCTCTCCCCTCCTCCCTCCCACTTCGCCCCCTAAACAGACGTGGTTGGTTCGGCCATTGGCTGCAGCGTGGCCTTCTCCCTCCTTGCGTGTTGGTCCTTGGCCTATTCTGTAGGCGGGGAGGCATTACTAGGGACTGAAACGTGGCAGCGTTTAGCGGTGTACAATATTGTAGATGGCATTTTGTAAGCTGCAAAAGCGCTTTCAGTGTGTAATATACATCCGCTACTCTCAGCCTGGGCCTGATCTCTCAAAATTGGACTCGTCTGCCCTCACTATTGGTCTTGCAGCGGGGTTGGATGCAGCTCGGTAGGGTGCAAAGGAATTTTGCTTAGGTGCAGGGCTCTTATAAGTGAGTCGATCCTCGCCTTGGGCTCTTATAAGAGGCAACTTGTATGTTACTACCACACCCTTCATGGGCAGCACCTGACAGCGATTGCTAGAAACTCTGGCTCCCATGTGGTAACTGGCCAGTTTTCACATTACACTCCTGTGGCTAACACATGCAGATGCATTCAACAAGCAAACTTGGATTGTCTAAATCGTGTTTGTTATCCCCATGCAAAGCGTGATAGGATAGGAGTCTAGTTTTGAGGCGCCTCAAAACTAGACTGTCTGAACCGCGTTTGTTGTCCCCATGCACAGCGTGACCATCACACGCATCACCGTTGCCGTGCTCATACCTGCCCACCCACCCAACCCAACCCAACCCAAGCTATCTCTGCTTCCATCTCTCCGTATTTCAGCCGTTCGCAGGTTTGCAGTGCGGTGCTGTCTTTCAGCTCCCAGCACCTCTGGCTTGCCTTTCATGCGCCCAACACCTCTGCTCTGCTCTTTTCAATCAACACGTCCCTGTAGTACCCACCCACTTAAGCTATCTCTACTTCTGCGTCAGACCTCTCCTGATCGCAGCCTTTTTCAGGAGCGCCAGCCTGTCAGCCCCCAGCCCTCCCTTGCCCTGCCTTGCCTTCCATGCGCCCAGCATCTCTGCTCGCTTCAACACATCCCTCCCCACCCTCCTCTCTCCCTCCTCCGCCTCCTCCTCTGCCTCCTCCGCCTTCTCCGCCCCTTCTCCCTCCCTCTTCACCTCATCCCCCTCTCCTCCTTTCCCACCTTCCCCAACCTGCACTCCCTCCTCCCCTTCTACCCCTTCCTTTGACTCCCTTAGTTTCTCACCCTCGTTCTCACCTACCCCAGTCCCCCCTGTCCCCTTGCCACCTGCCCCAGTCTCACCTCCCCCTGTTCCATCCAGCTCAGGTGTATCAGAAGATTTTGCTCTTTCACCTGCCTGCTCCTGTGCCTGCTCCCTGTTTGAGTCACTCTCGTGAGTATCACTGGAGACGACCACACCAGGTTTGGCTGCATCTGCCACGTCAGCATCTGCTGCTACGAGCGCCAACTGCATGGCCAGAGGCCCGAGACGGGCAGCGAGATACGTCTGCTTCTGGTGGAGGTCTGATAGGCACTCCCACTCAAAGAAAGGTATCTGGAATAATAGTGGGTGAGGGAGAGGGAGGAAGGAGAGCGAGTGGAGAGAGGAAGGAGAAACAACAAATATCTTTAAGAGTGCACATAGACATGTATTTGCGTATGTACATAAATACATACCTGAACCACCTGAAACAACAGAAAGTCCCAACAGAGGGCTCTTACCCGAACCACCTGAAGCAAACAGAAGGTCTCACCTGAACCACCTGTCACCAACAGAGGGACCCCCTCTCACCTGAACAGTCCTCCTCAGCATTGCAGCAGTCTGACTTTCAGCTGAGTGGGGCCAAGAGGCACATGCTGCTGCTGCTGATTCTACTGTTGTTTCTACCGGTTCACCTGTCATCAACAGACCCCTCTTCCCTAAACCACCTGAAGCCAGCAGACCCCTCTCACCTGGACCACCTGAAGTCAACAGAGGTCCTCACCTGGACCACCTGAAGTCAACAGAGGGGCTCACCTGAACCACCTGCCATCCTCGGCAGCGCAGCAGCCTGGCCTTGAGTTGAGTGGGGCCGAGTGGCACGTGCTGCTGCTGCTGCTGCACAGGTTGTGCAGCTGTCTCCGCTGACGTGCTTATAGTGAAGTGCGACGGGCCGTCAGCCTCCACTGCTATCTTCAGTACACCGCCCTTCCTGCAAGAATCACCTCGCGCACTTAAAGCCCCGGCCGTGGTCTGCCCATTTGTGAGAGGCAGGAAGATAGCAATGTCGACGCTGTAGTCGCCGTCACGGTACTCGAGTGTGTGAGGGAGGTGCATGTGGTGCAGGGCGGTGCTGATGTCCCTCTGGAGTCCTGATACCTGAATCTTCTCCTCCTCGTGAGCTGCCTCCCAACACGCCTGCAGTAACGCTCGTGTGGCGGTAAATGCAAGGGTATGTACACACGTGAGAGTGAGTGGGGGAGTGAGCGAAGTACCGATCTCCCTCTGCAGCCCCGATACCTGCAGCTTCCCCCCCTCTTGAGCTGCTTCCCAGAATGCCTGCATTGAGAGCCGCATGTATGGGTGTATGCATTGTTACATGCACACATGAGAATGTGCGGGGGAGGTGCATCTGGTGCAGGGGAAATCCCCCGAAATCCCCCCGAAACCCCCCCCCCCCCCCCCCCCCCCCCTTTTTCGTGTGCTGCCTGCCTCCCACCCAGTTTGCACTTGATAGCATACATGTGGGTGCATACATGCACACATGAAGGCACATACACCCCAACACCCATTCCCCACCCCCGCCTTCTCACCTTCGCCTGCTGCCCCCCCACCTTCTCACCTGCTGCCCCCCCACCTTCTCACCTGCTGCCCCCCCACCTTCTCACCTTCGCCTGCTGCCCCCCCACCTTCTCACCTGCTGCCCCCCCACCTTCTCACCTTCGCCTGCTGCCCCCCCACCTTCTCACCTTAGCCTGCTGCCCCATCCACCTTCTCACCTTCGCCTGCTGGCGCACAAAGCCCGACAGCCACAGATGCTGCAGATACCAATACGACTCATCCCTCTCCTCTTCCTCCTCCTCCTGCTCCCCATCTCCCTCACTCGCACTCCCCTCACTCCCACCTCCCTCACTCGCACTCCCCTCACTCTCATCCCCGCTCTTGCTCCTGCTGAAAGCACTGCCCCCGGCGTCCCTCATTGCGTCCATGCCCGCCTCGATCAGCTGCTTGTTGTGCTCCGGTGCCTCGAGCTGCGTGGCTAGATCAACCTGCATGGGAGGAGAAGGGAGGAGAAGGAAGGGGCAAAAAGGGAGGAAACGACTGGGTTGGAATGTGACTGAGGCACACCCCTCCCCCCAAGAGTCCCTCATTGTCTCCATGCCCGCCTCCATCAGCTGCTTGCTGTGCTCCGGTGCTTCCAGTTGTGTCGCCAGATCAAGCTGCACCGGAGGGGAAGGGAAGGGTGGAAGGGAGGAAGAACTAGCTCGCATTATGACAGAGTCACATCCTGCCCCCGGCGTTCCTCATTGCGCCCATGCCCACCTCCATCAGCTGCTTGCTGTGCGCAGGCGCAGTTGCTGTGCGCAGGCGCTTGATTGTGTGTTACCGTGTACAGCTCACCTGGTACAGCTGGCACGGCTCAGAGGAGGTGAGATCGCTGGTTAGAGAGAGGAGGTGGGATCGCTGGTAAGAGAGAGGAGGTGGAGGCGGAGGATGGGGAGGGCTGCACTGAGGGAGTGTGTTTGGTGTGTGCATGCCCGCTAGCAGCACACGTGTGCATGTCTGTGTGGTTTAGCCTCACCTGGTACAGTTGGCACAATTCGGAGGAGGTGAGATCGTTGGTGAGGGAGAGGAGGTGGTGGCGGAGGATAGGGAGGGCTGGACTGAGAGAGGGGGAGGAGGAGGAGGCGGAGGAGGGGTTGACGATGGTTGAAATGGTGGTGGTGGCGGTGGGAGAAGGAGGCGCGGAGGGAGAAGCAGAGTTAGAAGGGGAGGGCTTGTCAGTGGGCCCATGCACCACGAGCGCCCATGCCAGCATGACCAGCGCTTGGCGGCCAAACTCCTGCTCGCCTGGTCTGCTGGCCAGACGACGGATGATCTGCCAGGGAAGAGAGAGGGGAGGAGACGGAGGTAGAAAGAAGAGCCTGTGAGTGCAGCCATCCACCCGTGCGGAGTCTATTTTTGAGGCGCCTCAAAAATAGACTCCTCACGCATGCGGCCATCCACCACGAGCGCCCATGCCGGCATGACCAGCGCTTGCCGCCTAAACTCCTGATCTGATGGCCAAGCGGCGGATGATGTGTCCGGGAAGAGAGTGCGGGGCACGTAGAGAAGGACATTGATAGGCATGTGAGGGCACCAGCTGCCACCACGAGCGCCCATGCACGGGAAGAGAGTGAGGGAGTGGGCGAGAAGGAAAGTGGTAGGCATGTGAGTGCGGTGCGGCCATGCACCACCAGTGCCCATACCAGCATCACCAGCACTTGCTGCCCAAACTCCTACTCGCCTGACAACGGCAAAGCAGCGAACAATCTGCACGGGAAGAGAGAGGGAATGGCAGGATGATCTGCGCGACACTGGGAGGAGGGAATCAAAGGAAGAGGTACAAAGGAAGAGGTACTGCCTGATCTCAACACCGAAAGGCTGCTCTTAACTTTCATTGATTTCATGGCCAGGCGACTGTGCCAAGAAACAGATGATCAGTGCACTGTTCTAGCAAAGTGTTCCGGAAGCCGACATTGTTATACTTTCCGGTTTGCTTCGCAAGAACAGTGCAGGCCACAGCGGGGGGCATAAAAAAGAAAAAGAAAAAAAAAGGGACAAAAAAAACCCCAATAAATGGCAAAGCTTCATACCCTGTCCACCCACCTCGGATTCGATCCGCCGGAACAGTGGAGGGGCGGCATGTCCAATCAGAGCAAAGGCGAACGCCATGCAGGCAATGGTGCGGCCGGCGTATTTTGGCATGTAGCGGGTGGCGTGAGCGGTGGCGGCAGAGAAAAAGGGAATGTCGTAATGACTCTGCGTTGCTAATGCCCTGTGTGCGAGGGGTACAGTTGGGGTCGAGGGGGGAGGGGCGGAAAGCGGGGGGAAGAGGGGGGGAGAGAGAAGGGGAGGAAGAGGGGGATAATGACTCTGCTTTGCTAGAGCCTTGAGAGAGTAATCGATTCGGGTGAGGAGAAGAGTGGGGGGAGAAGGGGGGGAGGACGCAAAGTGAGCGGGCAAAAGAGGAGAGACGAGACAATGCTTTGACAGCGCAGCAGCATGGGCAGCATCAGCATGGGCAGCAGCAGCAGCGGCAGCAGCGGCACGAATGACAGAGCGCCATACAATGCAATGCTGGCGATAGCCTGCCCCGTCATAGCTTCTTTTCCAGTGTGCCGCTGTTGATCACCTGTGCACCATCTCTCCCCTCCCCATCGCATGCACCACAGCACCATACTGTACCATGCAGTGCTGGCGATAGCCTGCTCGTGAAAGTGTCCCTCTCCAGAGTGCCACTGTTGATCTCTCTGCTCCCCATCTCTCTCTTCTCTACATCAAACGATTCTCTCTCACCTCGTAACGTGGCAAGCGCCACACCACGCCCAACAACGCCACACCATGCACAACAACGCCACACCATGCACAACAACGCCACACCATGCACAACAACGCCACACCATGCACAACAACGCCACACCATGCACAACAACGCCACACCATGCACAACAACGCCACACCATGCACAACAACGCCACACCATGCACAACAACGCCACACCATGCACAACAACGCCACACCATGCACAACAACGCCACACCATGCACAACAACGCCACACCATGCACAACAACGCCACACCATGCACAACAACGCCATACCATGCACAACAACGCCACACCATGCACAACAACGCCACACCATGCACAACAACGCCACACCATGCACAACAACGCCACACCATGCACAACAACGCCACACCATGCACAACAACGCCATACCATGCACAACAACGCCACACCATGCACAACAACGCCACACCATGCACATCAACGCCACACCATGCACAACAACGCCATACCATGCACATCAACGCCACACCATGCACAACAACGCCACACCATGCACAACAACGCCACACCATGCAAAGTTGGCAACAGCCTGCCCTGTGAGGGCTTCCCTCTCCCGCGTGCCACTGTTGATCCCTGTGTGCCCTCAAATCCCATCGCCATGCACACATACTGCTCAAAGCGCCATACCATCAAGGTGCAAAATTTTGACTGCGGTAAAATGCGGTCCGAATAAAACGGCCGTTTCTTCAGTCATTTTGGGAAAAAAATGCCGTTTTTTGTATGGGCTCAAGTCTGATTTTTTTAATTATTATTTTTGTTCGTGCCAAAAAACAACACAACAACACCCATGGGGGGCCTAGGCATCTTCCCTACGCGCGACAATGCACAATATTGAGGTAGGATAGGAAATCATCCTCCTCCTCCTCCTCCTCCTCCTCCTCCTCCTCCTCCTCCTCCTCCTCCTCCTCCTCCTCCTCCTCCTCCTCCTCCTCCTCCTCCTCCTCCTCCTCCTCCTCCTCCTCCTCCTCCTCCTCCTCCTCCTCCTCCTCCTCCTCCTCCTCCTCCTCCTCCTCCTCCCACTCCTACTGATCCTCCTTCTACCAATCCTCCTACTCCTCCTCCCATTACCAATCCCCTAGCTAGTGAGCTTACCTAGTACTTTTGGTTCTGTTTTTGTACTTGGGATTTCCTGAGTTAAATCCAGAAAGCCATAGATTGAGGGAGTGGGGTGTGGGGCATAGGGCATGGGGCGTGGGGCGATTGTGGCTGGGTCGAATTGGGTTGGAATTCCTAATGACGGGATTCTGGTTGGTTTGTTTAGTTTGAGCACCGCGAACTAGAATTTTTCGCCACGCTTTCCTTGCCGTTGCGAAATCCAGAACCGTTCGCAACGAAACGGTTCTAGATTTCGCAACGGCTGTGGCGAAAAATGTTGGTCGCGAGGCTCGAGATTCGGCAAAATGTGCAGTCCGGGAATTCCCGTGCCGCGCATTTGGCCAAAGTTGGGTGTACACCCAACTCGCAAAGTTCGATAAGGAGTATCGAACTTTGCTTGTGTACACCTATGTGAAAAAAACGGGAAAAAAAAGGGGAAAAAAAAAACGACGTTTTTTTTGCACCAACATATCAATCGTACTTGGAACCGTTTTTTAATGTTTAAAACGGTCGAAACATTCGGTACCGTACAGTACAGTTTTTTTTGGAAAAAAACAGCGTTTTTTTTTGCACCTTGCATACCATGCACACATACTACTCAAAGCGCCATACCATGCACACATACTACTCAAAGCGCCATACCATGCACACATACTACCCAAAGCGCCATACCATGCAATATTAGCAATGGCCTGCCCTGTCATGGCGTCCCTCTCCAGTGTGCCGCCCACGATCCGTCTCGTGGTCTCCTCTCCCACTGCCACCAGCAGCTGCTGGCTGCGGTAGCCCGCTGTGGCATACGCCCTATTGGGGGGAGAGCAGGGGGAAGGTTTGGGAGTTGGACGTGAAAGTAAGTACTAGGTGCAAGGACAATCCGTCTCGTGCCTTCCTCTCCCACTGCCACCAGCAGCTGTTGACTGCGGTGGCCAGCCGTGGCATACGCCCTGAAAGGGGTTGGTGGATGGGGAAGGGAAGGGGGAGAAGGGACGGGGGAGAAGGGAAGGGGGGAAGGGAAGAGGGGGAAGGGAAGGGGGGAAGGGAAAGGGGGGAAGGGAAGGGGGAGAAGGGACGGGGGGGAAGGGAAGGGGGGAAGGGAAAGTGGGGAAGGGAAGGGGGAGAAGGGACGGGGGGTTAGTACGAGGTGCAAAGACAATCCGTCTCGTCTTTTCCTCGCCCACCTCCACCAGCAGCTGCTGGCTGTGGTGGCCTGCCATGCAAAGCGTTTACACAAGTTGCTGCCACGTAAAGTACCATGGCACCTAAGTGGTGTTCAGTTTTCCTCGTCCACCGCCAGCAGCAGCTGCTGGCTGTGGTGGCCTGCTGCGGCGTGGCATACGCCCTGACAGGGGGTGGTGGATGGGGAAGGAGGAGCGGGAAGGGCGGGAGTATGAGGTGCGAGATAACTCGTCTTATGGGTTTCTTGCCATTTTCTTGCCATTTTCTTGCTGTTTTCTTGCCGTTTTCTTGCCGTTTTCTTGCTGTTTTCTTTCCCGCTGCCGCCAATAGCTGTTGGGTGAGAAGCGGGGGAAGGAAACCGGGGGGGTGGGGGGAGAAACGAGGGGGAGGGGTGATAGGTGATTGGTGAAGGAAATGGCTGCGTGATAGGGGTCTAGTTTTCAGGCGCCTCAAAACTGGGTGATAGGTGATTGGTGAAGGAAATGGAACTCTGGCTTCATTGCTGTGTGGGTTGTTCCGCACAGGACGCCCCCCACCAACCAGGTGACTTTTGAGTCGACTCAAATGCCTTGTCATGCAATTCTGGCTTCACTGCTGTGGGATGATTTTTATGCACAGGACGCCCCCCACCAACTGCCCCCCATCCCAACTATGACAGAGTTTGCACCGTGCGATCTTGGAGAGTGACTGTACCATGCAATGTTGGAGAGCGACTGTGTGGAGTGTTCTTGTATCGAGCCAACCACCCGCGGCACAAACAGCGAAAACAGGGCGGGAGCATCCACGTTGAGCCGAGCGAACGCCCTGAGGGGGAAGGGCAGTGGAGACCGATTGGGGGAGGGGAGGGGATCGGAGGGGGGGGGGACAAGGAGAGAGAGACAGAGAGAGTGGAGCAAACAGCGCAAACAGCGTGGGAGCATCCACGTTGAGCCGAGCGAAGGCCCTGATAGGGAGAATGAAGGTGAGGGACAGGAGGGGGAGCAGCGAGGAGGGACAAGGGGAGGGGTGAGGGGAAGGAGACAACGAGTGCTACAAGCAGCGTGGGAGCATCCACGTTGACCCGAGCGAGGGCCCTGATAGGGAGAATGAAGGTGAGGGACAGGAGGGGGAACAGCGAGGGGGGGCAAGGGGAGGGGTGAGGGGAAGGAGACAACGAGTGCTACAAGCAGCGTGGGAGCATCCACGTTGACCCGAGCGAGGGCCCTGATAGGGAGAAGGGTTGGGGGAAGAGAACAGATAAGGTCAGGGATTTTGATTCGTACTCCCTGATAGGGAGGAAAGCGACAGGGAAGGCGAGGAGAGGGTATTGGAGGAAATTGGAGAGAGGGGCCGGTCGACTTATTAGGCACCCGTAAAACTCATTACACTAAGAGAGACACCCGAGAGAACGTTTGGGAGAGGGGCAACCGAGAGGGGAAGGAAGGGGGTTGAGAGGAGAGAGGAGGGGAGAAGGTGAGGGAACGAGAATAAACAGAGGGACAGCGGAGAGGGGTTGGCGGGGTGGCTGACAAACAGGTACATGACCACACATGATAGATAGTTCAGTTACCAGAGCATGTTAAAAAGTTACCAGATATGTTGGGAATGTAACCACAGCATGTTACATTGTTACCAGAGCATGTTCAAAAGTTACCAGAGCATGTTGGAAATGTCTTGAGACTCAAAGGCTGACACGTTGCTCTCAGCCCAGCCGGCCAGGGCTGGGAAGAAGGCGTCATCTGAGTGGTGCAGCTTGGCAAAGGACCTACGAGAGAGGGGGGGATGGAGTGGGGGGGGATTGGGGGGATTGGGGGGGATGGGGGGGGATGGGGGGGGATGGGGGATTTGAAGGGAGGAAGTGCTGGAAGGACGGCAGCCAGCCAGCCAGGGCTGGGACGAAGGTGTCGTCTGAGTGGTGCAGCTTGGCAAGGGACCTGGGGAGACATGGAGGGAGGGCAGAGGGGGGAGAAGGACGGGAGAAAGGAGGAGGACCAAAGGCGCACCATGCTTCAAGGCCAGGAAGGAAGAAGGTTTAGCCTGCGTGGTGGAGCTCGGCAAAGGACCCGGGGAGCAAAAGAGGAGAGCACAGAGAAGGGGAGGTGAGGGAGGGGGGAAGGGAGGGAGAAAGTGCAAAACCAACCAGGCAGGGATGGCAAGGGAGCATCGATTGAGTGGTGGAGCACCCTAAACCCTGAACCCTGAACCCTGAGCTTGGCCAAGGACCCGTGTGGTTGGTTCGGTGAGTGGCTTAAGACCTCAGTGATGCACACGTGTGGACACGAGGCGCTTCAAAGCTAGGGCGGTCTGAGTGGAGCAGCAGGGTTTAGGGCCCATGTGAAGCAAACAATTGACATTCAGGGGTTTGAGGGAAAAGGTTGGAGGAGAGGGTTTTGAGGCAATACCGCAATGAACCATGCCAAACCACACCATAAGATACCATAAATATAATCACATTCTAAATAGCGGCACCATGTTGAGCATGCTGGCTGACCTCTTGCCATGACATCTCATGCCATGCCATGCCATGCCATGCCATGCCGTACCATACTGTACCATGCAATGATAGCTAGCTGCGGAGCACTGTAGCTGCTCATGTCAGTAAGGACAAGCTTTGCCGCCTCGCTGAATAGCAGGTGGGAGTGCAGCCCCACTCGCGCATGCGCCCTGGACAGGGAAAGGGGGGGGAGTGGGGAATACAGGGGGGCAGGTGAAGTGTGAGGGCTTTGAGTTGGGAATACAGGGGGGCAGGTGAAGTGCGAGGGCTTTGAGTTGCCTCACAGCCAGCAGAATAGCAGGTGGCAGTGCAACCCCACACCCGCATGCGCAGGTGAGAGGATGGGGGGAGGGGGGGAGAGGAGAGAGAGGCTATGCTCGGCGCAGTGCAGAGCATAGTGTCAGTCCTTGCAGTCCTTGGAGTCCTTGCAGTCCTTGGAGTCCTTGCAGTCCTTGGAGTCCTTGCAGTCCTTGGAGTCCTTGCAGTCCTTGGAGTCCTTGCAGTCCTTGGAGTCCTTGCAGTCCTTGCAGTCCTCAGAGTTCTCGGGGTCCTCAGAGTCATTGGAGTCAACGGAACAGTCAGCTGACGAGCAGATTTAACAATAACGCATCGAACAGGGAGACATGAACAGCACCGCAAATAGAGGGACGCATGAACAGTACCATAATATCTCCTTGACGTGGCGTGGCTGGTAGCAGTGCAGCGAGCCAATCACGTGCTGCCACGTCAGCCGCCCTACCAGATCCCGCGCCAGGCTTGGATTCACTGATGGAAGGCCAGCGGTGGAGCCCAGCGCATGCATCTGACAGGGATGGCAGAGGGATGCTCAACATGGGTCGACATGGGTCAACATGGGAGAACATTGGTCAACATGGGTCAACATGGGTCAACATGGGTAGAGAGGTTGGATCAACGTGGATGGATGCATGCACGCACCAGGATGGCCACCTCTAGCGGCTGGAAGGACTTGACTTGCACCAGAGATGCTGCCATGACGGTGTTCAGCAGGGTTGGGGGACCGTGTGCCAGCTCTGCCTGCGCCCTGAATCAAGACGGTCAACGGGGGTCAACAGGAGTCAATGTGGGGTTGCAAAGCATAAAAAGGACACATCTCACAACAGCGGGGTCAAAGCGGGTCAACATGGGTCAAAGTAGCCAAGGGGGTCACAACAGCCAACAGGGCCAAAACACCCAAGTTCATCCAAACAAGTGGGTCAAACCAGTCAAAGCAGTCAAAGGGGTCAAAGGAACCGAAACCAGCACCCACCATGCCACGTTCGCCAGCGCCTGAACCTTGAGTCAGCCGCACCTAGCCAACACCTGGATATCCATCCTGTCCTCCTTACTTCACTCCTCACCTCTTCCTCCTTCCTCCTCTCCTCCCTCCTCACCTCTCTCCAGGAGCCAGCACCCACCATGCCACGTTCGCCAGCGCCTATCCCCTAAGCGCGTTATGCCTCATGACCCCAAACCTTCCCTCCTTACCCAAATCTACCAGGAGCCAATACTGACCGCCCCTAGCCAACGCCTCCACGTGCCACTTCCTTGGAAACTAGAACCCGCCATGCCACGTTTGTCAACGCCTGACCCGTGAGTCCGCCATGCCACGTACCCTTCACGTGAAACCCTGAACCTTAAACCCCTCTCCTCCCTCCACCCCCCTCTTTCTCCCAAAATCCAACACCCACCATGCCACGTTAGCCAGCGCTTGACCCTTGAGTCTGCCGCCCTTAGCCAGGGCCTCCACCTGCCGTCCGAGCCACCGGACTGTTTCGTCTTGTCTGAGTTGATCCACAAAACGCCGCCCACCGCCCATGCGCTTGGCGTGCTTAGCAATGCGGTGGAATGCGGTGCAGATGTGTACGGGGGAAAGACCGGTGCTTGCTTTGCGCTCATTCTTGCCCTTAGATCGCTCAGGAGATAGACTACCCTCAGTCCCTCTCTCCAGTCCCCCTTTGCCCTCCCCCACTCTACCCTCCCCCCCTATACCCTCCCCTCCTCTATCCTCCCCCCCACCACCTCCCTCACTCACTTCCTCACTCCCTCCCTCCCGCGCCTCCCCCCTCTCCCTGTGCGCTTTCACCACGGCCAGCAGCTCTGCCAACGTGGCGCGATACGATAGGACGTTCATCAGCCGCTTGCCATCCAGCGCCGCCCAGCTGCCCAGGTCATCATTGCTGGGCGGCACGCTGACGTCACTGTGATGAGGCGGCTTCTGCCTCCTTCTGCGATTGCTATTTCTGTTGCTGCTGCTTCCGCTTCTGCTGCTGCTGGCGGTTCTGCTGCTGCTGCCGCTGCCACCACCGCCATTGCCGCCGCCATCGCCGCTCCTGCTGCCCCCGCTGTTGCTGCTATCCCCGCGACTGCTCCCCCATTCGCTCCCCTCGTCACCCTTTCCCTCTCCCGCGCTCCGCGCTACTCGTGCGCTTACTGCGGCCTCTGCGTTTTCCGCGATTCCCGCCCGGATCCGACCAATGAGTGCACGAGGGAATCTGCCTGGGATTCGCCTCTTGTTACTTACGGCGGCTAGCGAATATTCCGCGAGTCGATCTGATCTACAAGCGACGCCGCCGCCGCCGCCGCCGGTGATGCTGCTGCCAGAGCTCCTGGCAGCGGGAATAGCGTCAGAAATGATCGCGTTCAGTGGTTTAGTGGACCACCCAGTGGACCTTCGTGCGACATTCGGACAGACGGGACTGGTCAGCGACGAGAGCGACTGCATCGGCGACGAGCGAACGATTGGAGACTGCGGAACGCGGAGCGACGCGAGCAGGTATTCGGAGAGGAATGGTGTCAGAGGCGTTGGGGAAAATAGTCGGCAGACAATGGGTGCGCCTGTGGGTGGTGATTCATGAATGACAACAAGCTTATCCGCTACCGGATAGTACCCTTCAAAAAGTGTATTAAAGCGTTGTGCCTATTGGATCAAGGTGCAATTCACATCCCCTTTCTAGTCCCATGACTTTCACCGTTATTTGAGCTGCCACGAGATGTGGCTTTTTATCAGAATTTTTTTTATGTGTTACCAATAACAAAATCCCTCATTCAGCGCCCCAAATAAAAACTCAAATAACTTGTACCAAAAAGATTTTGAGGGCTTACGCTGCTGGACTACCGATTAAAAGAAAAATTGGTTTTTTTTCAAGTATACTCGAGAAGCACTCCTGATAATACGGTTTACATCAACATTTTTTTTTCCATCGCCATTGACATTTGATGTGGTGCCTTCAAAAAGTGGGATAATGGTACACAATATAATGGTTTTACCTAGGGGGTTATACTCGCTAAAGGCATACACCTAACTAGCCTATACTAACATTTTGCATATGTTGTAATATAATTGATACTTAGCATTTCTGTAAGTCGATTAAGTGTAGTTAGTGTCGAATCATACTGTAGAAGATAAGTCCGTAGGACGACATCAGCAAATAGCGCTCGTCATAGGACACTCGTTTCAGTCACGCGAATAGTCGCACCTCTTCATTATCATATAGAGCGCATAACGCGATAGTGACGAACGGGTACATTAGCGAATAGGTACTTTTCGTAGAACTATAAATTCTTGTCAGGTCTTTTCATTATTAACTTTTGATTACACACAAGTTCACGTACTCAGGTTATTCAACCTTGACCTTTATATTTTACAACACTTCCGCTGTCTTACTAGTCTACCATTCCAGCAAAGATCCTGGACCAACACTTGAGGATTTGCCAAGTGTTCGTGTTTATAGTCTTATACTTAATCTACTACAACACCAGACGATTTATTTCATGGTATGAGAGCTATCTGGAATCAAGACTACCGTCAACTATGACTGGTTCATCACCAGCACCATTACAGGAACTACTGGAGCACATGCCTCCACTACCGCCACTGGTCTCTCAGCCTCTGGGCACTTTCCACCAGCCTATGCTAATATCGGTATGCAGAATCCGCCTTTTGTGAATACTCCAGGTGCTCCATCGACTGCACCTGCAACATAACAACAACAATCACAGACAACAGCACAGCAACAAGCGTCAGTACAGCCACCAGTTTCAACGCAATCGATTTCGTCTGCGTTCAGTGGAATGAGCCTTGACGGCTCAAGTTACATGCGTGGAGCTACAGCTCCAAGTACTGGTTCTTTCGCCTTCTCACCTTTCGTACAGCAACCGCAGTCGCAGCAGCTTCAGCATCCTTTTTATATCTTCGGTCGTTCCCCTGCTCAGCAACAACAGCAGCAGTATCAGCAACCACAGCCAGTACAGCAACAGCAACATCAGCAACAACAGCAGCAACAACAGCAGCAACAACAGCAACAGCAACAACAGCAACAGCCAGGCATCGTTTTTCAACCTCCAAATTTACTTAACAATACACAGATCAAGACAACCGTACCTTTCAATGGTGTCGACTTCTATTCCTGGAGCTTTGAATTTGAACTTCTGGCGCAGTCCGCTGGATTATGGCCGTTCTTCCCTGGCGAATTTACGTATCCTGTCGTGGGAACACAACTGGAGCAGCAAAGCTTTTTGCACGCCTCTCTCGGGGCGTATACAATTCTTGTACAGAACTTGTCGCCGAAGGAGCAGCTCGGCGTTCGATCAGTTCACTCAAGTTTCACACCAGCCGAAACTGCATGGAACCATCTGAAGGGGGTATACATGACAAAGGATACGATAATAGTGAGTAAAATACTTTCGCAGCTGACAAGTGTGCAGATGATGACAAACGCAAACGTCATGGACTACGTTAACCGTGTCCGTACACTACGAGATCAACTGGAAAAGAGCGGAGGATACTTCCCTTGTGAGATGTATCTCACGGTACCTCTGGCTGGTCTTGGACCCGAATGGCGACAGACGCGGGCCTTCTTGCGCATGAATCCGAACCTCTCCGAAGCTGAAATTTCGTCGTATCTTCAAGCAGAGCATCAGGATCTTGACATGCAAACACAACGTAATCAGAAAAAGGGGCTTCATTTAAGTTTTTACTCCAATCCAGAACATCAGCATCGACATCCACCAAAGTATCCGTTCTGCCATTACTGTAAGAAACCAGGGCATACTTACCAAAATTGTCGCAGCCGTCATCAAAATCGTCACAACACTTCGCAGCCGTATCACCGATCGCAGCAGTTACCGAAGACACAACAGCCACAGCAGCAGTTAACGTCTCAGCAGCAGCAGATGCCAAAACCGTCACATAATTCACCCCGTCGCATCATCGCCCGCCGGTCTTCGCATCTGCCACATCAGGAAAAGGAGTTTTTGGTTGTGTTACAACAGTTGATATTTCCGAAACAGATTTCGAGACACGACTTGAAGAAACCACAAGTGCTGAAGGCATTCCTTTACCTCACGTTTACGCTAAACTCGCTCGAATCATTTCAGGTCCGAATACCTGGTATCTTGACAGTTGCTGCGGATGGCACATGTGCTCAGCAGAAACAAGCTTCATTACCAATCAGCGTCCACTTCGTCGTCCGGTACCTGTAACAGTCGCAAACGGACAAACTATTATGGCACGAGCAGTTGGAAGTGTGATGCTCGAGTCTATCGACATGGGATACTCACTTCATGTTACTAATGTCCTCATCGTCGCTGGTCTTGACTTCAATCTTCTTTCCACGGCTCAGCTCCTGGCACACAAAATCCGCACACAGGGCAATTGCGACCCGATGGATCAGGAGTTCTGGCACAGTACGACGAATACTTATCTTGGTCGAGCCGCCACTCAATATGGCGTATCCGTTCTTCAGTTCGCAGCACAAGGAACTTCTGGAGATTCTGAACGGGTGCTTGCATTTGGTCCCTGGGATCACCCAGAAGAAACCGATTATCAACACGTGGACATTGACTTTCAAGCAACAACTGTACCAACAGCTTCTCGAACTGCAGCCGCCGTACTTACCGCGTTGGATACCTGGGAGTTTAATACCACCGATGAAAGCGCCAACGCGTGGCGAACGTTTTATAATACTCAAGCAGCCTTCCAAGGAACTTCAGCACCACTTTGGGGAGAGATAAGTGGTCTTGCAGCCGATGAACCTGACGTTGTTGAAGAAGCCGAACAAGAAGAAGTAGCTGAGCAGCCGAGTCCAACAGTCGTTGTCGTCGAAATTCCTGCCACGACATCAACAGAAGCAGTGTCAACAGATATACTCGCTCCTGCAGCAGCACCAACAAATGTTTCGTTACCGCTTAACCGTTTCGTCGACGGCGAAATTGACAAGTCCCCAGCGCTTTCTCCCTTTATCCTTTCTTCCTTTTATACTAAATCCGATTTTTACCTGCGATCATCAGGACACAAAGCCACAGAAGATATATGGCATCAGCGGTTAGGACATCCATCACAAGGGATTCTCAATCATTCAATTCGAGCAGCAGTTCTTGATAAAAACAGTTTACTTTTACCTGATGGCACGGAGATGAAGCCGCAGTCTCGTCCGGCGGTTTGCACCACTTGTCCAGTTGCCAACCTTATGCACGATCCTTTTCCAAGTCATTTTCCTGGCTCAACACGTTATAAACTGATGCAGAAAGTCTACAGCGACATACTCAACTTGTCTGAAGCAGGACCTAAAGACGAGAAGTATGTAATCACTTTCATCGAAGCGTCTACACGCTATGTCTGGAAAGCAAACTTACCTGCGCGGCATCTCGCTCACTCCGTCTTCGTCGCGTGGCTCGCTGTCGCTGAACGAGAGTCTGGAACAAAACTGCAAGAATTTCAGAGTGATGGTGCAGGGGAGTACACCAGCAACACCTTCACAGAATACCTACAGACACTCGGCATCAAACGGAAGCAGTCGCTACCACATGCACACCAACAGATGGGGGTAGCAGAAAGGATGAACAGAACTCTCCAGGAGAAGATGCGTGCTCTGCTGACGCAGGCAGCCCTTCCACTGCATTTCTGGCTGTATGCGATGGACCACGCCGTGCTGTTACACAATCTTCTTTCTTCAACGTCCCTGCCCGAGTTCTCTTCTCTACACCTGCAGTGGACACGTACAGTGGGGAGCACAAAACTTTTACGAGTTTTCGGGTGTGTTGTACAGTTTCGTCCTCCAACTGCAGCTCTCGGAAAATTTTCCGAACGAGCAAAATGGGGGGTACATCTCGGCATCGAAAAACAGTATCACGCGTGGAAGATTTTGGATCTTCGCTCCCATCAAATCGTTCCATCACGTGATTGTCTCTTCTATGAAAGACTCACCTTGCCCGTTTTTCGTGCCCACCAGGCAGCAGCTGCCAATGCTGCCAGGCTGTTCGAAGGCTCGCGTGCATTTGCAACTGACGAAGCTGAAGCTGATGTTCAGGACGAGGATGATTCTGAAGCATTCGAAGCTACTGCAACAGACATTCCCGAACCTGTCACCTCGACTGGCATACCTGAATTCATTCCTCTTGCAGATGCTGACCATGATGATGTTCGCGAAGTTCATCTCAGTTACGAACGAGATCGCCAACAACAGCCGATGCCCGTCGTCTCCGACAAAGCAGTTCGTGTTACACCTGACGAAATTGGGGGGGAAGCAGGACCAGAAGAAAATTTCGCAGGTGCAAACGAAGAACGTCCGCGCTTTACAGAAACAGGATTACAGATACTAGGGTTCGCAGTTGCAGTACAGTACAATGACAGTAAAATACCTGAACCGAAAACCGTTCGACAAGCTCTTACGAGTCCTCACCGAGAAAAATGGTGCGAAGCCATGGACAAGGAGCTAGCAGCACTCAAGAACCGCGGCACATGGGATTTAATACCGACTTCAGAAGTAAAAGGGAAGAATGTACTTACCGGGAAATGGGTCTTCCGCGT